GCAATGACAAAGGTCTGGAGGCAGAAGTATACTTGACAGGTTCTTGAAATAGCAAGGAAGCCAGTATAACTGGATCCCAGTGATTGAGGGGAAGGTGGGTATTAGGTGAGATAAGAGAAGTGATAAGGGTCAGAGTATTTTATGGAGGCCCTTCAAGGTCATGGTAGGAAGTTGGGTTTTTTTCCTTAGTGAGATAAGAAGCTATTAGAGGGTTCTGAGTCAAGAAGTGACTCATGCTTTAACAGGAGGACCCTTACGGCTTCTAGGCAGACAATAGGATGTGTGTGGGCTAAGGGTAGTTTCCAGGCATTCCTTGGCTTATATCTGCATAACTCCAGTCTCTGCCTCTGTCTTCTCCTCTAGGAATGCCTTTGCTTTGAGTGTCTCTTCTAAGAACATTTGTTGTTAGATTTAGGGCCCACTCAGATTATCCAGGATAATCTCATTTGGAAATCTTTAACTACATCTTCAAAGACCCTTTCTCCTATTAGGGTTAAAAAAACGAGTAGGGTCACATTCACAGGTTCCAGTGGTTTGGATAAGAACATATATTTGGGGGACCACATTCAACCCACTACAGTAGGTCTGGGATGAGGACTGAGAATATTAACAAATATTATATTCTTGAGATATTATCAGCCCAGGCTGATGCTACCTGTGTGGGGACCGCAACCAGTGATATAGAGAAGTGAAGTAAGATGGAGACCAAGAATTGACCACATGGATATCATTGGTGACTTTGACACAAGTGGTTTTGGTGAACAAGTCAGAATGAAAGTCATACTGAGAGACTTGGAAGAGAGGAAGTAGCAGTGAGCATTGCCAAATTTTTAATGGATTTTGTTATCAAGAAGAGGAAGAAATGGGACAGAGGTGTAGAAGGATGTGTGGTCAATGAATGAGTTTTTAGATGGAAGAAATAAAAGCATGATTGTGTGCTAATAGGAAAGTGTTGGTAGGGAGGGAAATTTTGATGATTCACAGGAAAGAGTCAATCATGTAATATACCACACTAACAGAATGAAGGATAAAAATCATATGATCATTTCATTAGATGAAGAAAAAACTCTTGAAAAAACTCAACATCCTTTCATGATAAAAATTTACAACGAATTAGGTATAAATGGAATGTACCTCAACATAATGAAGACGCTATAAGACAAACCCTCAGCTAACATCATAATCAATGGTGAAAAGTTAAAAATCTTTTCTCTAAGATCAGGAACAATACAAAAATGCCCGCTCTCACCATTTCTGTTCAACATAGTACTGGAAGTCTTAGCCACAACAATTAGGCAAGAAAAAGAAATAAAACTTATTCAAATCAAAAAGGAAGAAAATTATCTGTTTGCAGACAACATGATCTATTGTAGAAAACCCTAAAAACTCACAAAAAAACCTGTTAAAACTAACAAATGAATTCAATAAAGTTACAGGATAAAAATCAACACACAAAAGTCAGTTGCATTTCTATACACTAACAACAAACTATCTTTAAAAAAATTATGAAAGCAATTCCATTTCTAATTGTGTCAAAAACAATAAAACACTGAGAGACCTGTAAATTGAAATCTATAAGACACTGAGGAAAGAAACTGGACAAGACACAAATAAATACAAAGATATCCATGTTCTTGGACTGAAAGAATTAATATTGTGAAAATCCCCATAATGCCCAAAATAATCTACAGATTCAGTGTAATCCTGATCAAAATTCTAATTGCATTTTTCACAGAAATAGGAAAAAAACTATCCAAAAATTTTTATGGAACTACAAAAGACCCTGAATAGCCAAAGCAATCTCAAGGAAGAACACAATGGGAGACATCATACTTCCTGATTTCAAACTTTGTAACATATACAAAGTTATAGTGATCAAAGCAATATGGTACTGGCATAAAAACTAGCACATAGACCAATGAAACATAATAGAGAGCCCATAAATTAACACAAGCATATACAGTCAACTAATTTTTTATAAGGGTGCCAAGAACACATGATAGGAAAAGAACAGTCTCTTCAATAAATGGGAAAACTTCGTATCCAGATGCAAAAGAATGAAACTGAACCACTACCATATACCACTCACAAAGTCGAGAAGGATTAGACTTAAATGTAAAACCTAAAACTATAAAACTAGAAGAAAGCATAGAAAAACAGTTTCTTGAGTTTTACCAAATTGGTCTTGGTAGTAGTTTATTGGATAAGACACCAAAGCACAGGAAACAAACGCTAAAATAAAAAAGTGAGATTACATCAAACCAAAGATCTTTTGCATACCAAAGGAAACAATCAAGGGCTTCCCTGGTGGCTCGGTGGTAAAGAATCCACCTGCCAATGCAGGAGACACGGGTTCCATCCCTGGGAAGGTCCCGCATGCGGAGTAACTAAGTCCATGTGCCACAACTATTGAGCCTGTGCGCCAGAGCCCGGGAGCTGCAACCACGGGAGCTGCAACCACGGAAGCCCAAGCGCCCTACGGCCTGAGCTCTGCAACAAGAAAACCCACTGCAATAAGTCTACACACCGCAGCTAGAGAAAAGGTGGTACAGTAACAAAGACCCAGCCCAGCCAAAAATAAATAAATACAATTATTTTTTAAAAAGGAAACAATATATTGAAAAGACACCCTTTTCAATGGAGAATGGGATAAAATATTTGCAAACCACATATCTGAGAAAGGGCTAATATTCAAATTACATAAAGAATTCATATAATTCAACAGCAAAAAAAGCCAATAATTCAATTTGAAAAAATGGGGGAAGGATCTGAATAAACAATTTTTTCTGAAGAAAACATTCAAGTGGCCGATAGAGGCATGCAAAAGTGCTCAACATCACTAATCATGTGTGTGTGTGCATGTGTGTATGCTCAGTCGCTCAATCGTGTCCAGCTCTTTGCGATCCCATGGACTATAGTCCACCAGACTCCTCTGTCCATGGGTTTTCCCAGGCAAAAATACTGGAGTGGGTTGCCATTTCCTTCTCCAGGGGTTCTTCCTGACCCAGAGACTGAACCCACATCTGTTATGTCTTGCATTGGCAGGCAGATTCTTTACCACTAGTGCCACCTAGGAAGCCCCACTATTCATGAGGGAAATGTAAATCAAAACTATCAAAACCATGAGATATCACCTCATAACAGTCAGGATAGCTGTTATCAAAAAAAGAAGAGATATCAAGTGTTGGCAAGGATGTGGATAAAAAGGAATCATTGTGCACTTTTGTGTGAATGTAAATTGGTGAAGCCACTACAGCAAACAGTATGGAGATTCCTCAAAAAGTTAAAAATAGAAGCACCATATGCTCCTGCAATCCCACTCTGGGTACATATTTAAAGGAAATGAAATCAGTATCTTGAAGGGATATCTTTTCACTCGTATTCATTGCAGCATTATTCACAATAGCCAAGATATGGAAGCAATCTAAATGTCCTTCAACAGATGAATGGATCAAGAAAATGTGATATATATATTTCCAATAAATGTATTACAATGGAATATTATTCGGCCATAAAAAAAGAAGACAGTCCTGCCACTTGGGACAATATGGATGAACCTGAGGGGGACATTACGCTAGATGAAATTAGCCATGAATAGATAAATACTGGTATCATTTATATGTAGAATCTTTAAAAAAATTTTAAGTCCAATTTCATAGAAACAGATTATAGAATGGTGGGATGGGTTGGGGAGTAAGGAAAATGGGGAGACATAGGCCTAAGTATATAAACATTCAGTTATAAGAGGAGTAAGTTCTGATCTGAGGATCTAAATGTACAGTATGGTAACATAGTTAATAATACACTATTGTGTGCTGGAAAGTTGCTGAGAGTAACTTTAAGTGTTCTACACACACACACACACACACACACAAACACTGTTTACTATGTGAGATGAAGAACATGTTAGTTATCTTGAGCATGGTAATCATTCCACTATATATATGTATATATATATATAATACACATATATATAATTGTCCTGTATACTTTAAATATACATAATCATACTTGTCAGTTATTCCTCAATAAAATTGGGATAAAAAAAAGAAAGCCTAGAGTTAAAAATCAGAATATTACTAATATGAATTGATTTGTGATGACATTAATAACAAAATAAATTACATTCAGAGCCTTAAAAAAAAAAAGTGGATGAGATTGCTCAGAAGAAAGAGAGCAAACTAGCTCTCTAAGGAGGTCTGGTTTGCCTGGGTAGATGTTGAGATGGTAGGAACATCCATAATGTTAAATAAACATCGATGGGGATTTGGGACTTGACAAGTGAGAAGCCTGCAGGATGTCAGGGGAGATTTCAGAGGCTGCTGGCTGTGGAGCTCAGGCCTAGAGATGATCAGGTATTGCAAACCTGGATCTAACAGCCAAGGTCCTGGGCTTGGTCTTGACTCCAGTGGGGCCTCCCCTTCTCGGGGCCTCATTGACGAAGCAGGAAGTACTGCCCTAGGCTCAGCTTCCGCTCTGGGTGTTTTGGTACTGCCAAATCACCCCTTTGCACTGGGGATCTTCCCACTTGGGGCCTGCAGCACTTTCACTTCCCCCAGGTGCCTAGCCCCTGCCCCAGCACATGGGAGCACCTTGGTCTACCTTGTGGCCAAGAACTGGACACAGATTCCGAGAGCGGGAAATGATAGGAAGGTGGGGGTGGGGTGCATAAACAGAGGAAGGAGGACAGGCATGCAGATGAGGGGCCAGAAACCAAAGAGGAAGAGGATGCAGACCTGGTGGGGAAGGGGACAGAGATCTAGAGGTAGAGAGTGATAAAGATCCACAGAGAAAAGAACAGAGACCCAGAGACTGCGAAGGCCAGGAAGTGGTGGGGGGTGGGGGCAGAAATGAAAGCAGAGATGGCAGAGCTTTGCAGGCAGTGAGGTCAGAGTATCTGTGAGGTCAGCTGCTGTCCAGGGCCAGTCTGGGGTCCTGGTGCCCAGAGTAGGTGGGCTACAAGTACATCAGGATGCCCTATGGGTCCCCCAGCCTGAGCCATGGAGATCTGGGAGGAACTGCCTGGCGTGTCCTTGGTGCCCGTCAATTCCAAGGCCCCTCAGGTACTGGGGTGTGTGTCCCAGCGGGGCAGGCGAGGGGAGATGGGGATGAAGACCCAGAAGAAAGTCACCCTGCATGTAAAGAGGCGGGGGGTGGGGCTCCAGCCCCGGCACTTCCTCTTTCTCTGAGTTCTTCCTTTCTCTTCTGTCTCAGCCTCTCCCCCTCTCTCTCAAGGTCTCTCTGCCCATTCTCCCTGCCACCACCGCTTCTGTCCTGTCCCTCCCACCAGTGTCTCACCCCTCTAGGAGAAGATGTCAGCCCACGATGGCTGCCTCAGCCTCGTCAAGTACCTCCTCTTCGTCTTCAACCTCTTTTTCTTCGTAAGTTGCTTCTTGGCTCCCGAGCCCGGGCCCCAGCCCCTCCCGTAGCCACCCCATTTCATTTCCCCGCATCGCCCACTGGCCATATTCTCCTCTCCCCAGGTCCTAGGCAGCCTTATCTTCTGCTTCGGCATCTGGATACTCATCGACAAAACCAGCTTCGTGTCCTTCGTGGGTAAGGGGGCTGAGGCAGTCCAGGGCTGGGTAGGGGCACTGGGGCGGAGTGAGTGGAGCAGTCTTCCTGGAGCAGGTATGAACAGGGCTCCCCTCCTAGGGGACTCCTGGGATCTCTCTCATCCCAGGGAGGCCCATGGTGCCCAGCTTTCTTGTCTGATCTTAGGCTCTGCTCCACTTCTTGCTGAGGCCACAACTTCTGAGCCTCAGCTTCTTCCTCTGGCAAATAAGTTATGCATACCTATAACAATAATAGTGGCCATTTCTCAGGCACTTAGGTGCCAGACAGCTAAGTGTCACACCTTAGGTGACATGTAGGTGTCAGATCTTGGGCAAAGATGCTCATAAGATTCTCTCATAAGTCTTCCCTCTCTTGAGGTTCAGAGAGGGGAAGTCACTGGATGTCACACAGCAAGCAAGTAGAAAAGCAGATTAACACTAATAATCATTGTAGGGAAATAACACTGGGGTGGTAGTCAAAATCCCAATAACTCATATTTAATAAATGTTTACAAGATTTATTAAATATGAGGAGGACTAGAGGACTGGTGTAGAGGATCGGACCGAACACATGTCTCCCATGTGTTCCTCAAAACAACTCTAGGAAATAGATATCATTGTTCCCTAGGTCTCAGGGAGGCTTAGGTGGCTGATCTAATGTTGCAGAACAAGTGATGAGGCTGAAACTACTTGGGGTGAGGAGGGACTAAAGGAGGAGAGAGAGACTGAGAACAAGAGGGAAAGACAGAGACTAGGAAGAAAGAGGGACAGAGATCCAGAAAGAAGGGGACAGAGACCTAACGACAGAGAGGGCCAGAGACCAGAGAGAGGGGTGGGAAGAATTCCAGGAGACAGACATTCAGTGTAGAACAGGGACAGAGACTCAGAGAAAAGGATGCCAGGAGCCCAGGAAGAGGCCCCTTCACCCAGGTCACTGTTCCCCACTTGGGAGATGTGTGGGTGGGGAACCCAGCTGTCTGGAGCTGGGCACATGGAGCCCAATGTCACTGCCTCTCATCTCCCCCAGGCTTGTCCTTCATGCCCCTGCAGATCTGGTCCAAGGTCCTGGCCATCTCAGGAATCCTCACCATGGGCCTTGCCCTCTTGGGCTGTGTGGGGGCCCTGAAGGAGTTCCGCTGCCTCCTGGGCCTGGTGAGTTCCCCTCCACCCTTCCACCTCTAGGAAGGTCCACATCTTGTCCTTAAATAGGCCCTGGCAGCCCCTTCATCCTGGGGAGTTCAGCCTGACCTGCCCACTCTGTCTTCCTCCCCGCTCCAGTATTTTGGGACACTGCTGCTCCTGTTTGCCACACAGATCACCCTAGGAATCCTCATCTCCACTCAGAGAGTCCAGGTAAGCTCACCTCCTCCCCTCACCTGAGCTAGTGCGGGGGGGGGGGGGGGGGGCGTGGAAAGAGACGGAAGCAAAGGCAGACAGGGGCTAACACAGACAAAGATAAATAACAGAGAGAGAGAGAGAAGACAGAAAGACAGAGACTGGTAGAGAGACACAGAGAAGGATCTAAAGACAGAGAGGGTCAGAGAAAGACTCACCAACACAAAGGAAGACAGAGATCCAAAGGGAAACAGAAGCGAGGAAAGAAAACACTTGGAGAAACACAGGGTTCCAAGAAAGAGACAGAAACTTAATGAGATCGTGAGAGACAGTGGAGACACGGAAAGACAGACGGTAGAAACAGGCAGAGAGCGGTTTGGAGGGACAGAGACATAGCTAACCATTCAGTGAAACACCGAGGCCGCCACGAAGAAGCTCAGAGACCACTAGCGGCTGGGACGGCTACGGAGTGGCTGGAGTGGGTTGGAGCAGAGGGCAGCGGGGAGGCAGGTAGGGGATTCAGCCTCACTCTCGGCCTGTCAGCTGAAGAGGAAAGTGAAGGAGGTTGTGCAGAAGACCATCCAAACCTACCGCGCTCACCTGGAGGAGACGGCAGCGGAGGAGAGCTGGGACTACGTGCAGTTTCAGGTGCGTGAGGCCCCCGCCCACCAGGAACCCTCCCTCTAGCTCTGCGATTCTGACTTGGCTCCGCCTTCTGCCTGGAGGAGACGTGGCCCCGACGGGATCCGAGCCCCCAGCTCTAGGGCCCTAACGTAACCCTACCCACCTAAGCCACCTCCAGCCCTTGGCGTCTTGGCCTGGTCCTCCAGCTCCCAACGCCTGCAGTGACTCCGCCCCCTGCCTCAACAGGAGTCCGCCCTCAGTCCCAAGGCCCTAGCCTGACCCCATTCCCTGTCCAGTAGTGACTCTGGTTCCCAAGGGACCAGGCCCAAGTGAGATTCCTTTCCCTGGTCACTCACACGGCCCCGCCCTCCCATCCATCTTTTCCCTACTTACAGCTGGATTGTACTGCCTACCCAATCCTCCAAAGCACGATTCTGCAGCTCTTCCCCCAGCCCCAAGACCCCCGACCCTGTGACTCCTCTCTCCCAACTTCATGTACCCCTAATGTCCCTTGGCCCTGCTGTGACCCCACCCCAGCACACAGTTCTGTTAGCCCTCTACTCCCCAATATGACCCAGTACCCAGTCACACCATATCACCTAGTCCTCTGATCCCCCAAAGCATCTTGCATCTCTTTAGCCCTTGTTTCTCTGATATTTTTTTTTTTTGTAGTTGCTTTACAATATTAACTTCTGCTGTACCCTGTTCCTCTGACTCTTGTTCTTCTCTCAGCTCCGCTGCTGTGGCTGGGAGTCTCCTCAGGACTGGTTCCATATCCCCAGCATGAGAAGCAACGAGTCCGAAGGGGACCGCGTGCCTTGCTCCTGCTATAACTCATCGGCGACCAACGACTCCACAGTCTTCGATAAGCTCTCCTTCCCCCAATTCAGCCGACTCGGATCACTGGCGCGGCCCCGACACAATGCCGAAGTTTGCTCGGTCCCCGCGAACAGCTATATCTACGAACAGGTGGGGAGGATGTGGAGCGCAGGACCAGAGGAGTCTGACAGGGTGGGGCTACGGGAAAGGGCTGTCCTACAACAGGGGCAGAACCCCTACAAGGGGCGGGATCTTTTGGAAGGGCGGGGCCTAAAGAAAAGGCCCAACCGAAAGGACAGGATCTGGAACGCTGATGCCTGGGGATGGGGTCTTCGGCTTGGACGGACTGAAGCCCAGAGACTAGAGACCCCTGATAACTAGGGAATGGGGCGGTACCTGAAAAAGGGGTTAAGGCTGGACTGAGGACAGTGGACCCCGGGCTTGAGGGCGAATCCCAAAAGGAACCCTACCTATAACCTGTCCCTGTATCCCCAGGGCTGCGAACAGAACCTCTCCAACTGGTTGACCAACAACCTCATCTCCATAGTGGGCATTTGTCTCGGCGTGGGTCTACTCGAGGTGATCTGGTCCCGCCCCCACTCGCGATTGGCCTAGATGGCCCTGCCCCAAATTGCGCGTCCAGTCTCTGGGAAAGGCGCATGCATTGACAGAGCTACAGCCAATCCAGGCCTTCCTGGGACTCCACAGTGGGACATGGGAGGCCTAGCCTCTGTGAGCCCTGATTGGTTGCACGGAGGAGCAGGCGTTCCCGCCCTTCCTCACGAGGCTCCCATTGGTCCTCCTTGGTACATCAGCCCCTTGCTATCGGCCGCAAATCCCCCTTTCCCCGCAGGTGAGTGTAGCCGGGCTGAGCCTGTTCTTACCGCGCAGCCTTTTGCACCGCGAACCCCAGCCGCAGGTGCCGGGTACCTACAGTTCGAGCTCCGGGCCACGCCCGAGCACCGACGGCAGCGGCGGGCGCTACGGTGTGCTGAGCAGCAGCGGGCGGAGCGGCAGTCTGTGGGGTGGCTGGGGCATGGCGGACGCCTGCCCCAACTGGGGGGACAAGGCCCCGCTGGGCAGGCTGCCTAAGGTGCTGGGGTCCCGGTCGCTTTGGGATCAAGACGAGGAACAACTTGAGACCGGGAGTGCAGGCGCAGAGACGGAGGCCGAGATGGAATTTGAGGCAGAGACGGAGGAAGAGATAGATGAGCCTCCAGAATAAAGGACCCTGGGCTTTCTCCGGATCACGCTCCTTCTCAGACTCTAGACCCTATGCTAGACAGGGCTGGGCTCCCCCTACCCCACCCTATTCACCCTTCCTGCTTCAAACTCTATTCCCACCCCTCCCCGGCCTGCCCACATGTTTGATGTCCCAGCCAATTACCCCTAGCCCTTTTACACTAACGCCGCCACATCTCCAAACTGCCATCCCCGAGTCTTTCACCATCAGGCCCATCTCCTACCTACTCCCTTCTCCACACCTCCCAAGGCGAAGCCCCGCCCAACTCGCGGGTCCTCATTTTCTGCTCCTGGCCCCATCCCCTGGATTTTTTTCCCTAGGGACCGGGGTCCTGGAACTCTCCTGGCACCCTCTCGACCTCTCTGACCGCGTCTCCTTTCTCTGTAGCTCAGCTTCATGACGCTCTCCATATTCCTGTGCAGAAACCTGGACCACGTCTACGATCGGCTCGCTCGGTACCGCTAGGCCCCATCCTTCCCGAAGCCCCACCCCGACCCCCTCAAGTGTCCAAGGCATTTAGTTCCCTGGGGCCTGTAAATATTTGTTTAATCCCCAGTTGGCCCCTGCCACTGAGCCCTCATTCCCCTCGGGGGCCCAGGTGTCTGCCTTTCCCGCTGCTGTCACCTCCCCGCCGTGGGACCTGGGGTTTCCGGCCACCAGCTTCCTGTCCCGAAAGACACCTCATTTCCTTGCCTCAGCTGTCAGCCTACCACCTCCCACTAGATTTATTTTTAGCCCAAGCCCCAAATAAATCCCCTGCGTTTTGGTAAAATAGCTTTATCCTCTGTCAAAACACAAACCAACACATTTGGTGGGGGCGGGGGGGGGGAGGAGAGGAAGGCAACACAGTCTAGCCCCACGGCACATTTAGAAGAGGGCATGAGATTAAAAGGCTGCTTGCCCAGCTGAGAAAAAGTCACGACCCTAACACCCACTTATAAATATCTCGTTATATTAAAAAAAAATAATAATATATTTCCAGGGCCACCTGACTCTGCCCCTGCACAGAAAAGGTTAACCTTCAATATTTGATATCAGGGTTCCCCGGATGGAGGTGGTAAGAGGAGGGAGATTGAGAAGAGGGAGATGTGGAAAAACAGAGGGAGGAGCCCATGTGTCACTGGGGGCCCTCCAAAACATCCAGAGCAAAGAAATGGGAGGGCACCTGTCAGAGACAGAAACCAGTGCTATCCCGGGGATTCTCTCACTCCTGTCCTCAGTGCCCAATGATCTGGGGGTGATCTGTCCTTTCAGACACCCCTGTGAGGTTCCAAGATCAGGATCCATCTTCCCCTCTCAGTCCCAGCCCATTCCACTCACCACCCAGCTTTTACAGTCCTAACAGGGAGCAGTCCCCTCCCCACATTAGAAGCACGGGGAAAGCTGGAGGTCCTGCCTGGGAGAAGAGGGTATTCTGGAGGGAGAGCCACTTTTGGGGTCCCCCTTCAGTCCCTGACCAGGCGATAAATGTGGTGCTGGGCCCCCCGCTCACTGGTGGAGACTTCAAAGACGTAGGCGGTGCAGAGCAACAGTTCCTGGGTGTCTCTGTTTGTCACCACCTGTCAAGGAGGCCAGGAGAAAGGGGTTTGCGCTTGGAACAGAGGGCAGGGAACACTGTGGACCCCCTAACCGAGATGTCAGGGGATAAGGGGTCCCCACCATGTCATGTTCCCCCAGGTCAACGGGATGCCCAACATGCGAGGCTCTAGGTCTGAGGGTCCGCAAGGAGAGGCCTCATATCAGATGGTGTATCAAGTCACAGGGTCATCACACTCCCCAGAGTTAAAGGGCATCCTACCATACATAACATGCTCCATGGGCTAAGGTTAGGTTCCCTGTGAAAGGGGGTCCCCTAAGGGCATCCCCTTCATGGGGTGCCCCACGAAGATCCACTGTGGGTCAGTTTCCCTCTTATGAGAATGCTGTGGAACCCCCACCGTATCAGTTTCCTGGGTAAAGGGGTCCCCTAAGCGAAGGGTCAAGCACGAGGTGCCCCCTGTGTCAGTTTCACAGGCTGAGGGTCAGCCGTGGGCACTCCCCTCCACACCAGGGGCCCTGCTCAGGCCAGGCACCAGCGCATCACCTGGAGGATGGTGAAGTTCTCCAGGACGCTGTTCATCATATAACGCTCGGGCAGCTGCCGCAATTTGTGCAGAAAATTCACCAGGTACTCGCACATGGGTGAGCGCAGCAGGCGGTACACAAACCTTCCGTCCTCCAGCTGGGCACGCTCCGTCTGAACCAGGGGTTGGGAAGTAGGAAGGACAGTGACTCAGAGACACAGGGGTTCACCCCAAGAGTCCGAACCCACTCTGTGCCACTTCTCAGATGCCACACCCACTCCGCACTGCCATCTTCTCTCCATTGCCCCATCCGCAGTGACCAAAGATGAAAGCCTGAACCCTCAGGTACCCCATTCAGGATTACTGAGCCTGCAACCAAGGACCCCTCCAGCCTCTCAGAGCTGTCCTCTGAACCCTCAAAGACCTCTGAACTCATGTGATCTCCAGGTCCTCAGATACACTCAAACCCTCCAGAGACGCCCTCCATGAGCTCTCCAAAGCCTGTATGACCTCTGTACTTGAGACCCCTCAAGACCTCAGCAACCCCTAGGTGTGACTCCTAACCGCCTCGCCCTGAGGATTCTTCCATATCCACAAGAAGCTTCTGAATCTTAGTGACAGTAAATCTCTGTACCACACAGTAACCTTAAACCCTCAAAGTGACCAGATAGGTATCTTTGGAACTCCAGATTAGCTCTAAGTCCCTGTGTGAAAGAGGCTAGGGTACCCCCACCCCACCATGCAAACCCCCAAAGGCCTGAGCTGTTGTGGCTCCTGGTCCATTGAGTCCACACCCTCCCGAGTAGCAGGTGGCTGGGTGCTTACTCACCCAGAGCTCCACCCCTCCAGCCTCACCTCCACCTTCTCCACCACCTGCTTGCCGAAGGAGCAGACCTTGGAGGAACAGGTGAGGGTCATGTGTTCCAGGCTCTCGTACTGGCTGCTCACTCCATAGAAGCCACCGCTGCTGCCGCCGGCCCCCACCTCCTCACCACTCGGGCCCCAGTTCAAGTCCGCCTGGAGGATGGGGAGGTACAGGCAAGTTGGAAGGGATAACCCTTATAAACAGTGGGAACTCTCCTCAAGTGGGAAGTCTGCTCCACAGCCTGGTGGCGCCCATTGCTTTGCAGTCACCCATCTCTCTTCCTTAACAAAGTCCCCACCTCTCCAGTTTCTGGGGAAAAGAAACCCCACCCTTCCTTCCAGCAGTTGGATCCCCCAATGGCCCTGACTCTCTCTCCCTGGTAACTTCTCCATTAAAGAGTCCCTGGAATTCAAGTTTTTTTCCGGAAACCTCCAACTCAGGAGGTCAACCCCTTTCAAGAGCCTGGTTACTAAGGAGGTAGCTATTCCCTAGCAACCAGAGGCTCTCCCTCAAGGCCCTTCATGACCCTGGTTGCTAAGACAAGCACCTACTCCCTAGCAGCAGGACCTGGTGAGGTCTGGGGAAGCCCGACTCCTCTCTGGAAAACTCTCCCAGGCCCTTTCAGCCAATTCTCAGAGGTCAGATCCCGTCATAATCCCAGTGGCCAAGTGGACAACAGCCCAGGGATCGAACCCTCACCCCCTGCAGTGGAAGTACAGAGTCTCAACCAACGGACCGCCAGGAAAGTCCCAAGGCCAGACATTCTTAGCAACAGGGCCTGGTGGAACCCAGCAAAGCCTCATCCTCTCTTTAGAAACCAAACACTCCAGGATTCATTTGCTAAGGGGCTGGGGCCATTCCTTCGCAAGAGGCTTGGTGTGGTCAGGTGGGACATAGGCAAATCTGAAATGCCGCAAGCCAATCCCCAGGGCCATATCAGTCGCACAACTGGGTGTGGCAAAGTCTAGTGGAGTCTTCGGAGGATGGAGGTCCCCACACCTGCACTGGTCCCATCCATCCCACCCTGTGGGTAAAACTCCTTCCTGTTCCTTACTGCTAAGGGGGCTGACACTGGGAGCCACCAGAACTGGTAAGGCCCAGGCTGACTTGGGCAGGTCCCGAGACTGTATCCGTTAGAGCCAGTGGCCTGAGCTGGGAGGCCACGTGATTTATGAGCCCTTTTGTTTTTGGTGGCGGAACTCACCCAGAACTTGACCAGGAAGAAGGCATGGGGGGGCCCACGATCATACAGCTCCCGCAGACCACCCTTTTTCTCAGGGAATTTGTCATAGATCTGCCGGACGTCCACACTCTCGAGGGGGGGCGCTCCAGGGCTGGGGCAGTGCTGGCTGATGTGTACAAACAGGTGCCTCTGGTACTGAGGAGGGACGGCCAGGAGTAAGGAGTGGGAGACGGGCTGGACCCCCAGTCCTCACTGCCCAAGCCCATCCCTCACTCCATCACCATCTGCCACAGCTCTTGCTAACTGTTCCACAGGGCCTAGCTCTCAGGCACTGTCCCCACTTCCTGCTGCCCTTTTACTCCCACATTCCCTCAGTCCCCAAGCCCTGTCCGTAGTGCCCAGTTCTCTGCCCTGTCCCCTGATCCCCATCCCCACGGCTCTGTCCTCTCCCACCCTCACCCCAGCCTTCTCCTTGGCTTCCCAGCCTCCAATCTCTCCTCTCCAGTTCCTCGCTCACATGGCTCCAGAGCTGACCAACCCCGCTCTTAATCCTCCCATGGCTCCCCAGTGCCTCCGAGGACAAAGCCCACACCCCCTCAACCTGACCCCGTATTAAAAAAGTTTTCATGGATGGATGGATGGGAATCCACACAGCCCACATCAGGACTTCCTATCTGTTCCTTTTTTTTTTTTTAACTTATTTATTTGGCTGCATCAGGTCTTAGTTGTCATATGATGTGGGATCCTCAATCTTTGCTGTGGCATGTGGGATCTTTAGTTGTGGCATGTGGGGTCTAGTTCCCTGACCAAGGATCAAACCCTGCATTGGGAGCGTGGACTCTTCACCAGTGGACCACCAGGGAAGTCCCTCTGTTTCTATTCTTATCACTTCTGTTCACACCCTGAAAATATTCCCCTTCTCCTTTTCCAGAACTAATCCCCGCTCTGATCTTCCCAGGCTCAAGTCCATCCAAATCTGCCTTTTCCTGGAAGCCTCCCTGGATCGCAATCAAATGGCATCTCTCTACCCTCCCTTTCCCATGGTTCCCCATCACCCTCTACACAAAGCCTGGGTCCCTCACTCAGCTTGGCAATGCCAGCTTTTCCAGAACCAGCTCCCCCCATATTTGATTATTTGTTTTCCTGAAAACTTCATGCTGTTTCTATCTCCGTGTCTGAAGCATCCAGTTCTGCACATGGCAAACTCCTATATAACCCTCAAAACCCAACTCAAATGTTGTCATCTCAGGGATCTGTTCACTCACTCCCCAGATATGATTCCTCTGTACACTCAGAAAAACATGAGCTTCCCCTATCCCAGCACATATTTGACATCTATCAAAAGACCTATGGTGTGCAAGGCACTATTCTGGGTCCCAGGGCTACAAGGCAAAGTCTCTGACCTCAGGGAGCTACTGGCAGAAACAGGAAAATTTTTAAATCTTTCCATAGGTGATAGAACCTTCAGAAAGTGATGTATGCTATGAAAAAATAAACCACCGGGATGGGGGGAAGAGTGATGGTAGCTGGCATTTCCATAAAGTGGCTTGGAAAAGCCCATCTGAAAAGATAATCAAGCAAAGCAATGAATGGGTGGAAGGAGAGAATGGGTATATCTGGGAAAAGCACATCCAGGTGCAAAGGCTCTGAACCAGGAGCGGGTCTGGCATGTTTCAGAAAGGGCATGGAGGTCAGTATGGCCAGACCAGAGTAAACAAAGGTGAGAGGATAGGAGGTAAGATCAAAACAGGAATGAGGGTCAGACCACCCAGAGCCTTGTAGACAACTGAAAGGACGCTAGCTTTTGCTCCAAGTGAGACGGGAGGGTTTTAACCTGATCTGACTTGGGTTTTACCAGGACCACGATATACAGAAACTGGTGTTTAGATCGCTGTGGCAGATACTGCTGTGTTCACAAACCCCATTTCCTTTTCCCACCACTAAACTACACTTCCCAGGCTCCTTTGCAGTTAGGTGTAACCATGTGACTAAGTTCTGGCCAATGGGATGTGAGCAGACCTGATAGTTGCCACATCCAACTCAGACTCATAAAACTTGCATAGTTCTTGACTCTCTCCCTTCCACCATCTGCCAGCCAGATGCAGAGCATCCAGCAGCATCTTCTAGAGTCCTAGAAAATGGCAGAGCCACAAAATGGAAGAAGCCTGGATTTCCCAAATCATTCTGTGGAAGGCTCCTAACGACCAGCCATATTGAAATGTTAATGAGTGAGAAACTTCTATGATGTTCAACCCCTGAGGGTTGGGAGTTATTACTTCTAACATTCAGTCCACTTGGGCTGTTATGGCACCTGTCTCCATCCTAAGCCAGGAAAGCTCACACCTAGAAACATATTTTCTTCCCCAGGTTCCCAGTATCCACCACAAAGCCTAGTGCACAGTTGGCACTCAAAAATGTTTACTTAATGAATGAGCAACGTCCTGAGGGATTTCTCTGGCTTTCCCAACCCATGACCCCATGACCTTCTAGTTCCTTTATTCTAGTAGTTCTCAAAGTGTGGTTCCTAGACCAGCAGCAGCAACATCACCTGGTAGCTTGTTAGAAATGCAAAATCTCGGATCCTACACCAGATCAACTGAATCAGAAATTCTAGGAGTGGACCTAGCAAACTATGTTTTAACAAGCTCTCCATATTATTCTGATACATGCTAAAATTGGAGAACCACTGCTTTATGCTTCCCCTTGCTAGAACCCTCTTCATTCCAAAACCCTCCCGTGACTATCCCAAAATTGCACTCACAGAGTCAGCTGCATCTGGCGGTTCCACAAAGGCTGAGAACTCCACCAGCTGCAACCGAGCAGTGCCCAGAGCCCGAGCCTGCCAGGCTGGGGGTGATGGGGCAGGTGGGGGCAAAGCGGGAGGTGAGAGGGCTTGGGGGGGCTCGTACCCTAGAAAGAGAGAAGAACAAACAATAAAAATTGCTAACATTGATTGACTCTGTCAAGCACTGTTCTCTCTTGCCTGCCTCCTCTTAGAAGCTGAAAAAGCTAAATACTCACTTTCCCAACCTCCCTTGCAGCTAGAGGTGGCCATGTGACACAGTCCTAACCAATGAGACGTTATGGAAAATCTGCTGGGGGGCTTCTGGGAAGGAGTTTCTTCCTGAATGAAAAAGACAGAACTTTGGGAGGAGAGAGCGTTTGGCTCTGGTGAAGTCCTCCTTGGGCTGTGATGCCTGGAGTCACAACAGCCATCTTGGGATAAGACAGAGGCCACTAGAGAGATGCCAGTCCTGGTATTGCTGAGCTGCTGAACCAGCATAGGAGCAGTCCACCTCCAGACTTTTTGTTATGTGGAATCATAAAGCCTTTACTATTTAAGGCACTATTAATTTGGATATTCTGTAACTTGGAGCCAAAAGCATTCCCACTTGATGAATCTGTGAAACCTGAGAGTTGTTTCACCAATGTGAGTTCTTAGGACCACCCAGCATGGACTTCTGGAAGTCATCTTTGCTATCAGGTGGACAGAGCCTGCCAGAGAATGAAGCCACCACAGAGGAAAGCAGAACCAAGCAACTCCTGTTGCTACCATTTGAGCTCCTGTATCCAGCCATGCCTGAACCCCTAACTCCTGAAATATCAGTTACCTGAACCAATAGAATCTCTCCTTTTTGTTTTTTTCTTTTTTTGATCATCTAGCTTGATTTGGATTTTTATCACTTGCAGCTGAAAGAATCTTGATTAATATATCAATGTCCTTGATATCCTTCAGGTTAGCAAGTGAATAAACATAAACCCAGTAGATCTGGCTACAGAAGCGAGGATCTCAACCACTACAAATTCTGGCACATCTTTCCACACTCCCACAGGCCCTGCCTCAGAGCTAGATGTCAATAAGATGGTACCCCCTAATTCATGGAGGGTAGAAGGAAAGGCAGCTGGAGCTGAGAAGAGAGGGGAAAATGAGGGAGGGTGGAGAAAAGGCTCTTACCTGGGAGGTCAGCAGATGGAGGAGTCAGTGACAAGGAGAACGGTGTCTGCGAGAATGGCTTCACACTGAGGGAGAAAGGAAGCTGGGGGTCAGCAAAAGGAAAGATGCCTATCATACCAGCTAACAATTACTGAGGGACCATGGCAAGCCAGACCCTGTGTAAGCACATTATGGGCACCATTTCGTTGAAGACTCATAGCCTATCAAGGTAGGTGTTATGATTGCTTTTCTCATTTTGCATAGGAGGAAACTGAGACAAACAGGGTCAACTGACCTGCCCAAAGTCACACAGCTGGTATGGCGGAACCTAGGTTCAAACCCAGATCAGCCCCCACCACAAAGCCTGTGATCTTAAGGGGCCCCCAACTTTTCTGGCACCAGGGGCTAGTTTCACGGAAGACAGTTTTTCTCCAGCCCAGAGGTGGGGGCAGGGGGGAACAGTTTCTGGATAATTCAAGTGCATTACATTTATTGTGTGCTTTATTTCTATTATTATTATATCAACTCCACCTCAGATCATTAGGCATTAGATCCTGGAACTTGGGGACCCCTGGTCTAGAGGATATTCTGGTACCTCTCACAAAATGGCAGAAAGAGAACACGAATGGGGTCTCAAGAGGTGGGAAGAAAACAAAACATAGGAAACTTGGAGAAAGAGGAGGCTGAAGGCTCAGGAAGGTGGGGAGAAAAAGACCAGTGGGACATCAGGCCAAAGTTCAGGGTAAGGGAGAAGAACAATAGAATCTAAAACAGTGCTGTCCAACTCGCAATAGCCAAACATGGAAGCAACCTATGTGTCCATCAACAGATGAACGGGTAAAGAAAATGTGGTACATATATACAGTGGAATACTACTCAGTCACAAAAAAGAATGAAATAATGCCATTTGCAGCCACATGGATAGACCTAGAGATGATCAGACTAAGTGAAGTAAGTCAGACAGAGAAAGACAAATACTATATTATATCACTTACATGTGGAATCTAAAATATGACTCAAATGAACTTATCTACAAAACACAAGCAGTCACAGACCCAGGGAACAGATTAGCAGATAGAAACTATTATATAGAGGATGGATAAACAACAAGGTCCTACTGCATAGCACAGGGAACTATTTTCAATATCCTCTGATAGACCATAATGGCAAAGAATATGAAAAAGAATGTATATATATGTGTAACTGATAACTTTGCTATATATCCAAAACTAACATTGTAAATCAACTATACTTCAATTAAAAAAAAATTTTTTTTTAATAGACATTCTGAGAAACATAATAGTGAAAGAAGAAAACTGGCATATGGATCACACTTCAATTTTATGTTTACATAGGTGATGATTTAATTAACATTCACTGTCCCGCATTTGACTATCAACTACATAAAGATGGGATCCCGGTACCCAGTGCAAAGCTTGCTGAACCACCTCTCCTTCCAGCCCAGCCTTCTCCCCTGCAAACCTGTGGTTCCTTTGGCCCCCAGAGACTTGTTCAGACAATTTGCTGTGCCCACACACAGCAGCTCCCCAATGAACTTTCTTCTCTCCCAGCCTGGATCCCACAGCCTGTCTTTCCCTAGTAACACTCACCATGCTCCTTCCTCACCATCCTGAGGCCACAGTGTTCCACCAATACCCACCTAGCCTGGATCCACTGCCCCCTCTCTGGGCTGAAGACTCCATTTCCCATGAGCCTCTGTGGCCCATTTCTAGTCTTCTAGACTGACGGACAGGGAGGCCTTGCGTGCTGCAGTCCATAGGGTTGCAAAGTGTTGGACACAACTAAACAACTGAACAACGAACAACAAGACTAAAAGCATATCCTGTCACCCTCAGGGTTCTCAGAGATGAGAAGGGGCCCGTTTCCTTCCTTCTGACTCTGAGAGAAGATAAAGATCCCTGCTCTTCTCTCAGACCCAAGAACCACCTTTATGGGATGAGAATGAGCTTTCCCATGAGCCTCTGGGGCTCCACTCATTCCTCTAGACCTACAGAGGTTCCCAACACTTTGCACCTACAACTACTGCCTTTCCCATGAGCCTCTGGGACTCAGACAATCTCTCTGGGAGGTCATTACCCACCATGGACATCCTACAGGGACTCTCACATTCATCAAATCCCACACTGAGCTCATTTCCACCCCAAACCCACTCCTCCCCCAGGCTGCACATCTCTGGATGGTCCCACCTACCCCAGTCACCAGCCAGACCCCAAGCATTGTCCTTGCCTCCTCCCTCCTCAGCCCAGCAGGCCCCAGCCTCATTTCTCCTCCTCCTGTCTCTCTGTCCCTGCTCAGACCAGCTCCTCTTCTTCAGATCACTGCCCCAACCTCCTCCCTGGGATCCAAATCCAGACAGCCTGACTCCAGAGTCTACATTCACAAGGAAGTTGGGAGCTGGAAGTTGGAGTAAGAAAGGTTTGGGTGGAGAGAGAGGAGAGGGTTGGAGGGGGAGGGGGAGCAGGTGCTGAGCTGGAATAGAAAGAACTTACTCTGGAACATTCCAGGGGGGCCCAGAACTCCCTGACCAAAACTGGAAAAGCTCCGGGGTCTGTAGAAGAGACAAAGAAGGGTGGTGTCAATCAATTTCCTGTTGAAACTGCAATCCCATCCCTCCAGCCCTAAACCCCACAATGTCCACCCAGGCCACCTGAGGACCGGTGGGACCCAGTTTGGCCTGCAGGGAAGGTGCTGAGATGAGCTGGGCAGAGGACATGGTGGCCATTGTCTGGAAAGCCTTGTCCTTGGAAACCTGGTCCTGGAGGAGAAGTTGGAGGCCCATGTTAATGGGGAGTCCCAGTGGATACAGGAAGGGTGGGACAAGGACAAGGCAGGGCAAGCCTGAGGAGATGCAGAGTTGGGAAGTCAAGACAAAGCATCAGGGGCAGGTTCAGGTCCCTCTCACTAGAGCCCCCTGCCCCTCCTGGCCTCCTCAGGAATGTCTGTCCGGGTAAGGGAGCGAGTGGGAGGATGGGCAGGGGGACTTACCACATTCAGGGCCTGCCCATGGGGGTGGGGGAGGGCGCCAAAGAAGGAAAGAAAGCATAATTTAGGAAATGAGGCCTGGACTCCTCCCACCACCCCACACACACACCTTCCTGCCCTCCCAGCCCCTACGGCCCAGCCACCCTGAGCTGACCAAAGGGAGGAAGGGGGAACAAGGGATGAATATGGAACAAGAAATAGAGAAGGCCAAGCCTAGAGGGGGAAAGGGGCTCCCCCATCCAGAATATAAGACAGTAATGAGGGTTTCTAGGTTTCAGGAAGAGCCGGAAGTGGAGGTTTCCGAATATGCAGACCACAGGATATGAGACTATTAGACCCGGAGGGAAGAGACACTGAAGGCTTCTCAGCCCAGGCAGGACAGAGGGGGAACAGCAAGCTCCAGAAAAGACCAAAGACTGGAGGTGAAGGTTGCAGACTTAGTAAAGGGAAGGGGAGCTTCTGGAAGCGGTGGACCCCAAGTCCTAGGGAAGAGCAAGAAAAGACCTCAACTCGAAAGAGAAGGAAAATGAGGATCTCGGGCCAAGAGGGAACAGGAAATCCAGAGCATGCAAACAAAAGTAAAGGGATATGAACATCTCCAAAAGGAAATGAAGATTTCTGGGCACAGAAAGTGCAGGCGGGCCACACGGGAAGATGAACCAGGAGATGAAGAGGAGATCTTCACAGCACCAGAGGGAAAAAGCAATGAACACCAGGGAGAGAAGAGGGAGGGGAGGGGAAGGAAGACAGGAGCAGTCAGAGAAGCCCAACACCTCATCCTTCTTGCCTGTCCTAAGCTAAATCTCAGTCCCCCTCTCTCTATGACATTTTTCTACCCAGGGTCTCCGTTCACCCCCTGGCTGGGCCACTAACCCCCCACCCTGGGTCTCTGCTCTCCTGCTCTGTATGCCTCTCTGGGTGACTCTGTCCCCCTCTCCAGGTCTCTGCCCCACACCCTGGGTCTCCTCTCTTTCTCTGCATCTCTACTGCCCTCCCTCTCTTTCTGGGTCTCCATCCCTTCCACCTAGGTCTGTGTCCCCGCTCTCGCTGGTGCCTGTCCCCCTCTCTGAGTGCCTGCTTCCCTCTCAAGGTGTCTGTCACAGTTCCTTGACCTCTACCTTGAGCTTGGACTGGATTTCCCTCGATTTCCTTCGGGCCAAAACCTGGATGTGACTAGAGACCTGAGGGAGGGACAAAGCAGCAGGTTCAGGCCACAGCCACTCACGCCTTGCACCCCCTAGCCCTCCTCCCCCGCTCCAGGTGCCCCCACAAAGCTGGTGAACACGAAAGATGACAAATACACAGAATGGGCCCGCCATCTCGGCATTTCGGAATCAATGTGTCCATAAAGGCCTCTCTCTTCTCACGAACACTACTAATCATCCCCAGATCCAGTAAATCCAGGTCTTATTTCCCTTTCACACCTTGTTCTCTTTGGCCCTCTGTTCGGTCTTACCCTCTGGTTCCCATGCAATTGCTAAGAGAACTATACCAAAACAGGCACAGTTAGCGCACCCTAACCAAGGTGCCAAGAGGAGAGACAAAAGCCCATGAACAAGCCCCTCCTCTAACCTGAATCTGCCAGTAGGATGAGAAGACAAGCCCACCCCAGACAGAAGCCCACCAGACAGTCCTGAAACCTGTTTGCGAGTTCGGGTCTTTCCCGTTCTCAGCTTGATGTAGCGGGCAATCAGTTCATTCCGACCTGAAAAGTCAAAGATGGAAGAGAGTTAGACCTTCAGCAGAACTTCCCAACAGAGAAGACACCAGGGAAGGAGAGAGAGGCAACATTTCCACAGCAAGCCACAGGCTACACGGGAGAGGAGTTATGATTGCAGGCTTTGGAGACAGGCAGCCTGGGTTCAGATCCCAGTTCTGCCACACGCTGGCTCTGTATGGCCTCAGGCAAATTACTTAGCCTTGCTGGGCTTTGGGTTCCTCATCTCTGCAAACTGTGATGCTAACTCCTACCTGAGTTATCGTGAGCACACGATGTGCTTTTATGTGAACAGTGATGAGAGCTTCCACCAATGTTCCTTAATATTTTTTATTAACCAGTGGGGGCTAAGGCAAAAACGAGGGCTGGACTCACCATACATCTTGCCTTCATCAGACAGGATGATTTTCCGCCGGCCACAGGGCGGGTAGATGGCCAGGGCCTCCTGGAAGCTCTGCTCGATGTCTGGACTCCAGACACCTTCTGCGTCTGGGCCCCCGTCGCCCCCCGCCCCCTCACTGCCGCCGGTGCCCTCCTCGCTTCCTTCCTCACTTCCTGTCCAGCCGCTGCCATCGTCCAGGGGGGCCCCAGCCCGGGGTTCCCCCATCTGGGCCTGGAGGAACACAGAGTTCAGCAAGGTTCCCTGGATCTACCCAGAGAGACCTCAGAACAGAGGTCCAGATCACTGGGTCCGAGGGGAGAGGCTGGGGGCACCTGGACACCCGGATCTGAGGCAGGAGGGGGCTGGAGGCTGACCTCCTGGATCTGAGGGAAGCAGGAGACTGGGAGCCTGGATTCCTGGGTCCTGGAGAAAAAGGGGCTGGATTTCTGGGGAGGCTTAGGGTGAGAGGGTTCTCATCTGTGCTCTCAGTGGAGCCTGGATTGTGATGAAGTCTTACAGACCCCAGAACAATGCCTAGGGTCCAGGAGGGCTGAAACTTTAGCTGTGGATCACTAGTTTAAAGAAGACAGGCGTCAGAGCCTAGCTGCAGGGACGGGGGACGTGGGTGAGATCTTCTCAGTCCCATGCCAAGAACAGGTGCCAGGGTGTGAGCAGCAGCTGCTAGAAAAGGAGGGGCACAGGCCCTAGGAAGGCTGAGGGCAGATCCAGAGACAGAGACTCAGAGAGGACAGAGATCCAGAGACAGGGAACACAGACCTAATGTCGAGGGACAGAGATCCAGAGGGAGGGGGCCCAGAAATCCAGAGAGAGGGAGACAGAGACCCAGAGGGAGGGAACAGAGACCCAGAAGGAGGGGGACCAGAGATCCAGAGACAGGGGCACAGAGACCTAGAGAGAGAAGGACAGAGACTCAGGGCAGAAACTCAAGCCAAGACCGGGAAAGACCCACAGAACCACAGACTGGGGGGCAGGGGCGCCCTGCCATCAGGAGAGCCAGAACAAAGGGCCCAGGCGTCCCCTCCCCCAGTTTCCCACAACCCCTATCAGGGGAGGGACTGGCCAGCGAGGGCGCCTCCCCTCTGGCCCCCAGCCCCGCCCCTTCCCTCCCCTCCCCCCCCTCCCTGCGCCGTGGGCTCGGATCCAACTCAAGTTCCCAGTGACTTTCCGGAGGCCGGGAACAGGGGGAAACTTTTTCCAATACAGTCAGATCCCGCCTCCCTGGCAGCTCCACGTCTTCCACGGCTTTCCCAGGACCCCAGAGTCCGGACTCCCATCCCCCTCCTCCCTCGGACCCCGGAGCCCCGGTCCAGACAGACAAAGACCCCAGGCCGAGCCCAGTGGCGCTGCGGCTTTCAGGACCCCCGTAGGCCAAAATCCCAACCCAGCTCTCCCCCATGTGGCCAGACAAAGGGACGGAGGAGCCGAGTCATAAAGGTTCCCCCTAATTTCCCGCCCCAGGTCCCAAACCCCCAGAGCGACAAGATGAAGATCCAGAAAGTCCCGGAGCCCCCTTTCGGCCACCCAGGAGGCCTCTTTTCTCCATGAGGAGGACCAGGCGTCCATAAATGACACGCACAAACCAATTCGGTCAGAAACAAGCATGAGGCCCCTTCTCACTTGAAACCGACACCTCCACAGACACTCACAGCCCCCAGCGTCCCCAGCCCGTACTCACTCCCAGGCGCACACTCCCAAACTCAGACACATCAAAAGACACCCGAACTCTGACGAAAGTTGCAACTCCACACTTAGACTCGGTCTCAGCGCAAATTCCGGCCCCCGGTCATAAAGAGGGCGGCAAGCAATTCAGAGACCGTCCCACGAACACCTCAACTCATAAGGTGTAACTTCCCACTCGAACTCACACACCCCAAAGCACGATCCCCGACTCCCGCCGGCGCCTTCCTACCTACCTCCCGGCCTGGGGCTGGGGAGCCGCGGGCGGGCGGGGCTGCGAGGGAGAAAGTTGCCCGGGAGCTTTGTTTGGGAAAAGTGGGAGGGACCGGAGGGGGGGCGGGTCCCGGCGCCGGACAGCGGGAAGGGGGATCCTACGGTGACAGTTTCGGAGAGAATTTTTGCTTTGGCCAAAGAGAGGTGAAATCTAGCCGGGGCCTGTGAGAATTCCGAGATTCTGATGCTTGGATCCCTGAGAGAGGAGGGGAATGGAGGGTCTGGCCACTTGGGTCTGAGGGAGAATTGAGGGGGCCTGGAAACCTGGAACTGAAGCAAGAAGGGACTGGGGACCAAGCTTCCTGAATCTGGAGGAGGAAGGGTCTGGGGCCCGGCCTCCCAGCCACCCTCCAGTGTAGTTTGTGTATTGCAGATGTGGAAGTGACTGATATTAATAGAAACACAAAAGAATCTTCCCTGTTCAGTCTCAAGTGTATTTTTGAGGATACAAGTATGGAGATGGGTTTCTTACTGATTTCCATTGATTTCTCTTGATTGATTGGCCTCCTTGTGACCTCATCAGAGTTAAGGGTCGTGGGCAAGACGACTGGGAGTTTATTGGAAGTTTAAGAAGACGCAGACTCCCGAATCAACATGCACTAGTGGACTAGAGGTGGCCTCTGTCCCAGGACCAGGAGAGAGCCTTGGTGCTGGAGGAGAGAGATGAGAGTCCCTTAATTATATCCCTTAAAGATGAGTGTTCAAACTGAAGAGGCTAGAGGGGCTGGATTAAGAATCTCGTGTCCTGAGGAAGAAGGGAGCCCAGGTTCCAAGTTCCCTGTAAGGTGGGACATAAGGCTGCTTTTAGGGTTTCTAGGGAGGAACTTTTTGGTGGAACCGTAGAGTTCAGCGTCCCTACATTGCCCTCTGTTGAGCGCATTAATCGTTTCAAAACCTAAAGAAGACGAGAAGGGACACGGAGAAGCTTTCGAAGATAGATACAAAACTAAGCAGTGGGTGAATCAGAAGGACTGTTCAGATACCTGTATTTCAAGAGCAGAGGGAGCCTAGGAATGGAACTGAGGGCTCTAGGGACAAGATCCAGGGCACAGAGGCGTGGCCTAAGTGTGGGGGAGTGGCTCTAAGTCAGGGGCAGGGCCACCTTCGACTGGAGCTAGACTCCACCACGATGGCCAGTATCAAAGAATATGGGCCAAACTGAGTCTCCAGGGCCGAGGTCAGTCGACAGAGACGCGGTCTGACTATGGGGGTGTGAATTTGAAATCAATGCCCGGCTCTGGCTTAAGGGGCGTGGCTCCTACCACGGGTGAGGCTGCCCAATAGCGGGCCGACCTCAGGGGTGAGGTAAGCAGATGGGCGTGGTCAGACAATAGGGGCGGGTCCAGGGCTCGCGGAGCACCTCCAACGCTCCAGTATCCGACCTGGGCTCGAGAACAGAACTGTTTGGATTTAACAGTCCGTGGACCGCGGGAGTCTTGAGTCTGGTGACCGGGCTGTGGTCTAGTATAAAGGCGGGGCCCAGAAGAAGGGGCGGGGCGTGGGAGAAGGTGAGGAGGAATGAGATCTGGATATGACTGTGGGAGAAAGAAAGAAACGAGATCCGTTGTGTGAGACCGAGCCCTGAGGAGCAGGGTCTGGAGGGAGGGGAGGGGCCGGACTGGACGGGGGATGTTGGAGTAGAAGGTAAGGGGAGGGGGGCAAATGGACGGAGTCTGAGGAGTTTCCGGACCAGGGGTCGGGAAGTGTCCTTGTCTAGGGGAGGGGGAGCTCTGATCCCTGTCCTCGCCGCAGCCTCCCGGCCCGCCCCGTCATGTGGCACCGGCTATTCCCGTTGCTGCTGCTCTCCTCTGCCTCGGTGCCCACCTCCACTGCAGCCCCGATCCGCGATGGTGACGTCCAGGAGAGCTCCTCAGGTTTTCTAGGTCTTCAGAGTCTACTTCAAGGCTTCACACGGCTTTTCCTGAAGGTAAGCGGTGGCCTGGGTTGGGGGAAAGAAGAGAGAAGAGGAACAAGGGTGACAGATGGTGACTGAGGGATGGAAAGAGTTCAGAGAAGAAAGAGTGGGAGAGGGGTCGTGGCCAGGATGAAAGATAGACAAGGAGAGGAGTCAAGGGGCAGAAAGATGGATGGAAAGACCGAGCGATAGGAAGAGAGGTAGGGAGACAGGAGGAGAGGGCAATAGGGACAGAGAGACAGAAGACAGATGAGGGGCAGAAATAGGAAGGTGATGGGACATATGGGGGCAGGAAGTGACCGAGTTAGGCCCTCAGGTCAGAGGATGGAGAGAGAAGGGGGACCCTAACAAGACTCTAGGTGTCCTGGGGAGTCTGGAGGTTCCACAGCTCACTGATTCCTCCTCTGGCCCAGGATGATCTGCTGCGGGGCATGGACAGCTTCTTCTCTGCCCCTATGGACTTCCGGGGCCTTCCTAGGAACTACCACCAAGAAGAGAACCAGGAGCGCAGGCTGGGAAACAACACTCTCTCCAGCCACCTCCAGATTGACAAGGTGCCTATGCCAGGAAGTCCCTCCTGGAGTATCCCCACAATCCCTCATGTTGCAGTATCTGGTGGGGGGGTGGGGAGAGCAAAGGAGGAAGGCAGTTTTGTTCTCACTCTCTCCTCCTGTCCTCACAGGTGACCAACAACAAGACAGGAGAGGTACTGATCTCTGAAAAGGTGGTGGCATCCATTGAGCCAAGAGAGGGGAGTTTGGAGGGTGACTGGAAGGTTAGGACACACCCCTGGCAAAGTGTCCAAGCCCAAACATTTTCTGTAGTTTAGCAAGAAATGATAGGTTAATGAATTGACTCTCCCGCTCCCTCTGTGCTGGACTTTCTCTCTCTGGGCCTCAGTTTTGTCATCTGTCAAAAGGGACTAACCAGCTTTCAGAAATGAGGTTTACAACCTCAGAGATACATCCTCTCTTACTTTAAACCCCAGAGGATTTTGTAAACCAAAGAAAGTGCATTTTTCCCCAAATAAGATTTACCCTCATAAACCTCAAAGAGTGTTTTGATCTCAAAGTACTCAAACCTCCGAGTATTTTTTAATCTGTCCCAAAGAGCTTGGTAAATCTCTTCCTTGTAAATGTCAGAATGTGATTTTTTAAATAATTCCTAAGTACTTTATGAACCCCCAATCCTTTGTGCATCTCACCTTCATAAACCTCTAAGGGCAATTCTGATCACAAAGTGCTTTTTTTTAATAGTAAAAAGGTTTTAGAACCCTCAAGTGCTTGGTATACCCACATGGTTCTCCCCCACACACACTCCCAGTTTTTTATTTTAAAAATTTCAAATCTACAGAAAAGTTAAAAAAAAAAAGTACAATAAATCCGTATCCCATTTCCCACAGAGCAGGGTTTCTCAACAGCATCACTGTTGGTATTTGGGGCCATGTAATTTTTTTGTTGTGGGGGCTGTCCTGTGCGCTATATAATGTTTAACAGAATCCTTGCCTCTACCGCTGGACAGAAGAGGCACCCACACGCCCTCCAGCTGTGACACCCAAAAATATCTCCTCGACCTGATTCACTACCTGTATAACATTTTACCAGATGGACTCTTTTTTACCTTTTTATTTTTGAACCATATGACAGTAAACGATTGACATCACGACACTTCACCCCTAAATCCTTCAGCAGATAACTCCTAGGAATAACACATTCACCTCCATGACCATAGTTCCATTTTTACACCCAAGAAATGTAACACTGATACCCATTATCTCAGGGCTTCCCAGGTGGCTCAGTGGTAAAGGATCCATCTGCTAATGCAGGAGATGCAAGAGATTCTGGTTCAATCCCTGGGTCAGGAAGAACCCTTGAAGGAGGAAATGGAAACCCACTCCAGAATTCTTGCCTGGGAAATCCCATGGACAGAGGAGCCTGGCAGACTATAGTAGATGGGGTCACAAAGAGTCAGACACGAGTGATCGACCCAGCACATACACACACACACACACACACACACACCAGTTATCTCCGTATTTGTTTTCTAGGGCTGCCATAACAGTCTCACAGATGGGGTGGCTTCAGCAACAGACGTGTATTTCTCATAGTTCTGGAGGCTAAGTGTCCAAGATCAAGGTGCCAGCAAGGTGGATTCCTGCTGAGGGCTGTGAGGGAGACCTTGTTCCGTGCCTCTGCCCTAGCTTCTGGTGGTTTACTGACGGTTTCTTAGTGTTCTTGGTGTATAGATGCATCAATCCCAGCTATCTTTATCTTCACATGGGGCTCTCTGTGCACTTCTAGGTCCAAATTTCCTGTTTTCATAAGAAACTGGTCGTGTTAGATTAGAGCCCACTCTAATGACCTCATCTTACCTAATGAAAGCCACAGTGACCCTATATGCAAAGAGGTCACATTCTGAGCTACTAGGGCAACCTCTTTGGCGCCGTGGACGTTTCATGGAAGACAGTTTTTCCAGAGACCGGGGTGTGGGTGGTTTGGGAGAAGATTCAAGCACATTTATTGTACACTTTAATTCTACTATTCTTACTTCAGTTCCACCTCAGATCATCAAGCATGAGATGTCAGAGGCTAAGGACCCCTGTACTAGGGTCCTAATGGACCTCAACACATGAATTGGAGAGCAGGGGGGAGACAATTTAATATGTAACCATCTCCTATAAGGCTTCCCAAACCTCAAGTGACTGAAACACAGACTCTGATTCAGTAGGTGGTTGGCGTGGGACTGCTCATTTGCATACCTAACAGGCTCCCAAGTGAGGCTGAGGCTGTGGGTCCACAGTCCTCAGTTTGAGTCACAAGGACCAAACAGACACTGAAATGTCCCTGCTGGACTGAAAGCTGTCCGCAAGAGCTCATATGATTTTTGATCCAGGATTCAATCAATTTTGATCCAGGATCACCCATTGCAACCATGGTCATGATTCATTAATCCCAAAGAGCTTTGTACAGTTCAGATTACTTTCTAAACCTCAGGGAATGCTTAATCTGGAAGTGCTTTTGAAACCTCCAAGGTGTTTTCAAGCCCAGAGTATATTATAAACATCAGAGTATTTTTAATTCTAAAATGCAAGTCCTTTGTAAATAAGGCAAAGTGAGCTTTACTGGACTGGCCCAAAAGTTTGGGTTTGCCCATAAGCTTGTATGGAAAGGGTTTTCCTGGTGGTTCAGACAGTATAGAAACTGCCTGCAATGCGCAAGAGACCTGGGTTTGATCCTCGGGCAGGGGTGGGGGAGTGGGGAGAGATCCCCCGGAGAAGGGAGTGACAACCCACTCCAGTATTATTGCCTGGGAAATCCCATGGACAGAAAAGCCTGGTGAGTTACAGTCCATGGTGTCCCAAAGAGTAGGACACAACTGAGTGATTAACACACTTCTCTGGAGCAATTCAAACGAACTTTTTGGTCAACTCTGTAATTCCCAAAGTATTCCATAGGTGGCAGAGTGGGTTGAGTATGCCAGGGGGGCATAATGAGGCTGACCCTTGGAGTTTGAGAGGGTCTCCTTGTTCCCCCTTCACCAGGTTCCTAAGATAGAGGAGAAAGAGGCCCTGGCGCCTGTCCTGAAGGCCGTGGACAGCTTCCACCCGGAACCCCATCCGCGAGTGGCCTTCTGGATCATGAAGCTGCCACGGCGGAGGTCCCACCAGGATACCCAGGAGGGCGGCCACTGGCTCAGTGAGAAGCGACACCGTCTACAGGCCATCCGGGATGGGCTCCGAGAGGGGACCCGCGAGGACGGACTCGAAGAGGGCACCCAGAGCGCCTCTTACTCCAAGCTACCCGCCCGCAAGACCCACTTCCTGTATATCCTCAGGCCGTCCCAGCAGTTGTAAGGGTGGGGCCCGGGGAACACCTGCATGTATCCTCCACCAGACCCCAAGCACCATATGGAAATTAAACCTTTTTTCCAGCAGCACTGTCTCCTTTTGGGATCTGTCCCCAGGCCTCCGTCAACCAAGCCTAGCTTTGAGCGTGACCGCTGGCTGAGCTGTGACTTCTTGCGCGAGTCTCCAGGTTTTTTCCTCATTCGGACGCCATCTGTCTTCCGGCTGAGCAACTCTGTCCTCTCCTCTGTCACCTCTCTCCCACCTGTACCCTCGGTTTCCATCTCTGTTACCGCCTGCTCTGCTTGCCCTCAGACTCCCAACTTTCACTCCAGTCCTTTCTGTCCACTCTGCATTAGCTTCCTGTCACTGCCACACAAACCTAGCAACTTAGTGCAAATGTATCCTCTCACTAATCCATAGTTCAGAAATCCAGGGTGGCTGGGCTGGTCCTCTGTGCAGGTCTCACAAAGGCAACATCAAGGTGTTAGCCAGCAGGGTTCTTACCTGAGGCCCCAGGATGCCTGTTTCCGAGATCATTCGGGTTGTTGGCACAATCAAGTCCCTTGAAGGTCCAACTGAGGTCCCTACTTCCTTGTTGGCTGTCTTCTGGGGCCACCCACTCTTAGCTCCTGGAGGTCTCTCTCCAGTTCTTGTATATGGATCCCACACCTCAAATCTCACAAAAATACACAAAAATTTTCTCTGAATTTCCCTTCTGCCCCATCTCCTTTATGCCTTCCTCCTCCCCTTCTAGCAGGAGAGAGTTCTCTGCCTTGAAGGACTCACAGGATTGGATTGGGCCCGCCTGGACAACATATGAGACAGTTTCCAGGAATTAGAGGGGGGCCATCTTTGGGGGAGGGGGCTTCCCTGGCAGCTCAGCTGGTAAAGAATCTGCCTGCAGGAGATCCTGGTTCGATTCCTGGGTCTGAAAGATCCCCTGGAGAAGGGATAGGCTAACCACTCTAGTATTCTTGGGCTTCCCTGGTGGCTCAAATGGTAAAGAATCCACCTGCAATGTGGGAGACCTGGGTTCGATCCCTGGGTTGGGAAGATCCCCTGGAGGAGGGCATGAAAACCCATTCCAGTATTCTTGCCTGGAGAATCCCCATGGACAGAGGAGCCTAGCAGGCTACAGTCCATGGGGTCGAAAAGGGTTGGACACAACTGAGCGACTAAGCGCAGCATGGCATCTTTGGGGGAAGCCATTATTCTGCCCACTGCATGTCCGGACCATCACCTCCAGCCCCCAACTATGCATGTGCATTTCCACCTCACATCCACACCACTTGTTTCCACTCTCATCTTTTTTTTTTTTCCTGGCCATGCCACACAGTGTTGGATCTTGGTTCCCAGACTAGAGATCAAACCCATGTGCCCTGCATTGGAAGTGCACAGTCTTAACCTCTAGACCACCAGAGAAGTCTTCCTCATTTTGATCTTCTCCTTCCCTCTCAAATCACATGCTGACTCCATCTTGACTCACTCCATTTCTCTTTCCCTTTGTCCCTCTGTCTGTCCCTCCATGCCTGTCACTTCAGACTCCATCTCTGAGAGCCAGGCCTGCTGCCTCAGCCACCTGGAAACTCACAGTCCCTGTCTTGGGCACCCTGTCCACTTTGCCCACTTCCTCCAAATTCTCGGAGCAACTCCTATTCCGTCCAGAACACCTCCCTCAAGACACACCATTGAGAAGGCACATCTGGGTCTTTAGGTGCTGGGTCCTGCAGAGGAGGCGGACACAATGTGTATTTTCCCCCCTCAAAGCCCAGGTTCCAGGTGGAATCACCCTGCACAGAGACTCAGCACATTCAGGAAACTAGCAATGTATGGGTGCAAATAAAAGAGAACTTTCTTTGGGGGGAAAAATAGATTTTTTTTTTATTATCCCAAATAAGCATCAATGTGTCTTCATGGAGAATATCAAGACCTGATTGGCCGTTCCATACCTTCTCTCCCCAACCCACCCCCAGTCCCATTCACTTTCCCGCCATTGACAACTATTTGCGTTTAATGTGTACTTTTAGTAAGTGTATTTTTGGTATATTAGTCAGCTAGGACTGCCCTAAGAAAATACAACAGATTTGGGTGACTTAAACGAGAGACATTTACAGATCTGGGGCTGGAAGTCTGAGATCAAGGTGTTGACAGGTATCATGTCTTCTAAGGCCTCCCTCCCTGACTTGTAGGCAGCCATCTGTGTATCTTCATGTGGTTTTTTCTCATGCACGCACACATGTGTGTCCAAATTCCCTCCTCTTATAAGGACATCAGTCATATCAGATTAGGGCCCACCCTAGAGAACTCCTCTCTTTTTAAAAAGGAAAATATTTATTTCTTTGGTTTTGAGGGGTCTTAGTTGTGGCATGTAGGATCTTTAGCTGTGGCATCTGGGATCTAGTTTTCTGGCCAGGGATCGAAACCCAGCACCCCCTGCATTGGGAGCACATAGTCTTGACCACTGGACCACCAGGAGGTCCTGAGAACTCATCTTAATAATTCTTTTTTTAGATTTTTTTTCTAATGTGGACCATTTTTAAAGTCTTCATTGGGTTTGTTACAACACTGCTTCTGTTTTAAGCATTGATTTTTTTCAGCTGCGAGGCATATGGGATCTTAGCTCCTCGAACAGGGGTCAAACTCCATCTCCTGCACTATATGGCAAATTCTTAACCACTGGACCCCCTGGACCTCCAGGAAAGTCCCATCATCTTAATTATCTCTTTAAAGATCTTTTCTCCAAATATGATAGAATTCTGAGGTACCAGCGGTAAGGACTTCAACATATGCAGTTTCGGGGGACACATTTCAGCTCCTAACAGCAAGTAGTCTTATTTAATATGATAATTCCTTTTGATGCATATATCTTTAATTTTCATTGGAAAAGACCCTGATGATGGGAAAGATTGAGGATAGGAAGAGAAGGGGGCGACGGAGGATGAGAGAGTTGGATGGCATCACCGACTCAATGGACTTGAGTTTGAGCAAACTCTGGGAGGTAGTGAAAGACAGGGAAGCCCAGTGTGCAGCAGTCCATGGAGTTACAAAGAGTTGGACACGACTGAGCCACTGAACAACAAAAATTTTTAATTTACATTGGTGGTATTACATGCGTCATTCCGATGGGACTTTTTTCTTTTCAGTACCATCTTTATTTATTTTCTTGGTCGAATTGTGGAACATGTGGGATCTTAGTTCCCCAGAGAATGAACCCACATCCCCTGCAGTGGAAGCATGGAGTCTTAACCACTGGACCGCCAGGGAAGTTTCTCAGCACCATCTTTAAGATGCCTCCATACTGCACTGGTACATTCAAGATCCGCCCAATCCGTTGAATAAGATTCCATGGTCAACCTCGCCACCCTCTCAGTGAGCCACACCTGAGTTGCCTCTGATTTCCTACCATTACAAATAATGCTACAATAAACACTGGTGGAGAGCTTCCTGGGGCTTCCCAGGTGGCGCAATGTTGAAAGAATCCACCTGCTAATGCAGGAGGTGGAAGAGACACAGGTTAGAGCATTGGGTTGGGAAGATCCCCTGGAGAAGGAAATGGCAACCCACTCCAGTATTTCTTGCCTGGAAAATTCCATGAACAGAGGAACCTGGCGGGCTACAGTCCATGGGGTCGCAAAGAGCCAGATGTGACTAAGTGCAGCACAGAAGCAGCAGCAAACACTAGTATATAAGCCCCTTTGTGGTCCAGAAGAAGGACAGGATGGGGGGCTCTAATAAACAAAAGAATTGCTGGGTTGTAGGGGATGTATCTACCTATTTTGATTAGGCAGAATGTTCTGACAAGTCTGGTCTTTCTAGCAGTCCACACATGCCTGCTAAGTTGCTCAGTCATGTCCAACTCTGCGACCCCAGGGTCTGTAGCCCTCCAGGTTCCTCTCTCCATGGGATTTCCCAGGCAAGAATACAAGAGTGGGTTGCCATTTCCTGCTCCAGGGAATCTTTCAGACCCAGGGATCAAACCCGTCTTTTAAGTCTCATTCATTGGCAGATGGGTTCTTTACCACTAGGGCCACCTGGGAAGCCCCCAGTCCCTAAGGATTCCATAAACTTTAACCACATCTGGCATCTGGGGAAACATGCTTGTCTGCAGAACAGTTGAAGTATGCATACACATGTGATCCAGATACTAACATTAAGACACAGGTTTTAAAGTAACTATGATGAATAAGTTCAAAAAATAGATGAAAAGATGGAGAATTTCATCAGAAAACTAGAATCTAAAAGAGAGAGGAAAATAGAATAAAAGAAAGGGGAGAGGGAGATGGAATCCAATGTATATTTTAGAACTTATAAATTAAAAAGTCAGTAGATGAGTTTCACAGCATATGAGACACAGTGGGAAACAGATCAGGAGACAATATCTAGACTGGGGACTTCCCTGGTGGTCCAGTGGAAGTCCACACTTTCAGTAGAAGACTTCACACTGTGGGTGCAGGGGGCAAAAGTTCAATCCCTGGTTGGGGGATGAAGATCCCACATGCTATGCAGCCAAAAATAATAAACTAAAAAAAAAATCCAGATGAATCACACTGAATAAGGAGAGAAAATAGAGGGCATTTCCTGGTGATCTGGTGGTTAGGATTCAGTGATTTTACTGCTGTGGATCTGGGTTCCATCCCTGGTCAGGGAACTAAGATATCCCACAAGCCAGAAGGCACAGCAACAAAAAAAAAAAAAAAAGAAAGAAAGAAACAACTTATATCCAGCTTTTAGGCAAATAGAGAAGGGCAGAGGCCATTTTTGTATCTGTTTCTTGACTTGTCTTCGGCTCAAAACGATCCTTATGTCATAGTGGGATATTTTGGGGGTGGTATATTCTGCTACCCTTCATTGTATATAATATTAACATACAAAAATCAATTATATCCCTAAACATTATTAACACAAAGATTTTTACTGAAATTTTAAAAAATATGGTTTGAATCATCATAACAAGCAAAATACCTAAGAATAAACCTAACAAAAGATTTGCTAGATCTCTAAACAGGAAACTATGATACATTACTGAGAGTAATTAAAGAAAACCTAAATAAATAACTCATAGTAACAGTATTCATGGCTTCCCTGATGGCTCAGTGGTAAAGAATCAGCCTACCAATGCAGGAGACACGGGTTCAATCCCTGGTTTGGGAAGATCCCACGAGCTGCAGAGCAATTAAGCCTGTGCACCACAACTATTGAGTCTGTGCTCTAGCGCCCAGAACTGCAACTACTGAAGCCTGTGCACCTAGAGCCTAGACTCCACAACAAGAGAGCCACTGTGATGAGAAGCCCTAGCACTTTGAATAGAGATTAGCCCCCGCTTATCCCAACTGAAGAAAAGCCCATGCAGCAACAAAGATCCAGCAGAGGAATAAATAAATAAATAAAATTTTAAAACAGTATTCATAATTGCCAAAAAGCAGAAACAACCAATGTCCACTGAGAGTAAAATGATTCAATCCTGGCATATTCATAGAATGAATGGAATATTATACGACAGTGAAATGAATGACCTACTGCCATAGGATGGATTTTATAAATATAATGTTGAGCAAAAGAGGACATAATTAAGGGTGGTCACCTTTGGAGGGGCAATAATTGACTTCTGGGCTGCAGGCAATACTCTCTTTTTTAATATGGGTGGTTTCATTACTGTATTACTCTATTAAAAGCTTAATTGACCCATAACTTAGAATTTAGCACTTTATGTATGTTACAACTATACTATAAAACAGTTTTTTAAATTATTTTAGGTTTTACAAAATTATTTTCCTCAAAAAAAAATGGAAATAAACAAGAACTACTGAAGGAATAAAATGAAAAATAACAAAAAAGAAAAAAATGAAAGAATGAAATCATACTAATAAAGTCAGCGGGGGCCACCACTTGTCAGCCAGTGCTAAGAAAACACTAGGCAAGCATTCTTTTTTTTTTTTTTTTAGGCAAGCATTCTTATTGAACTCTTATAAGACTCCATGAGGTGGATATTGTTTGTTCCCATTTTATGGAAGAAGGGGAGGCTCAGGGAGGTGGAATCACTTGCCAAAGTCACACAGCAATAGCACTAGGTTTTCTGATTTCAAGTCTCATGCATTTAACCAATCACCACATCACTTGTTCTTTCCCAAGTGTTATAACAAGTCACCACCTAATAGCCAAAATAATAACTATCACCCAACAAGAATTACTAGTTCAAGCCCTCAAGGTACCTAAAAAGCAGTTATCTCCATTTCGAGGTGAGAAACCCGAGGCTCAGAGAGAGAGGGTAAGCCTTTGTGCCAAGGTTACAGGTAGGAAGTGATGGAGTCAAAATTCAAACCCAAGAAGGTCTGACTCCAGCCTTATCATCACTCTACACAGTCCAACAGTTTTGAGGCATGGATTCTGTACCTTCATTCATTCAACCAAAAATGTTTGAGAACCCACCCTGGGCCAAGGAATTCTAGCTCCCAACAGCCTTCTACCGCTAGGAGCTCACATTCCAGTAGGGGTGACAAAGACAGAGCACAAATCTCACGGTGGAGAGACGAGCCTCGCCTCAAGGACGAATAAAAAACTAAGTAGAGAGATGAGTCTGAATTATAGACTGTGTCAGAGGAAGGACTCTCTGAGGAAGTAACAGCTGGATGAACGATGATGGGATGAATGGGAGAATGTAAAATGATCTCTGTGTCTGGGCTAGCAAAGAGGCCGAGTGAGTGGGACACGCGTGCGTGCTAAGTTGCTTCAGTCGTGTAAGACTCTTTGTGGCCCTTGGGACTGTAGCCCACCAGGCTCCTCTGTCCGTGGGATTCTTCAGGCAAGAATGCTGAAATGGGTTGCCACGGCCTTCTCCTAGTGATCTTCCTGACCCAGGGATCGAACCCGCATCTCTTAAGTCTCTTGCATTAGCAGATGGGTTCTTTACCACTAGCGCCACCTGGGAAGCCCGGGTGGGACATCTTTTATCCTACATGCCCCTCGTCAGGAGTCTGCCGGGCTACAGTCCATAGGGTCGCAAACAGTTGGACACGACTGAAGCGACTGAGCACGCTCAGAAGTCAATTTGGGATGTAATTCTCCAGATGTAAGAGACGTGGGTTTGATCCCTGAGGGACAAAGGGTCCCTCAGGCCAAACTTCCCTTGCTTCCCACTTCACCCAAGCTTGAGGCCGCGGAGAAGACCCCAGCCTTGGGCACTTCCATCCAGCAGCCTTAATCCCTTCAGCCTTTATCGACTCAGCCAGTACGCATGCGCCCGCTTCACCAGGCTGGGGGCGCGCCCGGGCAGTCCTACGCATGCGCGGTCTCATGGGTAACCGTAGCGACAGGAGAGCGCCTTGTCTCGGTGTGCGCCTGCGTCCCGGGGAGGAGCCCGGGAGGGGCGTGGCCTACACTCCTCGTGCCGTCCCGGTCCAGCCCTGGCACCTTTCTTTTTCCGGTGGGAACAGCGAACGCGCGTCTCCTGAGGACCCAACTGTCGTTTGTCGTTCGTGCCCCTCAGTTGTGTCCCGAGACTGGAACACTGCGACGTGGCTCCAGGTGCGCCCAGGCCGTGGCGAGGCTCCCCAGAATAGCCGTGTCAGAGCCCCTCCCTCCCGAAATTCTGGCAAGACCCCAAATCCTAGGGGAGAGTCCCCAGTATCAGGGCCTTCCAAGTCTTGTTAAAAGTCTTAAAATCCTGACCAGACTTCCTCAGAGATACTGAAAGGAACCCTTCAGGAAATCTCGTAGATGACCCCTGAAATCTTGTCAGAATCTTCTAGCAATGCCGTCAAACTTCTCCCTCAGAGACTGTCAGAGCCTCTAACTGCTCCCAGGACTCAGGGGAGGCTCCCCCAGAGGAGCTGGGAGCCTGGGCCTGGGAGAACCAGGAAAGATGCTGAGTCCCCCTGGGCCGTGAGGGACCTGGAGGTTGGCCAGGGTAGAGAAAAATGACAAGAAGCCAGGAGTTGCAGGAACCACTCGGTGCCACACCAGCCCAAGAGGCTGGGAACTTAGGCCTGAGGTTACTGGGGAACCATGGGAGGGCTGGAAACAGGAGAAAGATGGGGTTCAAACTCAAGCAGAAGGCCAACAGTTCCAAATACAGGCTGATGGGTGAGAATGTAAGTAGCCCAGGGCGGTGTGGGAGCCCAGGGACATCACCTAGCCCAGAAACGGTTTCCAAAGGAGGGGATGTGGGAGCCAAGACAGGAAGGGCAGGCAAGAAGGATGTCCCCCAGGCAGAGACCTGGAGGTGGGAAGAGCCCACCCAGTTTGGTCAACAGCACAGGGTTCAGGGTTGCAAGTGGGTTTGAGGGTGGGGGAGGCAGGTGGGATCGGGTCAAGCCGGGCCTTCAATATCAAGTCCAAGGTCTCGACTCTCTTGGCAGGATGGACTGGAGTGGGAGACTGGAGGCAGGAGGCTGAGGAAGAGGCTGGGTCAAGGATTCAGGAGGGAAGGTTGAGGCCTGACCCAGAGCTGTAGGGAAGGAGAGGAGGGGACAAAGGAGAATCATAGGGCAGGAGGGACAGGGCTGGGGAACTTGACAAACTGGGGAAGAAGAGTGGCAGGAAGGAATAACCCCCACCCACCAGCCCGCTTTGATCTCTGCTGCCCACTCTTTAGGCCCCCATTTTCCCAGCCCACACCTCCAATCCATAAAGCAGGTCTGAACGAAAGCTGCTCTGGTCGAGGCAGGGATGGGCAAACAGGTTCTGAGAACCCAGAACGGCCTGGGGCACAGGAGGGGCAGGGCTGGTCCCCACCCTCGGGTGGCTGGTTGAGGAGGCCATTCCCCTGTTTGTCCTTCTAGGAGCTTGAGGAGCAGTCAGTCCCTTTTTGGTCCCTTCCAGTGACGGAGGGGAGCTGTTAGCTTCCCCAGCAGCTGCAGAGCAGCCAGGGTGGCCCATGGACATGCCAGAGGGCCAGGCAGGTGGCCCCACTGCAAAAAGTAAGTGACTGGGCCCCTGTTTGTCCCATTGGAGGGTGGGGAGGGAGCAGTGGGTGAACAGGGCACCAGGTTCTGACTCAGGGACTTGGAAGAGCTGGCCTGGGGTGGCTGAGCCTACACTTTGAGGCAGGGTGGGATGCAGAGAATGATCCTTGATGAAGTGCCTGCTGTGTGCCCACCTGTCTTTTGGGGAGGCCAAGCTGCAGGAGTAGAAACCTCTATACGCATGTGCCCGCTGTCTGCAGCGTCTCCTCCAGTGACCTACAGACTTACGGTCACTTCTTGCAGATCTCTGCTTTCTGTAAAGGAGCTGCCCTGTTTCTCTCTCTCCCCTTTCCTTCATTACTTTTCTTCAGAGGACTGACGTCTCTTCATCTGTCTGTTTAGACTCTGTCTCTCTGACTAGAACGTGAGCTCCACAGGGCAAGCTCCATTTTATTCATTCGGTATACCCAGTCCCTGGAGCAGCATTGGCCAACATGCAAACCATATATATATATATATATATATATATATATATATATACACACACACACATAATTTTAAATTTTGTTAGTAGCCACACTGAATTAAAAAGAAAAAAGAAACAGACAAAAGGGATGGCAATCATAGTATGATTTAACCTAATACATCTAAAACAGTGTCCTTTCAGCATATAATCAATAGAAAAATGTACTGAAGTTATTCTTTTTTTATACTAAGTCTTCAACATCTGGCTTTACACTAACTTTACACTAACATGAGTGTGTGCATGCTCAGTCACTTCAGTCGTGTCTGACTCTTTGCAACCCTGTGGACTGTAGCCCACCAGGCTCCTCTGTCCATGGGATTCTCCAGGCTAGAATACTGGAGTGGGTTGCCATGCCCTCCTCTAGGGGATCTTCCTGACCCAGGAATCGAACCCGCATCTCTTGTGTCCCCTGCATTGCAAGCGGATTCTTTACCCACTGAGCCACCTGGGAAGCCACTTTATACCAATAGAGCATCTCATCTCACTCTCACCACAGTTCCGGTCTCAGGAATCACTGTGGCCATCAGCTGTCCTGCTGATCGTGTTGCCCAGGAGCAATGCCTGACATATAATAGGAACCCAGTTACTAACTTTTGAATGATCAGATGGACACAGACCAAATGGGTGTGAAAGTAGCTTCAGGAGGAAGATGTTGGGTTGTCCTTTCTGCAACTCATCTATTAAACAGTGAGAGAGCCCAAGGGAGACTCCCACCCTAGAGGAGAGACACAGCCCCTTTCTTAGAGGCTCCTAGCATCCAGCCTCAAAGCCAGTGTCTTTTCTCTCTGGCCTCAGGAAGCTTGCCAGGTAGGAAGGCAGAAGGCAGAGACACCTGGGCAGGCTGACCAAGTGACCAGCATCTGAATGTGTAAACTTCATGTGCACCAGCAGAGGGCGTGCGGCCACTGAGGAACCTGTGGCCAGCTTTGGGAGACTCCCAGAGGAAAGGGAGGGACACATCCAGGAGAGATGGAGACTGAGGAAAGCAGGGGATGAAGAGAGAGAGAAAGTGACAGCGGAGGAAGGAGAGAGAAGCCTTGGAGAGTGGAGAGTCGCCGAGTTACGGGAGAAGAAGCACAGAGACCGAGAAGAAGATGGGGGTGGAGGACATGGAGACAGGCGGGTGGGACTTGAGGGCCAAAGAGATGGGGAGGAGGATGGAAAGAGTCAGAGACAAAACTGGAGAAAGAACAGGACAGACAGACAGGTAGAGACACTGAGGAAGGAAAGAGAACAGGAGAGAAGCAGAGCGACATCTTCCTGAGGGGCCCCGGGAGGCTGAGGGTCACATCTGCGCTGTAGATCCACGCAGCTCCTCAGACCCCACGACATCTGGAGCCAGGCAGTCCTGGGTGACCTCACTGGGCCGCAGGGTCCTCCTGCATAATGTAGGGGGGCACCACGTCTCCCCTAACTGTAGGTCCTGCTCCCTTTCCCTCAAAGCTGAAGTTCAAACCCGAAGGGGCTGAATTTTTAGCTCAATACAGAGAACCCTTGAAGAGTTAGTGGGATGAGAAATGGCGATCGAATGTTGAACATGTGACCTTGGGCAAGTTTCCCACTTGTCTGTGCCTAAGTATCCTAGCTTGTAAACGGGCTAATCATAGCAGCCACTGTGGTTCATGTCAAATGCTCAGAAGAGGCTTGGCTCCTAGTAAATGCTGAATAAATGTTCAGTTTTATTATTGAGCTTCCAGATTTTATTAATATCTTATCTCTTCTCTAGGAGGGAAGTAACCCCCACTCACCCACCCACCCATTTTCCAGAGGAAGAAGCTGAGGCTCAGAGAGACTGAGTCCCTTGCCCAGGTTGCGCTTGAGTCTGCCAGACCTTGGAGCCTGCACTCGGCCCTCTGCTATACCCAGCTGTTCAGGGGCAGGGCAGGGAGCTTCAGCAGTCACTTTCAGCCCTGAGAAAGATCCAGTGGGTCCAGGGGTGGAGAATATATAGGCTCCTTCTATATCTTGGAGCATTTTTTGAGTGCTTCTATGTGTGGGCACAGTGGCTACAGAGGCAGACAGACCCCAGGATGTTCACATTGTGCAGAGGTGGGAAGCAGGAGGTGCTCTTCACTTACACAGACCTCACCCTCCCAACCTCAGGGAGCGGGAGGATCACCCTATCCACCCGTTTTACCGGTGGGAAAACTGAGGCTCCAAAAGGAAAAGGGACTTGCCCACAGTCCTGTAGCTGGAACTCGTGAGATCCGAACCACTCCCCTACCACTCACCCTGCGTGGATTGTCCCATCCCCCTTTGTTTCAGGCCCCAGCCCGTGGGCGCTGATGACGCCAGCCAGCCTCGGGGATGTGGGGAGGAGAGACCCAGCCCTGAGGCGGCCTGGGAGACCGGAGATGCTGTGGGCAGGCAGGATCGATCGAGGCTGCCCGCGCGTTATCGGATTGTTCCTGGCTCCTGGGCCCCCTTCACCCTCCGCTTCTCCCAGAATCCTCTCTTCTTCACCCTCCTCTGCCCCTCGCCGCCTCTAAGCCAGGGAAGAGAGGAAAAAAGGCTATAAGAGTTTGTTCGGTATTGTGGGCTTCTGAGCCGATTGGACACAAAGGATTAGACAGCAGGGGGCCACTTCCTGGCCTAAAAGATGGGGGGCCCACATTCCCAAATAGGGGGGTGGGGAAGGTGACTCAAAGACCCTCACCTTGTGGCCCCCACCAGCCCAAACCCCAGGCAGCTTGGAATGAATTCCTTCCCCTCTGCAGGAGCCCGGAACCAGGGTCACCCCTCTTTGTTGTTCATCATCCCCCCTCCTCACAGATGGGCTGGCCCTCTTGTCTCCTTAGTGTACCTCTGGGACCAGGCAGAGGACGGGAACCTGGAGACACCGCTCAGCTTAGAGGAGCAAATACTCAACTCCACGTTTGAAGCTTGTGACCCCCAGAGAACAGGTCAGAGAGTCAAGGCATAATAAGGGATGGAGTTGGGGGGCTGGGAATTGGGGAGCCACAAAGAGAGGGATGGGTTGGGCTGATGTGGGTGACTGTGGGAAGCTTCAGAAAGGAAATGGATAGGGGATGGTGAGGGGAGGAAACTTGGGGGAGGAGGGTTAGCAGAGGAAGGCAGGGCTTTGGAGCCTGGGAGAGGGGGGAAGGGCAGCCACTGTGGGCCTGGTGGGGCTCAGCTGGTCCTCTTTGGTCCAGCTCTGAGGTGCAGATGACTGGGCCCCGTTTCCAGGTGAAAACGTTGACTTGGGGAAGAGAAGGGAGTTGCCCAAAGCCACAGTGCAGGGGTGCCACCAGCCCAGCCAGTGGTCCACACCTCTTAACCCCTCTCCTGCCCCAGCCTCCCTCACAGCCTCTCTGTCCCCAGGCACTGTGGCTGTGAACCATCTACTAGCCTACCTGGAGGCCGTGACTGGACGGGGTCCCCAGGATGCTCGCCTCCAAACACTGGCCTGCAGCCTGGACCCCAATGGGGAGGGCCCTCAGGCCACCGTGGACTTGGACACCTTCCTGGTGGTCATGCGGGACTGGATCACTGCCTGTCAGCTGGATGGGTGGGTCCCCGCACCTCCATCCCCCACCCCACCCCGCTCCGAAAACCTTTCCTGAGCTCTAACCTCATACCTGCTTACCGCAGCCAGCACCCTTTGGACACAGGGACCTGCTGTGGTTGGAAGGAGGCTGAGAAGAGAGAAAAGTAGTGACGAGGTCGGGGTGGGAGGAGGGCCCGAGGACAGAGTGCCTGGGATGGGGAGGCACAGGGAGGCTGAGGGCAGAAATAAAAGGGGCTGGAGAGAGGAGAAGCGGGATGTTGAGGGGCTGACAGAGGCCCCTCCCCATCCCTCCTCAAAGCGCAGTCCTTGCCCCTCCTGCTTTTCCATCTGGCCCCAGGCACTGGCCATCTGGCCTCACCCTCCTCCCCGCGGTGCTTGCTCTCACCTGAGCCGGCCCCTCCTGCCATCACCCGCCCGCAGCCCAGTCAGTGGCTGCTCAGGACTGGGGGCTGCAGGGGCGCTAAGCCTCGTGCCTTTGATCCAGGGGATCAGAGCTGGAAGAGGAGGCGGCCTTCGGGGGAGCCCTGGCCTCCCGGCAGCTGCCATCTGGTGAGAATGCTATATATAGAATGAAGCAGGCAGGCCCAGGGTCAGACAGTGGGGGCACTTCCCATGGGGGCAGAGCGGGGGACAGGGCTGGACCCCAGGGACGTTTGTTCTAACCTGGCTTTCTAGGCACCTTCGTGACTGCCTCCCCACCTGCCCTGAGCTTTGGGGTTTGCTTTTTTTCCCCTCACTGGTTGTTTTCAACTCCTCCTCCTGACACCAGCCCTGTCCAGAGGCCCCTCTCAACTTTCACCATCATCACCCCTCCCTGCACTCTAGTTCCTACAACTTCTGTCCCTCTGGTCTTGTCCCCACCTCCCGCCTGGCCTGGGCTCAGGCTGTTTTCTCAGCCTAAACTTTCCATGTCTTCCCTCATCTTTCACTCAGGGTCGGGAAGCCCTGCGGGGGGAGGCCTGGGATGCTGCAAGTGAAGGTCCCTTCCTCTCCATTACCCTCAGCACAGACCTGCATCCCTTCCCTGTAGAAATCTGATTATGACTCATTACCTGCCCAGTTGTTTTGTCAGTTGATTTGCTCGCCATTCTACCCCAAAGCCTTCAACACAGGAGCTGCTCCATAAAAAAATGCTGGTGTTACTGGTGTTATTTCTCCAGCCTTATAAAAACAAAAACCAAAAAATAGAGCTTTCTTGACATTCTCTTGAACCTCCTCCAACCTTGCTTGGAGGCAGTCAGGGGAGGGTTATGAGAAGGGGAGGAGATGTTAGCTCTGGTGAAGGAAAGACCCCTTTGAGGCTGAATGGGGAAAGGACAGGAGGGAGAGGCTGGAGGCCAGGGCGGAGGCTGGGGTGAGGGTCCAGGGGGAGAAGGCACAAGGCAGGAGGATGGAGGGAGCCAGGACGGCCCAGGGGCTAGGTGAGTAAATGGGGGAACTGAGGGGAGAGACAAGGTTCAGGGCAACTGAGCTGCTGCCCAGGGTCAGGTGTGATGCATGTGGCATGGTTGGGCCCCCCAGGGTAATTAGCCTGAGCTCAAGGTGCCCATGAACAAGAGGCTTTGTGGATGGTGGTATAAGTGCAGCCCCAGGAGCAGGTGGGATCACCCAGAGAGAATGCGTGGCTGGGAGCCAAAGGAGGATCAGGGTCAGAGTCCAGGGCTCGCTAACATCTCGGGTCACCCGGGAGCCCACTACCCTCTGTCTCCCTCCAGGATGCCCAGAAGTTGAGGATCCGGCCAATCTGGAGAGCTTCGGAGGCGAAGACCCCAGACCTGAGTTGTATCTATCCTCAGCCCCTCCCTGCCCTTCCCCTGCCCATGCCCTCCAGTGGCCTAGGGCCCAGGGCCTGGCCTAGGGCCTAGGGTCCTACAGGGAGTGGGTGAGGGAAGCAGGTTGGGCTAATAGCTCAGGGAGAAGAGGGCTGTCTCCTGATTGTCTGGAGGAGCCATATCTCCCCACCACTGACACCTACCCAACCTGGGGAACGGAGGCCAGGGCTGCGGACAGTGACCCTGCCCCTTCCCTGCCCCCAGGCCCGCCACAGCCGACCTGCTGAGCAGCCTGGAGGACTTGGAGCTCAGCAACCGCAGGCTGGCTGGGGAGAATGCCAAACTGCAGCGCAGCGTGGAGACAGCCGAGGAGGGGTCCGCTCGCCTCGGGGAGGAGATCTCAGCCCTGCGTAAGCAGCTCCGCAGGTAGGCTGGGCCCACGTCCACCCTCCTGCACCCTCCCAGTCCCACCTGCCCACAGGCCCAGGTTCCCTCCCACTTTCTTTGTTATTTGAGGCAGAAACTGGATCTCTGTCGCCCACTCTGTCTCTTTCCTTCCTTTTCTCCTTGGATCTCTGTCCCCCTCTTCTCCAGGTCTCTGAGATTTCTCTGTTGCTCTGAGGGGGTCCACCTCTGTGACCTCTGTCTTCCTCTCTCTCCTGTGGCCCTCCTCCCCGCCCCCACCAGTACCCAGCAGGCTCTGCAGTTTGCCAGGGGCGTGGATGAGGAGCTGGAGGACCTGAAGACTCTGGCCAAGAGCCTGGAGGAACAGAACCACAGCCTTCTGGCCCAGGCCCGGTACACGGTGGGTTTCAGGCAAGGGGTGCAGAGTTGCTCTCTTCTTCGCACTTTCTTGGAGTCTGAGCAACAGAGCCTGACTACAGAATGGGAAAGGGCAAAGGTCACCCGGGCTTCCTCCCTCAGTCCTCTTCCTGCTCACCCCAGACTTTGAGTCAGATGCTTGCCATCCCTCTCATGTCAAAGGGGGACAGCAGGAGCCAGCAGGGCTCCTCAGGCCCGTTCCCCCAGCCCTGTTCCTCCATGACCCAACCTGAGTCATGCTCCCAGGGGTGGGAGAAGGGCAGCATGGGGGCAGAAGGGCCCAAAAAAAGCCTTTGTTCTCTCTCTGGGCTTGATCAGGAGAAGGAGCAGCAGCGTCTGGTGGCCGAGATGGAGACTCTGCAGGAAGAGGTGAGCTGAGGCACAGCACCCCCTCCCACCCCTTCCCCGGTCCTCAGGATCTCCCTGCCCACTGCCACCTCAGCCAAACACCCTTCAGTCTGGTCAGGGAGACCCCAGGATCCCAGTAATGTGTGAATGTCCCTGAAGGTCATGTGGCTACATGTGAGGACTGCTACAGCCAATAAGAGTGTGGGGCACGGGGCTGACTCCTGGCTTTAGTGAGGCTGCCGACATAAGCCTGGGCCAGTCCACCTCTCTGTCTGCGTCAGTGTCCTCATCTGTGATAAAGGGCAAAATAACAGAACCTCCCTGGTTGGATTGTGTGAAATTTAAATAAGGGGATTCTTGTAAAACCCTAGGCACAAGGCATTACACATGGGAAGAGCTCACTAGAGGTTAGCTGTTATTGTTCATGTATTAGTACTTTTTTATGATGGGAAGAAAACAGGCCTTATAGTGAACCCTGATTCAAATTCCATCTCTGCCACTTGCACAACAGACAACCTATAGGCCAGTGACCTCCCCTTCCCAAGCCATAGGTTCATTCTGTAAGAACAGGGGACAAGGGTATCTGTTCATTAGGATTGTTGTGGGAATTAAATGGCCACTGTTACCCCAGAGTCTCACATATAACATGAACAGGCCCAGTCCAACCTCAGGTCTGATTCAAGCCTCATTCTATCCGAGACAGAAAACATTATCTTACGTTAATTCTGGGTCCACTTAGTCCTTTTAGGGGGAAATAAACCCCACACACAAGGTGGCATCTAAGCTGCTGGAAACCCACGCAGCGTCTCAATGCTCCTCACTCAATGTCTGTTCTCTCTGCTGGTCACAAGATTGATGCTCTTTGTCCCATCTGGTCCTCAGCCTTAGTCACCACTGCGTGCAGGCATCCACTGGGAGGCTGACATTGCCTTCTGGTCTCTGGGTGTACCGTCCTAACTGCATGGGATGGTGGTGGCCCTCGTTTGGACCCCACGACCCAGGAATACCCCTGGGGGTTCTCCGCACCCTTGTGGGGACACAGAGGAGGTGCTTCTTGTGCTTCTTAATTGCTTTCTTGTGACTTTTTCTGGGCCTCACTGGGCCTTCTAGGCTTTAACTCCTCACACCACCACCTCTATTTTGTTACTCATGTACATTGCTGGTTCACAGACTGAGCTAGGAAACCCCTCTCTCAGATTCTCAGATGTCCCAGAGGTTCTGTGGTTCAACTATATGCATCCTCCTCTCCAGCCCTCTAACCCTTTGCTTGGGGCTGGCCTGAAGGCATTTTCACTGTTTCCTCTTCTTTGACTCTCCTGAGCTCCTCCCCCAGCCCTGAGAATGTCTGGCCAGTCCAAGCAGTAGTACTCATTCCATCTGGTATCTGTTCATTAGTTCCCCCAAATCTCTTTGTCCTATATCTGTAGTACGGCTTTTACATTCAAACCAAAAAGTATTCCACTATTGTTCCCTGGCTGTTTCATAAAATTCTCTCTGTTAGGGCAGGACAACTGCCATGGTGTGAAGCATGGGCTGCAGGCAGGATGTGACTCTTCCTTCCAGAACATTTCTTTTTAAGAATAAGGAGAGGGACTTCCCTGGTAGTTCAGTGGTTAAGACTATGCACTTGTAATTCAGGGGACATGGTTTCAATCCCTGGTTGGGAAACTAAGATCCCACAAAAAACTTGAAAATTTAAAAGAAAAAAAGAACAAGAAGAAACTTTCCCTGAAGCCCCATGATGGGGCCTCCCTCTTATATCTCATTGGCCAAGAAGACAGTAAATGATTATGCCCAAACCACTCCCTGGCATGGGTAACACAGCCACTGATAGGTCTGGACTACTTTGAGCTCCGGGGAAGAAAATGGCGAAAAAATTGCAGCTTCAATATGAAGAACATTAACTGACAAGAGGTTTTGAAGGTTCTGGGCTAGTCTGGCAGCTTTTTGGCTTGTTTGTCTGCCTGTGGCCTCAGGATCCCAGATGGCTGCAACAGCTCCAGACATCATGTTCTCACTCAAAGCAGGACAGAGAGGGACAAATGCTCCTCTCGTGGCTCGCTCTTTTCATCAGAAGGAGTTTTTCCTGGAGCACCCCCAACTCCACCCCTGCAGCAAGAGACTTCTCTTACATCTCACTGGATCACGTGACAAGAGAGGCTGGGATAATATCTGACCTTCCTCTGCCTCTGCAGTGGGAGGCAAGCGAGTAAGAGGCAGTGAGAATGGCCTCTGGGTTAGCTGACCAGCCAGGTGTCCGGAATCTGCTAAGATTTCCATCTTGATTCACCTCTAAGCCTGGGGCTGGGACCCCCTCTCCCCCACCCCCGTGGCGAGTGGACCCCCCAGGAAAGCAGGGCAAATGGCAGTCAGCGGTGGTCTCTCCTTCTAGCCCAGATATGGGACCCCCTCTCCCCCACCCCCGTGGCGAGTGGACCCCCCAGGAAAGCAGGGCAAATGGCAGTCAGCGGTGGTCTCTCCTTCTAGCCCAGATATGGGACCCCCTCTCCCCCACCCCCGTGGCGAGTGGACCCCCCAGGAAAGCAGGGCAAATGGCAGTCAGCGGTGGTCTCTCCTTCTAGCCCAGAAGGCCTGCTGCCAGATCAAGTGCTCTGAGCAGCGCCTGGGACATCCTCGGCGCTCGATAAATCAGCTATTCTTGGCTCCCTCCCCCTACCTTTCCCCTCTCAGCAGCTTGCCTACAGAGCATCTATAGATCGAGTTCTCAAGTTACAGCAGAATAATGTTGGAGTAAGGGACACTCAGACACTCAGCTTTCCTACAGACCCCACAGGCGGGGCTCAGGTTACTGCAGAAGAAGCCAGAGCAACTGAGTAACCAGGTTCCCTGCCAAGCGGCCCAGGATCCAGCCTGCAAATCCCAGCCAGGTGGGCAGATGTTGACACAGCATTCCTGGCCCTGTCCTTCCTCCGCCCTTCACCTGGCAGCCCAGGCCCGCTGAGACACGGAGAGGAGGGCAGCTGACGGAGGACTTGGAGCTGAGCTGCGCTGGGGTGAGGGAAGAGCTGGCCTTGATTTCCCCAGGGGCACCAGAAGGAGGGGTGTGGCCAAGGAAAGTTGACTGCCTCTGTGCTTTCCCCGTTTGGAAACTCAGTGCAGGGCTTCCTGTGGTTAAGAATCCACATTGAAATGCAGGGGATTCCTGGTCTGGGAAGATTCCACATGTCTCCAGGCAGCTAAGCCCCTGCACCACAACTGCTGAGCCCACACTCGAGAGCCTGCAAGCCGCAACTGCCGAGCCCACATACTGACTGCAGCCCTGGAAACCTGCACACCTAGAGCCTGTGCTCCACACGAGAGAAGCCACTGCAATGAGAGACCCACACACTGCAGCTAGAGAAAGCCGGCATGCAGCACTGGAGACCCACTACAGCCAAAAAATAATAAATATTTTAAAAAAGAAAAAAAAACAAGGAGAGAAACTCAGTGCAGCTTGCTAGGTTTTTGGTGCCTGGAAGCTCTAGGCTAGAACTTGGTCCATTTTATTCTCAGGTCCCATTTTTTGGCTGGTGTGAGCTGCCCTCTGTTGTTTTCCCAGATAACTATCCTCTCCCTTGAGGACTCAGCCTCAGCACAACCTCCTTGAAAAGCCCCCAGAAGGTTTTTGCAAGGAGGTTGTGGGAGCCCACAAGGTCCAGGTCCTAGGCCTCATCAGAGTCGACCTCAGGCATTGTTATCTTATGTTTCTTGTCGGTCTCCACTTCTAGTGATGAGCAACTTGAGATGAGGGGTGAAGCTGGTTCCCCATTCTCACCCAAGCTCTAGAGGAGAGTGAGAGCTAAAAGTGCAGGATTTTGAATCAGACTTTAGTTTGACCTTACTGTCCACGTGAACTTGGTCAAGTTTCTTAGCCCCTACACTCCTTAATTTCTTCTGTAAAATTGGGGATAATGACAGTGTAAACATGAATAGTTGGGACAGCCAGACTTTACATTCTTCCTGAAAGGCACATGTGATGCAGATGTGCCATTGTTGTTGGCATTGTTACTGTTGTGCCATTATTGTTCAATGATGTTGAACATCGTTCAATTGCTAAATCATGTCTGACTCTTTGTGACTGCATTATTGCATCACGCCAGGCTCCTCTGTCCTCCACTGTTTTCCCAGACTGTGTTCAGATTCACATGCATTGAGTCGGTGATGCTATCTAACCATGTCATCCTCTGCCCCCTCTTCTCATTTTGCCTTCAATCTTTCCAAGCATTGGGGTTTTTTCCAGTGAGTGGGCTCTTTGCATCAAGTGGCCAAAGTATTGGAGGTTCAGCTTCAGCACCATTCCTTCCAATTAACATTCAGGATTGATTTCCTTCAGAACTGACTGGTTTGGTCTCCTTGCAGTCCAAGGGATTCTCAAGATCTCCAGCACCACAACTCAAAAGCATCGATTCTTCAGCACTCAGCCTTCTTTCTGGTCCAACTCTCACATCCATACATGACTTTTAGAAAAACCATAGCTTTGACTGACAAAGATAGCAGAGTAGCACCCATGAAATCTTCCTGCCGAAATATTGAACAAAAATCTTAACAAGGCCCTGGATCTATCCACCAGTTTATAGAAAATAATGAGGCGGGAGGAACATGAAAAAGGTCCTGCACAGGAAACAAGAACACAGTAAAGCAGTTCTACAGGAAAAATAACCTGGTTTCTTCCACAAATGAAGGGCCTGGCAAAATGCCCGGATTGGGAAGGTGGGGGAAAACACTGCCAGGTGAAATGAGACATTTCAGCTAAAAGCCATGGTGGACCTTGTTTGGATCTTCATTCAAACAAACTAAATGTGAAAAAAAACATTTGTGAGACAACCAAAACCGAAAAAGAGCACTGGGTGTGCGATGATACGAAGGAATTATTACTGACTTTGTTAAGAGTGATCGTAGCATTGTGGTTTTACTAAAGGAAAAGTCTTCAAGTAGCAAACACAAATGCTGGAGTAGTTACAGGTGAAATAAGCTTGGGATTTGCTTTAAAATAATCTGGTTAAACAAAGCAAACTCTTGGTGAATAGAGAAGAAACAAACCGGAAAAATGTATGTAATTACTGAAATTGGGTGACAAATAATGGGGGTTCATAATTTTTTTTTTTTTGGCTGAGTCTAGTGGCTTGTGGGATCTTAGTTCCCTAGCCAGGGATTGAATCCCAAGCCTTTGCAGTGAAAGTGCAGTCTTAACCACTGGACCACTGGGGAATTTCCAGGTTCATCACACTATTAGCTTTACTTTTGTGCGTTAAAAATTCATAATACAAAGTTTTAGAAATATCTTTTTAATATAACACCAAATTTTGGTATATGCCAGGCATTGTTCTAAATGTGTTTGTGTTCATTAACACATACTAAACATGTATTTGCATGAATTCCCACCTATATAACCTGGGCAGAGTTGCTCAGTCTTTCTGTGAGTCAGTTATTTTTATCTTTATTTTATCTATTTTGGCCACACCTCACAGCTTGCAGGATCTCAGTTCCTGTACCAGGGACTGAACCCAGGCCACCGGAGTGGAAGCACCAAATCCTAACCACTAGACCACCAGGGAACTCTCATCTTTATCTTTAAAAGAGGGCACAGCAGTAAGTTAACACCGGCAAGGTGCTCCGTAAATGTTAGCAGTAATTATTAGTTCATTTAATCCTCACATGCATCCTATCATATCTCCATTTTTGCAGCTGTTTTTATTTTTTCATCTGCAAATCAGAGCTGAGATCCTATAGGATGGTTGGAGGGATTAAATGGGCTGAAACATTAGGAAGTGCTGAGCACGGGAAATAGGGGGACAGATAGAGGAAGAGATAGTTAGGGAGTTTGGGATGGACATGTACACACTGCTGTATTTAAAGTGGATAACCAACAAGGATCTGCTGTAGCACGTGGGACTCTGCTGAGTGTTGTGTGACAGCCTGGATGGGGTGGAGTTTGGGAGAGAGGATACGTGTGTATGGGTGTTCACCTTCACTGCTCACCTGAACTATCCCAGCGATGTTAATTGGCTGTGCCCCAATACAAAATAAAAAGTGAAAAAAAGCCTTAGAAAGGCTGCCATGGAAGGATGATTAAAGCCTCATCTAAAAGGCTCAGAAAAAAAAGTGCCAAGCATGAGGCCTGATGCACATCAGGTGCTCAGCACATGTCTTCTCTGAATATTAACATGGCCATTCGCTGAAGTGACCGTGACCAGGGTCCCTTCTTCCAGAATGGGAAGCTCCTGGCCGAGCGGGACGGAGTGAAGAGGAGGAGTGAGGAGCTAGCCTCAGAGAAGGACATCTTGAAGGTGCCACCCCTCTCTAGTGGCTTGACGATTTCCTACCTCCCCGAGACACGTTTTTACCCTCACCAGTTTCAGCCCCTGTGGTCTGGTGAGATCAGGGACTTGACTCAAGCCCTCAGGTTCCCAGGGCCAGTGCGCAGCTCACTGAAGCCCCCCTTGGTGTAGCTGACATCCAGAGATGTGAAGGGAGGTTGAGGAGAGGAGCTCCAGGGAGCGGGATAGGCCGGGGAGGGCAGACCGGACAGATGGACAGGCTCCTTCCTCGGCAGCGGCAGCTCTACGAGTGTGAACACCTCATTTGCCAGCGAGATGCAATCCTCTCCGAGGTGAGTGGGCTGGAGGGAAGCATGCCTTTGATGTGTCTCCTGCCCCGAGTCCACAAAGGAAAGTCCTCCTTGGCTCTAGGGCTTCCCAGGTGGCACTAGTGGTAAAGATCCCGCCTGCCAATACAGGAGACATAAGAGACGCAGGTTCAGTCCCTGGGTTGGGAAGATCCTTTAAAGGAGAGCATGACAACCCACTCCAGTATTCTTGCCTGGAGAATCCCATGGACAGAGGAGCCTGGCAGGCTACGGTCCACATGACTGAAGTGACTTAGCCATGCATGCATACTAGGCTCTAATCCTTTGAGACTCAGCCCAGAGAGGTCAGAGGGTTTCCAGGGAAGCTGATGCTGTCTTCAGGTCTCGCTCTTATCCCAAGCCCATCCCACCCATCCGACTCCCCTTTCCCCCGGACCTGACCTCAGGGTCTTTGGTGGGTTGAGCCCAGCCTCAGTCAGCTTTGGGCTTTCCCAGCGCACTCGCCACGCGGAGAGCCTGACCAAGACCTTGGAGGAGTACAGAGCCACAACCCAGGTAAACCCCTGGCCCAGCCACACTCTCCCCGCTTCTCTTCGGCCACCTCTGGGATGCCCTGCCGCCTCCTGTGTCTGATGATCTTTTTCCGAGTCTCCACCTCTTGTTTCTACCGTCACTGCTGACTGACTCTGTGTGTCTCTCTCCCTCTCTCTCTGCATTTTCACTTTTCCTCTGTCCTTCCTCTCTCTATACATCTCCATCCCCCATCCACTTTCGTTCTCTGTGAGTGATATCTCACAGCATCTCCCCTGCTGCTGTTTCTGTATCTCTGCCTGGCTAGTTTCAGTCTGCCTCTCTCTGGGTCAGTTCGTCTGTCTCCTGGGGTGACTCCTCTCTCTGTCCCTTGTCTTTAGAGTCTCTTGTTTTCCCATGTGTTTCCATCTCTGCTTTCCTTTTCATAGTGTTCCTGACTGATAGGTTACGTTCTGGGTTCCTGTTGCTCTTTACCTCTCTTTGGCTTCCTAAGTTTCTGCTCCTGTTTCTTCCCCTTCTCTCCTTGTCTGTATGTGTCTGGAGGATCCTAAAGAAGTCAAAGGAGTGGACCTGACCTTGGAGGAGGAGCTCAGTCATGGGGCTGGGGAAAAGGCAGAGCCAGGGGTCCCTCACTCCTTCCTTTGCAGGAACTGAGGCTGGAAATCTCCCACCTGGAGGAGCAGCTGAGTCAGACCCAGGAGGGGCTGGATGAGTGAGTAGAACAACGGGGAGGAGGAAGCAGGAGGGGAGCCCAAGGCCAGGGAGCCCCCACCATGGCCTCCAGCCCCAGGGTGGGCAGGGCAGTAGCCTCAGCATAGGCTGACTGACAGGTGCTGGGGGGCATGGAGGTAGCCTTCCCCCTCCTGACTGTGTGGCCAGGCTATCCGAAGGAGCCCAGGTGAGGAGAGCAGACTGCACCAACCTAATGCCGCCGTCACTGGGTGTGGAGATCCAGGCCATTCAGCAGGTGGGCCTGACGCCCCGAGAACACCCTAACCCACCACCAGCGGCAACTCTGACCCCGCCCTGACTCCACCCCGGCCCAGTTCTCCCAGGACCCCTCGTCCTTAACCTCATCCCTACCCCAGTCCCCACCTCATACCACTGCCCCCCCATCCTCCTGCCTCAGCCCATCCCCATCCCACCCCTGACCTTCTGCCTTCACCGGCCCCTCCCTGGCCTCAGAAACGAGAGGAGACAGCCGTCGATCTCTCCAGCCCTCTGTGTGGAGTGTGGCCGTGGGAGAAGGTGGTCAGTGAGACGGATGAGGAGGATGAACTTCCTCCTGAAACCCCAGCTGAGGAGCAGGTGAGCACGGGAGGGCCCTGAGACCACTGGGTCCAGGGGCTGGGAGTGGGGCCCAGGATGCCTGCACTGTTCCCCATCCTATGGGCAGGTGTGGACTAAGGGCCTCTGGGTGCTGGCCTCAGAGCCCCTGGCCAGACAGGACACCACCCCTGCCCTCCAGGGACTGGCCTGCTGATGTAGAACTGAGCCAAGCAAACATGCACATTTTTCAGAGAACTGGGGTGGGGTGAGAGTCAGGGCAGGGTCAGTTGCTGCTGGTGGTGGGTTAGGGTGTTCTGGAGGTGTCAGGCCCACCTGCGTGGGGGTGGTGATTGTTTCCAAAACACTGTTGGAATCACCTTGTTTAAAATGTTACTACAGTGGAAAGGAAGGAAGTGAATTTTTCTTCCTGATACCATGTAGGTACTTTAAGCATTTACCTTTTGAATATAAGTCATCTTTAAGAAAAAACTTAACAAGCCCACTATGTAACCCTGAATCCAATAATAGCCATCATTTTATGACTTCTGTAATTACCTGAACAATATTTCAAACCTCATTTGAAACAATGAAGACAACTCATCTTCAATGTTCACAGTTGAAAAGTGAGATTTGTAATCTATTAGTGACAGGAGGATTTTTTTTTTCTTAAAAGAAAATACTGCTAAAAGCTCTGTAAACAATGCTTTATTGTCTTGAAAATTATATTGCTTCCTAGCTGCTCACCACCCTTGAAAGAGAAAGTTTCTCTGTTCACTTTTTCCCTGAGTTGAGAGAATCTTCTGTTGGATTCCTCAGTGCCCTCTCCCATTCTCTCCGTGGGGTGTAGGCACCCTCATCCCTCACCCTGTTATTCTTGGGAAACTGAGGCTCAGAGAGAGATCATACAGCTTGTGGGGGGCACAGCTGCACCCCTCAGGGGAAGCATACGTTTTAAAAATGACATTTAATTTTGGCTGTGCTGGGCTTCATTGCCGCGAGGGCTTTTCTCTAGTTGAGGCAAGCGGGGGCTACTCCCTAGTTGCTGTGTGCAGGCTTCTCATTGCAGTGGTTTCTCTTGTCGAGGAGCATGGGCTCAAGGGCAAGAAGGCTTCAATAGTTGCAGCATTCAGGCTCTGGAGCACAGGCTCAGTAGTTGCGGCACACGGGTTTAGTTGCTTCTCCATATGTGGGATCTTCCCGGATCAGGGATCAAACCCGTGTTTCCTGCAGTGACAGGCAGAGTCTTTACTGCTGAGCCACCAGGGAAGCCCCGCAAGTGTGCATTAGAGCTTCTGCTGAGAGCTCTCAGACGCCTCCTGGAGGGGAAGACTGAGCCAGGCCTCTGTACTGCCTGCACTGGGTCCTGGGGACCCCTTGGGGCTCAGGATCTGATAGAGAGATCATGAAAATGGGCCATCCCAATGCACGATGATCTGTGTGCTGGGGGGTTGAGGGGTGGGCCCTGGGGAAGCCCAGAGAAGGAAGTGCCTGTGTGGAGTAGGAGATACCACAGGGAAACTGATGCTTGAGTTTATTTTGAAGAAAAAAGAGGGAAGTTAAGTGGTGTGAGAAAGGAGAGGTCCTCCAGGCAGTGGGAACAGTATGTGGTGAGGACATGGGAGTGTGAAACCACATAACATGTTGGAGGGTAGAGGGCAGTTGGGGGTGACTGGCCAGAGATGAGGTAAGGCCAGATCATGAAAGGAATTCCCTGCCAGTGAGGCTGAGAGGCTGTGCATGGGGAAGGGCAAGTCAGCTCTGGATGAACTGCACAGAAAGATCCCTCTGGGGCCACATGGGAAGCTGGGAGGCCAGGGAGGAGGCTGGGCCTGTGGTCCAGAGTTAGAGGATGAAGCTGGAGCCAGGCCAGGGCCTTGGGATGGAGAAAAAGGGACAGGCAGAGAGAATTAGCCAGGGGAGACAGAGCTGCCCACTCACCAACAGGGGGCTGAGGGCTCTAGGTTCTGGAAAAGGGGGTAGACAGACAGATGCTGAACTCACCTTATGACCCCCAAGGTGAGCACCCTGAGGGATGGAGGATGCTGCCCTGGGGGCAGTGGGTACACAAGGGTGGAGCTCAGTGACCCATTTAGAAAGGTGTCGAGTTGGTGGTTGAGGCCACAGGCAAGGCTGGATGTCTTCAGAGAAAATGGAGGGGGACCTGGGTGCCCACGATTGGGAACCTGGGAGGAGAAGGGTGTTGGAAGGGAAATGCTGAGCCTCTTTGGGGCCCAGATGAGAGTGAGAGGCTTGTGGGAGTGTGAGAGGTTTAGGGGGACCTGAGCTGGTCGCAAAGGAAAAGGGGGTCCTAAAGGAAAACTGGTCCAGCTTCAGGCTTCTGCCCCTGGAGGGAAGGTAGAGCCACCCTCGAGGAGGAGCCCGGAAGAAGGGCAGGTTTTAGAAGCAGGTGGTGAAGCCCAGGATACCTAAGCTTTTCTTTCCCACAGGGAAACTTCCAGGGAGAGTCAGCGCACCCTCAGGAAGGAGAGGAGGAGCAATTGACGTGGTAAGGAGACTGCTCCTTCCTGAGCCGTCCCTCTGCCCCAGGGTGACTCTGAGATGGCTGGAGTACAGGCCTGGAAGAGCCCCGAGCGAGGCTTACATAGAGGCGTGACCTGTGGGCCCCTTGCTCGCACAGAGGCGACCCTGGGCCTGCGGACTGGAATGAATCAGGCCAGCCTTACCCCCAGACGCTGATAGTTCAGGAGGACATCTAGCCCCTGATCCCGCCTGGGGGGAAGACTTGAAGGAGGCCCTGCTCAGGGTCCTCTGGGAGTGGTATTCATATAGGAGAACCCTAGGCAAGAAGACAGTCGTCAGGCAGATGGGACAGCTTAGTCACTCAGTCACTGTCACTGAACACACTTCTCCAAGGCCCCCAAGGAGCGCTGGGGCAAATGAGACCCAGATTATGCCCCAGGAGAGCACTCAGACTGCTGGGAGACCCTGGGGTCTCTGCAACCACACAGCCTGGGTTCAGATCCCAGCTTAGTTACTTTGTGATGGGATGGGGAGAACCCCTGCCTTGTGATTGTTAATTGACCGTTAGGAGGCTCATGTGCAGCCTCCGAGGATATAGAAAGCACCGGATGTCTGGGCCCACCCTCCTCCACGGGGCCTCTGCCTTCCTGCAGGGGCTCTCTCTCCCCGCTCCCCTCTTTCAGGCTCCTGGCTGTGACAACTAATGAGGCTGCCTGCCACGGCCTCTAATTGGACTTGTCTGGGAAAGCTGAGATTGGGCGGGATGGGGGGCCCCCTGGTGCTGTGACCCTCCCCGCATCACCAGGGAATGGAAAGAAGACAGCGCTGAGCAGCAGTGGGGCCCAGGGCTGGTGGAGAGGCCGGGCAACCCGGTCTCCCTGAGGCGGGGGAGGGCAGGATGAGCTGCAGAGTGGGAAGCTGGGAGTGAGGGAAGTGGTGAGTGTGTGGCCCAGGGCTCAGATGCTGAGAGGAGCCGGGCCCCCCCACACGTGGAAATCCCAGGGGATCAGACAGCTGGGGATCTGACTGGACCGAAGGCTGGAGCCCTGTGAGCCTAGGTGCCTTACTGAATTAGAGTTGAGGAAACAGCTGTATCCTGAGGGTGTTGGGTCTGAAACTGGTAGCTAAGGCTGGATGACTGGATCCCTGGTCCCCAGTGAAGGTGGTGATGGGTGGTGCAGATGTCTTGGCCTCCAAGGGACATTGGGGTTGGGCAGCTTGTGTCCTGAGTCCCCAGAGAAGTGCCTGTTTCAGGGACTCAGGCAACTGTGATCCCAGCGGGCACAGAGGCTGGGGCTTGCACACCTAAGAGAAATGACTTGGGATGGGGGTGGGGTCCACAGAGTTGACTTCTGGAGTCAGGAAAGCCTTAACTGGAGTCCCAGTTCTCAAAGAAGACCCAGTGAGACCCAGACTCCCTGAGCATGGCCCAACCCACCAGGAAGGAAGCTGGGGCAGGGGGCAGGGTCTCAGAGATGTCTGAGAACTGGAAGCCTCCGATCACCTGGGGGACCTGCTGGGAAAGGAGAAGCTGAGAAAGCCAATAAGGTGGAGGGGCCCCTGACCCTTTAGGGGTCACACGCAGACTCTCTGGAGAATTTGGTGAAAAAATACAGATGCTAACCTACACACAACTGTTTGCTCGTGGGGCTCCAGGGTACCCTCCAGGTCCATGTATGTGAAGGCCCCCTGCTTTAAAGGTTCTGCCACACAGCTGGTGAATGGGAGCCAGGCAGGGGAGACAGATGCTTGCAGTGACTTTCTTGTCGCCCCAGGTTACCAAGAAGAGAGGAAGAGGACGGAGCAGAGATCCAGGTCATGGTAGGCAGTTCCCAGCACCATTCCCTCCAGGCCCTCAGATGAGGCTGCTGTAGTCACAGCTCCTCCCCAGCCCCTGCCCACACCCCCAGGCAGACAGAAAAATCGTTTGGCCGAGAGTTAACAACGCCCTCACTGTAGCTAATGAGAGCAGACGGTGCTGTAGAGGGAGGCTTCAGGCCAGTGGGCAGCCAGAATGTTCCCAAGGGACCCCACACACAAACACTGCACACTGGGCTGCAGCCTCTACGCCACAGACGTGGCTGCACCCCCGGATTGCAGAAATGCACACGTATGTGCGCCCACACTCCGGAAGAGCCAGACCCTCCCCAGCCAGCCCAGAACTCCTGGGGCACCGCACCTGTCATAGCTGCCCTGCCCGGCACCATACACACCAGCTCCTTTGCTCCTCAAAGCGGCAGGTGACAATCCTGGTTCTCCGGCAAAGGAAAGGAGGGAAGGAAACGTGGTGAGGTCAGAAGCCCGAAGGTGTGCCAGCTTCCGTTCTGGGGTCCTGGGACTCTTCAGGGTCCACATTGACCAAGATGCTCTTCCTGAGCAGCCTGACCCCAAAGCCCACCTCTTTCCCACCATACCACACTCCCATCCGTGGAGACTGGGGCCCACCTCAGCTTCCTCACTGCTAGTGTGACAACGATCTCACCCAGCTCCCAGGTGGGGGTGAAGGTTACAGATCGCGTCATAAAGTACCTGGCACAGAGCAGATACATGGTAGGTGGCAGTGGTGGAGACGGGCTGAGGCCGGGGTGTTGCTGGAACTCCTCATTTATTACTGTATTGTTACTGCTGTAGTCATCGTCCACAGACCAAAGGCATGCGTGAGAAAGCCTGAGCTCTACAGAGGGGACACCTTTCAGAGAGACACAAGGGGAAAAAACGAGAAACATGGGGGATGAGGTAGTAAAGTAAGGAGTATTGGAGGCTTTAATCTTAAAATACCTGCTGGGCCTGGTGCAGGGCGGGAAGACGGACCCAAGGAGTGTCCATGCTGAGCTAGGCCCAGCCCAGGGCTGGGTTCTTGGAGGAGATAGAGTCTTTGACCCCAGGGAGCTTGGGTACTTCCAGAATCAGACAGAAAATGGAAATAATAATATTGAGTAGCTCACATAGTTATTGAGTGCTGTCCACCAGGCATTGTTCTAAGCCCACCTCCTGATAGTTTGGGTTTTGCCCACCTTCATTCTCCACTTCAGCCCTTTGAGGTGGGCGTCGTCATCACCCCTCTCTGGCAGATGGAGAAAGTGGGGCCTGACTAGGTGGGGCGATGTGCAGGCGACACGTGTCAGGGAAGTGGCAGAGCTGGGCACCCAGCGCAGCAGCGTGTCTTGGGGAGGCTCTCACACTGAACCTCTGTGTCCCGCCCCCTTCCATGTGCTCACTTCTGCCCAGTGGGCTGACCTGAGACCTCGGGGTCTCAGGTTTGTCTCCTTTGTCCTTCCAGGTGGACCTCCCCATCCATCCAGGAGACTCACACCCTGAAGACATCCTCGGAAACCCTCCTGAGAGGTAGCGGGACCCAGGGGCCTGGGACGGGACTTGGGGGCGGAGAAGAAGACCAACACCATTGCCCTGCCTTCCTTTTTCCTTAGCAGCCCCTCAGAACCAGAGCTGCAGCAAGCCCTGGTGCCCGTGGTGAAGGAGCTGGTCCCAGTCAGGAGGCCGGTCTGGAGCCAGCTCTGCCTGTGCCCCCCGCGCCCCCGGCTGCTCAGGTGCACCCCACAGCGTCTCCAGAAGGAGGGTGGTGGTCAGACGTCGGGACACCACAGGCTCCCGTGGGCGCCACCAAGCACTGTGCTGCCTCCCTGCAGGGTCGCCCGGCTCCTCCTGATCCCGGTGCCACTCCTGGGCCTGCTGCTGCTGCTGGTGCTCTCCGCCAAGCTGCTGAGCCAGTCCCCGCCCCCCACGTGGCCCCACCTCCAGCTCTGCTACCTCCAGCCTCCTCCAGTGTGAGCCATGCCCCCACCCCTGCAGAGCAATGCGTAGTTCGGTGACTTCCTGGGGCTCTTTCTACTGTTATTCTCATGGTTGTGCCACTGTGCCTTGGGATTATCCCGCTGTCAGGGACCCCAGATACAGTGCTCCAGGAGCGACACCCCTGTACTGGGTTTTTATGTGAAGTCTCTTGGTTTTTTAATGATAACAAAACACTAGGGGTTATAGTTTTCTCACAAACCAAGTCTGAAGAAGGGCAGCTGTCAGCCCACAGCTCAGTCTCCACAGCATTGGGGCTGTAATTCTCTCTACCTCTCTTGGCCCTTCCCTTGTGCTCAGGAGATGACACTGTAGCTTCATAAGTGATGTCTGCAGGGAGAAGGGGACACATCCCTTCCTTTTTATAAAGAAAAGTAATAGCCTTCCCAGAGCCAGCAGCAGACTCTGCCTTGTTGGCCAGAACTGTTCGGCATGACCACTCCTCACTGCAAGGGCAGCTGGGAGACTCCTGGCAGAAAGAGGGAGAACAAGATGTGGGCCAGGCATGCCCACACACAAACACAGATGTCACCAACAGCCAGCAGGAAAGGATGTGCCATTTGTTCCTTCAGCTAATTCTTAGTGATCATCTATTTGCCATGGCTAGATCTTAGAAGACAGTAAAACAGACCCTTCAATGCCAGGCTGAAGTGTTGAGTTTTCTCCTGAGGATGACAGGGGTTTGGGGATGTTTTGTTACTTGTTTTTGGTTATTTACTTTGTATTGAGCTGTAACTGACATACAGTGATAAATGGACAAATCCCAAATATCAGCTGGATAAATTATTGTACATGTAAACACCCGTGAAAGCAAAATCCAGGTCAGGACAGAGCAGTTTCAGCACTGCAGAGACTTCTTCAGGAGAGCTTTGAGCAAGGGAGGGACCATGGTAGAGGTGGCTTCAGGCTCTGTGGGAGCTCAGAAAAACCACCTAACCCCACCTGGAAAGTTAGAGATTTCTTTCAAAATATGGAACAGATTTTGCATTTAGTTTTTAAAGATGGATAAGGTTGGTTATAGTGAGCAGAGGCGGCAAAGAGTATCCCAGGCAGAGGGGAAAAATGAATGTGTGACTACCAGGTGGATGGAATACTTGTCTGTGTGTAGAAAGCCATAGACAGCCCTATGTTGCTTGAATTTAAAAAGAAAAATGAAGTCAGAGATGGATTTGATGCTTTAGAGTTGCAAGAAGTAAGATAGGTAGACAAGAGTCCATTAAGCATTTTGAACAACACCAGCTTCTACTGAGCTTTACTGCCAAGTGTCGAGAAAGGGCTCTGATCAGAGAAGAGGCAGAATCAACTCTAGGTGGGAAAGAGACCACCTGAGCCTGTACAGGGGATGGATAATGGAGTGAAGCTGGAGGCAGGAAGCAGGGAAAAAGTAGGAGGGCATGAAGCCTGAGCTGGGCTGGGAGAGTGGATGGAAAGAAGCGCAGGGCAGAGAGTGTCAGAGCAGGAAGGACAGCGCCAGGCCTGATAGGCTATCAAGGGGGAAAGCAAGGACCGGCATGTGACCCAGTGACTGGTGGACAGTGGAGCCATTCCCGACATGGAGACCCCATGGGAAGGAATGGGTTTCGGGGGACACTGAGCTCATGTGGGATGGAGTGTTCCAAGAAGGCTGGAGCCCCCAACTTTGAGCTCTTAGTCTGAAAATAGAGTCTGGGTGTTACTAGCTATGATGGTGATTGAAGTGTGGAGATTGCTGAAATTTCCTGAGGAGAGGGGAGTAGTGTGAGAAGGGAAGGGGTTCCAGGCACCATTCTCTGAAAAGCCTCAAATGCTAAGAAAGCGATCTGGGGAGGAGGAAGTACAGGAAGAGCATAGGCCAAGATCCAACAAGACCCAATTACCAGGCCCTTCAGCAAACAGAGGATAAGCCTCCTCATGACATTTTAATTCTATTTCTCCATGAAAGTTCTGAATGCAACTTCTGAAGTTGCACATATTTGGGTTCCAGTTATCCTTCTGTCCTTTCCTAGCTGACAACCTGGGGAAATGACCTCAGACTGCCAGAGTCTTGTTTGTAAAATTTGGCCAACTCATTTTTGTGACACGTGCATGCTCAGTCATGTCTGACTCTTTGCTACCCCATCGACTGTAGCGTGCCAGGCTCATCTGTCCATGGAATTTCCCAGGTAAGAATACTGGAGTGGGTTGCCATTTCCTACGCAGGGGATCTTCCCGATCCAGGGATCGACCCCGCGTCTCCCAGGTCTCCTGCATCTCCTGCATTGGCGGATTCTTTACCACTGAGCCACCAGGAATACAGTTATTCATTGTTTAGTATTTCTGAGTAACAGGGAAATAGCCCCACCCCACAGCCTAACGGCCCATTAGGGCGCGATCCGCCTCTCGGAATGCAAATTACCGGAGAACTTGCCAATCACAAAGTGCCAGCCCCGCCCCCTTTCCCCACGATGACGTGGCCAACTCCTCTCTTCTGAAGGCCAATCAGAGCACGGTCCGCGCGAATTGCCCCAGGAGCACGGCTCAGAGCCCTCAGCATCGGGTTAGGGGAGTGGGTTGCCATGGTCACCATTGAGGGGCAGGACTGAAGGGCCAGCGGAGCCTCCAAGAGACAGAAAAAAAGCGAGGGGCAAATTCTGGTTATCTGCTTCCTCACTTCCTTCATGGGTGGGCCAGGTGTTTCCCTGCCTCCGTCCCATGCCTCTTGAAGCCTGTCACCTGTTCTCTCCTCCCGTCCCGTCCCGACTGGCACGGATGATCTGGGAATCGCGCAGTTAGAACACCCTGCAGAAACTGCTGCAGGCTGCTGCAAGAGAGGTGGAAGCCCTTTTCTTTTTTTTCGGGGGGGGGCGGCGGGGAGGTGTGGGTTGCGCTCCGTGTGGCTTGCGGGATGTTTGTTCCCGACCAGGGACTGAACCCACCCCAGCAGTGAAAGCATCGAATCCTAACACTGTTATCACCAGGGAATCCCCAGAAACCCTTTTCTGATAATACATTTTGCTTCCAGAAGGGCGCTATACTTCAGTCTTCTAATTGTATATCTGGTTTAAGTCTTACAATAGACGAGGAAAAGGGAGCTGAAAGGTTAGAAGCTCTTCCCAATATCACACAACTAGGTTTAGGGGAGCCTGGTTTTGAATAGCAAGTACATCTCCAGAGCTCCCACCCCATCCCACCGCCTCCGATCTTTCCACTGTGCCCAAAGTAGAAGTCGGGAAGTGATGAGAAGTGAAAAAAAGAAATTCAGAGAAAATGAGAGCTGGGAGAAAGAGATGGAGACCTATAGGAAGAAAGGGGTTTGGGGGGAAGAACATGAATGAGTCAGGCAAAGAAAAAAGAAAGTGCTCGCTTTGAAGGAAGCGAGCTCGCTTCAGCAGCACGTATACTAAAATTGAAAAGATACAGAGAAGATTATCATGGCCCCTGCGCAAGGATGACATGCAAATTTTGTGAAGCGTTCCTTATTTTTCTGAAAAAGTAATTGAAGAGTTTAGGCATAAAGAAGACGAAGAATCCCCAGAGGGCCGGGAAGCCAGGAGGAAAGAATTATAGAGACTCCGAGAGAGGAGGACAGATACCCAATGAGCTACAGAGACCCAGAGAAGGGCCAGTGACCCAGAGGGGGACAGAGACCAGGGAGGTTACAGAGAGCGAGAGAAAAGGGGAGGATGGAGATGCAGGGTGGGTTGGGAGCAGGTGTGCGAGTGGAGAGGGACAAAGGCACAGAGTGGGAGCGAGGGGCAGAGCTGGGGCAGTGGTGTAGAGGAGGTGGGGCCGAGGGGAGGAAGAATGAGTGGAGGGAAAGATGAGGAGAGAGGGGACGCAGGGGTAGAGGCCAGCGTAGCGGACGCAGGGCCCGGCCCCGTGCACGTGCACACACACCCCCCACCACCACCACACACAGGCACACGAGGCGCAGTCGGGAGGCACAGCAGGGTCTTTATTGCGGTGGGGCGAGCAGGCGCTCAGGGCGCGTCCAGCACCAGCAGCTTGTGCATGTACGAGTTCAGCCAGTGGCGGCGCTCGAGGGCGGCCAGCAGCCGCGCGCGCTCCCGGAAGGCCGCGTCGTCCGCCAGCGCCAGGCTCCTCCGCGACTGGGGGGTGGCCGGACCCGCCCGAGCCCCGCCGGAGGTGCGGAGTCTGCCGGGAGATGGAATGAGGCGGTTACCGTGGGTCCCGGCCCGCCGCCCGCCGCCTGTTCTCCCCGCGGTCTAACTCGAAGCCCTGTGACTGCACCAGCTGCCGAGGAGCTCGGTCTCTGTCGCCCTGTCTCTTGCTCTGTGTGGGTCTTCGGCTCAGTGTTCACCAGGTTCCGAGCCTCCTGAGTACAGAGACCGAGTCTGATACCCCTGTCCGGCCCCAGCGCTCGGCGCACGCGTGGCACACAGCGCAGACCCAATAAACGTTGCTCAGGGAACAAACTCGTTGCTGCTTCGACTCCTTTCAAGTCTCTCAAAGCCTTTCTCAGAATCCTTTTGTGTCTCTTTGTTTTGCAGATTACCTACCTGTCAACCTCCCATCTCTGACCTCTCTGGGTCTCTATTTCCCCTTTCTGAGTCTTTGTTCCCCATTCTCTTTGGGTCTCTTTCCACCTCTTGGAGTCCCCACCCTTCCTTGGGAGACTTGGATGTCCCACTTACCTGAAGACCCCCGTGGGAGGTAGGGCGACTCCTGAGGCCGTGCGGTGGCCCCAGGACACAAGAAGCAGGAGCAGCAGCAGCAGCCGCACCCGGAGGCCCCTGGGTACCTGGCGGGTCTCCATCACCTGTGGAGAGACAAGAAAGAGCTCGGTGATGCCCGCGTCTGGGCCCAGAAACCAGACCCCATCATCCCACCCTCCCACCCCTGAAGCCCATTTGCAGGGTGCCCTACCGCGCAGTGGGCTCCCAGCAGCGAGTCTGGCACCCCCTTATATCGCCTCCACAGCCCCCGCAGCGGCCAGTGACGCAGACCAGGGGGCCGGGGGCACCGGGTCACCCCCACCCCAGGCTCATTAGGAGCTGCCAGCGGTAATGAGGAGCCGGGGGTGGGGGGCCAGCCGCTGCCTTGGCGGCCACCCACTAATTGGGACCAGGAGCTGGGACCTGAGGAGAATCGGGAGGGGGAGAGACAGACAGACAGAGAAGTGGACACAGGGGGTGTGTCAGAGGGATAAAAATAGAGACCAGCGGAAGGACCATCAGAGCAGGAGCCAGAGACAGAGAAAGAGACAGGGGAAGGAACAGAGGAGGGACCAATGGGGAGAAGCAGAGACACAAAGAGATGAAGCAACCATGAGAGGGAAGGACAAAGAATGACAGAGAAAAGGAAAGAGGGAGAAAGGGAGCAACAGAGGAAGTTAGGAGAAGGGAAGGAAGAGAGAAAAGAGGGGAAAGGGACCAAGAGAGCAGTTATGAGATGGAGGATCAAGGGGGACAGCACTCAGAGAGACAGAAGGAGATGGAAGGACAGCCAGCCAGCCTGGGCAGAGATGTCCAGAGCCAAATCCAGGCAGGCAGAGACCAGAAAGACTGAGAGGTGGGAGACGGGGGTAGGAAAGAGGAGGCAAAGGGGACGTGTGGTGGTGGGAGGTGAAGGCAAGTATAGTGACAGGCAAAATCAGGAAAGTCTTAGCGACACTGCACGGAAGGAGAAAAGACAAACAAGGGCCCTGACTACCTGAGGTTGTGTCCAAGCCCTTCCCGGGGAGGAATTTGGGGGTGCTGTGAAGATCAGGCCCATCCCCCCAATACTGGCTTTTAAGAGGGTGTGCTCTTCATGATGGGATGGTAGGCAAAGGTTGGGAAGTCCCAAAAGGCAGCAGCAATCTGGATCTCTGATTGACAGGACATGGGAACCGAGACTCCTAGTTCCCCAGAGAGGAGGGGAACAAGGCCTAGGTCTGGAAACCTAGATTCCCAGATCTGAGGGGAGAGGTCTGGGCGGGGGCTGGGGGGAGGGGGGTCCCAATTCCTGGATATTGAAGTGGGAGGCTATCAGGGACCTGGATGCTTGGTGTGGGTGTAGGAGAGGGCAGAGGGTTGGGGCCCCTAGGTTTGCAGGGAGGAGAGCTTGGTTGGGCCACACCCCTCCACCAGATGATCCAGTCCCTAACTCCCTCCCCCACTCCAGAGACACTATCCTTTATCTCTGGCCCTTTAAGAGTTCAAGCTGTCGCTAGGCTCCCAGGATCCCAAGGGTGGGCATCAGTTGCATCACCTGTGCCCCTGGGACCCTACCTCCTGCCACCCCACCCAGAGCCATTCTGCAGCATTCACCGATCTCTGCATTCAGCTCTGTTCACCTGTTGTTATCTTGGACCCCACTGAGCAGGTAAGAGACCCCAAACCCCAAGTGATCCCATCCCATTTGGGTGTATGCCCACCCTACCTCCACCTAACCACAGACCTAGGTATCCCTGCCCAAGACCAGCCTGAGACCTGGGGATCCCAGCTTCCATCCTCCATAGAGACACGAGTCCTGCCCCAAGCTGTCTCCTGAAGGCTGAGGAATCCAGACCCCTTACACACCTATCTCTGGAGGATAGGAGACTCAAGAGTTTCCAATCTCCTTCTAACTCAGGACCCAAGAGTTCCAGGCACCCATTTCCTTTCTCTCCTGTAATCCACAACCCACCGACCCCCAAGCTTTGCTCCCTCAAAATTCTAGGCATCTGAACCTTCAGGCCTCTCCTTTCTAGAGAATTAGGAATTTAGATCCACATTGCCCTCCACCCTCTGGTAACAAGGAGTCTGAACCCCCAGCAGCCTTCTTGACCAGGATCCGGGAGTCTTCTGCCTCCTCACGTTACAGGCATTTAGGCCCCCTCGTCTCTCAAACCCAGGCGGTCAGGCCCCCCACTCGTTCCTTCTGACCTCTAATGTAAACAACTGTTGAGTCAAGATATCCCCAGGGCCCTTGAAGAGGAATTGATCCCATGTCCCCTCAGAGGTCTACACACTTCAAAGCCAAAGTCAAAGAGATCTGGGGGCTCGGAAATGTGTCTTTCTTTCCCAATTTTCCTGGGACCCCCTTTGGGGAAACAGATAAGGAAATTTACTATGACTCCCAAGAAGCCCTGCGCCTCAGTCTCCCTTAGCTACCGTGGCTTCCACCCCACGACCTACTGGGGAGTTGCAGGTGGCATCTCCTTTTCCTGGCACCGACCTGGGTGGTGCTAACGTGGTCTATCTGGGGACCACTGGGCGTGGCCTCCGGAGTGGGCAGAGGCTCCTCCCTTGTGGCTCTGGCCTTAACCCCTTCCTTCCCGCTCCCCTGCTGCTACAGGTATCACCCAGAGCTATGAAATCCTTCAGACCAATCCTCTTTCTTCTCGTCTTCCTCTTCACCTGGCTGGGCTCCAAGGCCGCCCCTTGGGTCTCACTGCCTGTGGGCTCCGACTTGGGGATAGACCACCCCTCCCAGCCCTACCCTCCGGCTTCTGAAAATTCCACTCTCTATGGACCTAACCCAGAATCCCCAGGGGCTGCTTATCCCGAGCCCTCCAAGACACCTCATGTGATTTCCTCTGAGCCCTCCCCCCTTGCCTTCACTGAGACCCCCAATACTGACCTCCAAGAAACCCCCCATCAAGAGCTTCCTAAGGCCCCCAAACCTAACTCATTCAACACCTCAACACCAGAATCCCTGGACACCTTCCAAATCAACCCCTCCAAAATGATATATCCAGAACTATCTGACACCCCCAAAGCTGACCTGACTGAACTTCCACACACACAATATCCTGAGGCCTCTACACTTAATCCCTCTAAAAGCTCACATCCAGCATTTTCTGAGACCCCAAACCCTGACCCTACCCAAACTCCACACCAAGAATCCCCAGAGATTTCCAAGGTTAACTCCACAGAAATATCACACACAGAATCCTGTGAGAATCTCAACTCTAATCCCTCTAAAACCTCACACCCAGCATTTTCTGGGACCCCAAACCCTGACCCTACCCAAACGCTACATCAAGAATTCCCAGAGATTCCCAAACTTAGCTCCCCTGAGATATCACTTGCAGAAACCCCTGAAACCCGAAATTCTGACCCCACCAAAATCTTTGACCTCAAGTCTCTGGAAACCCATGACCCTGACACCCCAAACTCTAAATTCCTCCAGACCCTCCATCCTGACCCTACTGAAACACCCCACCCGGCATCTCATGTAGGCCACAAACCCAACCCCACCGAGATTCCCCAAACAAAATTCCCCACAACCCTCTACCAAGACTCAACAGAGATCCCCACAGCCTCTGACCCTGAAATCTCCACTAGCCTTGCCCCAGAAACTCCTGCACCCTTCAAAGAAGAAGTTACTGCTCTTAATGAGCAATCCCTGAATCCCAAATCAGAAGCGCTTGCAGCCACCCAGCCCACCGCCCTTAAATTGCCCGCCTCAGATTCTCCGGGGACAGTTGATCTGAAAGCCCCCCAGAACTCTAGCCCTAAAGGGCCCGACGCCCCTCCTCCCTCAGCCCGGATTGCGGGGCCCCCTGCTCCTCCAGGGCCCCCCAATCAGCAGGCCCCAGGCACTCCGCGGGCCCCCCAGCGGCGCAGCCGAGGTGAGAGAGTCAACACTATCATCGTGTTGGAGCGAGTACAGGAGACCGGTGAGGGGCTGGGATCATCCGGGCTGCTGGGTCTGAGGGAGGAGGGGCCGGGGGCCCGGACCCCCGGGTCTGAGGGAGGAGGGGCCGGGGTTCTGGACCCCCGGGTCTGAGGGAGGAGGGGCGGGGGGTCTGGACCCCCGGGTCTGAGGGAGGAGGGGCCGGGGGCTGGGACTCCCGGATCCGAGGGCGGAGGAGGGCGGGATCTGGATTCCTGGGTCTGAGGATGGAGGGGGCTGGGAGGTTACAGTACTCAGTCTCTGGGCCTCGTTCCTCCAGGCGTGACCCTGGTGGGGCGTCCCCGGGGCGCAGCAGGCGGGGCCCTCTGCCTGTTCCTCGCCGGGATCGGGCTGCTCATCGGCATTTTCCTGGTGCTGTGGTGTCTCCACCGCCGGGCGGCTCGACACCGGCCCTTCGCACACCACCGCCTCCCGAACGACGGAGAGGAACCGGGTGAGCCACTCCTGCAGCGTCCCGCTCCTCGAGTGCTTGCACGTGTCCTTAATCTGGCTTCTCCTGGCACTGAAGGGTGCCCTACCTAAAAGTACAGGTCCCCATCCAAGGTCAGTAGAAGCCCCGACCCCCAATTCTCTGGAAATTTCACCAACACCTGTGAAGTTGCGCCCCCAGCGCAGAGTGGAGTTGCCCCGGCAGGGGAACTGCAGGTCGCTACAAGCCCCGCCCCTCCCCCCTCCTGGTGCGCGGCCTGCCCCGCCCCTGCTGCGCGGACGCCACGCCCCCCTCGCTATTTAACGCCCCTTAAGATTATTCGCTGCCCTGGTGGCTCAGAGGTTAAAGCGTCTGCCTGCAATGTGGGAGACGTGGGTTCGATCCCCGGGGTGGGAAGGTCCCCTGGAGAAGGAAATGGCAACCCACTCCAATATTCTTGCCTGGAGAATCCCATGGACGGAGGTGCCTGGTGGGCTACAGTCCACGGGGTTGCAAAGAGTCGGACACGAATGAGCGACTGAAGATTATTCGAAAACCCCGTTCCAGTGGAAGCTTGGAGTCCTCGTCCCCGTTTCCTCATCGGCCAGCGGCTCAGTAGAGGGGACAGGCCCCCAGTCAGCCCGGGGACGACCTCGCTCCTTTGTCCCCATAGTTATGCATTTGGACGCCCCGAAGGAACCCTACGACCTCTACTTTTATGCGCCGGACGCCTGGGTCCCTTCACACATCGCTACCAAGCAGCCACCGCCCACCCCCCCGCTGCCGCCCAAGCTGCCTCCGCCGCCCCGCGGGGGCCGCCCCCAGCGCCTGGAACCGCTCTCCCCTGCCACGCTCCCCAACAACTTCCTGTGAGCCTCTCCAGACCTGCGCCAGCCCCAGACGGAGGAAGCACCCAGGGGTCCTGCCCCCGGGGTCAGCTTTGCTACCTAGTGGTCCTCTAGGATAGAGGACACCCAGAAAATGCTTTAGATGTCAGCGGAGAACACAGTCTGAGACCGAATAAATCGCGTGTTCCCACAGCTGGACAACTCCTCTGGCCTAAGTCCTGGGAAAGGAGGGTGGCTGGGGTCAAGGAGACTGGGGGCTCCTCGGTACGAGGGAGAAGGGGGCTGGAGATTCCCAAGGCCAGTGACGACTGGGTGTGTACACCAAAGCATTTTATTGGGAGAGGGGCAGGGCAGGATTTACAATTACAGAGACAGACACAAAGACACAACCCTGCCCCGGGGAAAAACGCCCCTTTTCCCCAGCCCCATTCCCTTTCCTGGGATTCTGTGACTTCTCCTATACATACGTTCCCCCAAATTCTAAGCCGAAATAGGGGAGTCTGAGAGGGAAGGATCCCAGATTTGGAGTCATTTAGCCCCTGAGGGGCGCAATAAATGGCCACTGAGAAGATGCGGGCGGTTCAAAACCACCCAGGAGAATAAAGTGCAAGGAACTGGGGGGAAGGGGAGCGTCCTGAAACCACCATGGGGAAGTTCAGTGGCGGTGGTTTCAAACCTTTGAGTTGATGGACTGGAGCAGCCGCTCTTCTTAGACCTGAAAATCGTGTCAGAAAAAGTGCATGGGGGTGAAGAGAGGCATATTGTTAAAACTGCCATTTTGGTTGTTTCCCTAGGCAATGTGCTAAGCTGGGAGGTTTTGGGGAAATTTGGTGCTGCAGCGGAGTCTGCTGGTGGGGGGGGGGGGATGAAGAGTTTGGGGGGCGGTGCTTGAAACTGCCATTTCCCCTCAGAAACGCTGGTGAGAATCAATCCCTAGAATGGCAGGGATGGGTGATTAGTTAAACCAACTTGGAAAAAGCAGAATACAGTTGGGAGAGATTTGAAACTTCTAGAGGAAGACCTTGAAATTTTTTGAAAGAGGAGGGGGGGTTGAGTAATCTCAGGGGTTAGCCTGAGAGTCCCAGGGGTTCAAGGAAAGGGGGAGGTGCCTAAAGCCACAAGAGAGAGGAAGAGTCTGAATTGTCCATTCAAATAAAGCCCTGAAAGGAGAGATTTGAAACCACTGAGGCAGAAAAAAGTGGAGAAGGGAACCTTTAGGGGAATTTGGGTATCCTTGAAACTGCCAGTCTGCAGCTTCACTACCCCTGAGAGGCAAATAGGATGGGAAGAGATCTGACAGCACTGGGAACAAGGGAGAGTGCTTCTTAGGCCTGAGGAAGGACAGCGAGACTGGGGTTCCTTGACACTGTCACTCAGGCCGGAGATGTGAGGAATGGAGGTCCTAGAAACTGCCATCCAGTGGGAGGCACGTGGTCAGTAGTCCCGGACAGGGGGTGGGGGTCTTGGGGGTTGAACTGTGCTGTGTGTAGCCCCATAGGATGGAGGGGGAGCAGGGGGTGCCCCGGGGGGCTCAGCCTCATCCTCGATTTCACTTTCGTCGCTGCCAGCCAGCTGGTCGTGGCCAACGAAGCCACATTTCTCTTCGCTCATCTCCTCAGGCTCCGCCCACGGCTGCTTCTCTCCCGAAGCGAAGACCCCGTAGAAGATGACGCCCCCATAGTGCACCAGGGAGGCAATGAGGAACACATACTGCCACTCCTCTCGAGTCTGCAGGGGGGACACCCGGGAGGTGAAGTCAGAGGACAGAGGGACAGGAGAGGGGGCGGGGCTATGGGAAGGGGCGGGGCTGTGGAAGGGGCGGGGTTAGGAAAAGGGCGGGGCTAGGGCGGGCCTTTTCTCTGGAAAAGCAGCCGGAGATCCAGAGAGGTGACTTATGTCAGGAAGGTGCTGTACACTGATTTGGAGGGCAAGTGAGTCAGGGCCCAAGCACGGACCTTGTGCTTAGTCATGGCACCCACGATGATGGGGCACACCATGCCGGACAACGTGCCCACGCCGTTGGAGATGCCCATGAGGATGCTGGCATAGCGCGGGGCGATGTCCAGGTGGTTCACGTTGAACCCTGGCGAGGAAAGCCCGGGAGGCGTCACAACCGATTCCCACGCCAGTGACTCCTCCCCCAGCCTAGCCTCCCCGGACCTCCCGGCCGCTCCGCTTTTTCCCGTCCGCCTTTCGCGAGGCTGCGAGGTGCTCTACCTGAGCCAGGAAGTTCCCCACAGAGCTGACCAGAGTCCCCCACCCCCAAGCTGCAGATCGCTGGTTCTCACCGGAGATGGCGAAGCCGCTGAAGCCCACGGCGAGGACTAGGAAGGAGATGGCCACGCCCTTGGAGTGCGAGTAGCCGACCACCAACAGCAGCGTGGCTTCCATGCCAAAGCCTACGGAGGACCACCCCCTCTGAGCGCAGCCCGCCCCGCCCCGCCTCTCCAGACCCACTCCCGGCTCCCAACCTCTCCCAATTTGACCCAGTCCTGCCACTTCCACGCCTGTCCCTGGCTTTGTCCTCCATCCTGCCCGCACCGGCCCTAACCAAGCCCTCAATTCTCCAGCCTGGCCCTTGACCATGTGCACAGGCTTCGCTGCCCCAGCTGGGACCTCAATGGCCTCAGCCCTTGACTAGACCACGCCCTGAAGACGGAGGGTCTAGGCCCCACCCCGGCACCCTCACGGCTTCCCTCTCAGTCCCCATTCATTACACTCAGACCTTCGTCTCTCCGGGTGCCCCTCCTCATCACCCAGGTCCCATCCTACTCTGGCCAACCTCGTATAGGCCCGGTCCTCCCAGAACCAACATGGTCTCGCCTTTGCTTCACCTGGGCAGCCACACCCCCTTGCCCTTCTATAGACACTGCCCCGGAGGCTGCCACCTGAGATTCTGTTCCTGCCAGACCTGGTCTCGCTCCGGCTCCACCTTTTTGGACACGCTCCCCATGGACACGCCCTCTGACCCCGCCCCATCCTCCATGGTCCAGCCCCCTAGATCCGCCCAGCCGTGCTCTGCCCGTCCCAGCCCGGTCCCAGATCCAGGCCCCGCCCCACTCACCTCCGCAGTTCATCAACTTGCGCACGTTGGTGGTGGACATGATGCGGCGGCTCCTCAGGAAGTCGGCGATCTGGCCTCCAATGGGCACGATGATGGTCATCACCAGGTGAGGCAACGCTGACACCAGGCCCACCTGCGCCAGCGGGCGTACAGGGAGGCGCGGCTCAGCGGCCACCTGCCTGGGGGTCTCACCACGCCTTCCTCTCTGCCCCCTTTCCAACCCCTTGGGATCCAGGTTCCTCTCCTTCCCGGGCTCACCCTCCCGCCGCGCCCGCAGCCTCCCCTTCCGGGCCCAACCTTGCTGATCTCGAAGCCGAACACTTCTTCAAAGTAGGCAGGCTGGGAGATAAGAAGCAGGTAGAAAGTCCAACTACGACAGAAGTTGGCTACGATAATGGCGTAGACTGGCATGGACGTGAAGAAGCGCCTCCAGGGTGTGTTAAACTTCTGTGGTGGGCGAGAGGAGAGAAGGGCTGCTAAGACTGAGAACAGGGCTGGGCGCTCTCCGAGTCCCTTCAGGGATCCTACGATAGTCCCGCAGAGACCCAGATTTCCCTGTCTCACTAAAGCCGCCAAGGAGGAACGCTAACATCCTAGCCTCAGTGGTCCTCAGGCTGGCGGGTGTCCAGACAGCACGATAACCTTCAGAGAGTCATAAATGTGGATCCAAGAGTCTCCTTCCACCCAATTATGCCCCCTAATTCAAGCCTCACCCACCCTGAGGTCTGAGCAAACCCCCACATTCTAATCTGCCTCTGCAGGTTTAACCACGCCCTTCAGTGGTTCCGCCCACCTCGCCACCTAGCCCTGCTCTCGGCACCTGCTAACCCCGTCCTCCCTGGGCTTTAATCACGCCCCCTAGGTTCTAGCGCCATCCAACTGGCGATCTAAACGTCTATGGAAATGTCTATGTAGATCTACCAAGATCCACACGCAGTGCGGGTTCAAAGCCCCTCTTCCTCCCGTCTCCTTGCCTTGATAGCTCTCCTCTCCCCACCGCGCTCCCGCCCCCCCCCCACCCCCCAGGCTTGGGCCCGGACCGTGACGGGGTTCATGAGCTTGGCGCTCTCGCCGATGGCGTCCTCGATGTACTTGCGCTCCTCCTCCGAAATGCTAGGGTGCAGCGCCGGGGACTCATAGGAGACGAGCAGCCAGAACAGGTACCAGAAGATCCCGAAGCTGCCTGGTGGGGGGAGGGGGTCAGGAGGAGGATGGAAGCGAGGTGACGACCGGCCTCGCTCTGCCCCAGCGCCACCCGGACCCAGGCGTCCGGGCCCCTCACCGTAGACGTAGAATACAGAGCTCCATCCCGAGTACTGCACCAGGACTCCGGCGAGAGGCATCGCGACCACCGCCCCAGCATAGGACCCTAACGGGGAGGGTGCAGGATGGAGAAGAGCGCATCTTTCCTCAAATGCAGTAGTGCGGATTCCCAGTCCCCACCTTTCTGGGATACAGAAGTATCGACCACTGCCCCTCCTCCCTCAGACACGTCGGTCTGGGTCACCAGCCCTCTCCTCTCTAAGATCCGGGAGTTCAAGCCCGCAACCCCCTCCTCCCTCCACCGAAGAGTCTGGACTTCAACCCACCCCCCCACCCCAGCCCCAGACCCACGAGTCTGGATCCCTGCCCCTTCCTCTCACCGCAAAAGGCTGTCGTCGCCAGGCGACTCCGCTCTAAGGGCGGGGCCCATTTGCTCCAGATCCCATGGCAGGCGGGATACGTGACCCCCTAGGGAAGAAAAAACCAAAGTCAACGAGAAAAGGTGGAGTCGGAACGGCAAAGAGGTCATAGGGGGCGGAGATTTACCTCTACCAACCCCTGCAGGATCCTCACGAAGATGACACAGCCATAGTGGACACGGGCAGCCGAGGGGATCAGCATGTTTAGAGTGGAGGTAGCCACAATAGCAAAGCCGAAAACCCTGATAGGAAAAGTTGGTGTTCCGAGAAGAGTCCAGCTATCCTGCCATACCTAGGACTCTGCCCTTTCCTCCTTCAGCAGGCCAGGTCCCGCGCCCCCAGAACCCCAGGTCCCACCTTCTATGAGACTCCCCGCTTCCACAATACGAAGCCCACCTTTCTCTAGGGCCTTGGCTCCGAACCCAGGCTCCTCCCATTTTCCCGAGTCAACCCCCAAATGCAAGGTCACAGCCTCTAACTCCACCCACACACCTGTAGTTTCTGCCCACTTTGAGACATCCCCCCCGCCCCCCTCATACCTGTTGGCTGCGAATTTTTGGCAGATAAATCCTCCAGGAATCTGGGTGACAATGTAGCCCCAGAAAAAGGAGCCGTGTATGAGGCCAACAGTCTCTGGATCCCAGTTGAACTGAGCTTTCTGTGGGCCAAAAGGCACATCAAACCAGCACCCCTGCCCCAGACGCTCTGCTTCTCCACCAATCAGCACCCGCAGACAATCCCTCGGCCAATCAGCAACAAGGATCCCCTCTCGCCTTCAAAACACCTGCCAATCAGAGCTCGGGCCATCTACCCCAACTTTGCTCCTCCATGTTGCTATGGCCGCACTACCTTAGCAACAGAGCCTGTTGCTGCCTAGAGGCCTAGCTCTGTCTGCCTGCCTGCCTCAGGGTCCCTTCTCGGAATGCATAGGAGCCCATATATGCGGTGGGATTCTTCCTCCACTTCTAACCAACGTACAAACCGTTTGCTGATTGGATGGGTTCTAGGAAGAGGCAAGAAGTAGCCAAAGGGTTGAGCGTGATTGGAAAGGAACAGGGGCAGGTAGGCCACAGCCCAACTCAGGAATTTTTTTGGAGGCAGGGGCATGGCCTATATGGAAATTAAAACAGAAAGTCTGAGATGAAGCGGGGCTTTAGGTTAATGTCCAGAGCAGATGGTGAAGGGATATAAGCAGCGGTGGAACTTCCAAAAAGCCAGAATCCAAATTTACAGCGGGGCTTTCCCTAGCAGTCCAGTGATTAAGACTCCCCCTTCAAATACTGGGCTCGATCCCTGGTCTGGGAGCTCAGATCCCACATGCCTTATGGCCAAAAAAAACAAAGCATAAAACAGAAGCAATGTTGTAATAAATTCAATAAAGACTTTAAGAATGTTCCACATCAAAAAAAAAAAAATCTTAAAAAAAATTTTCACGATGGAGGGACTTCCCTGGTGGTCAAGTGGTTAGGATTCCCTGCTTCCACTGCAAGGGGTGCGGGTTAGATCCCTGCTTGAGAAAGTTCCTCAAGCCGCAAGGTAAGGCAACAACAACAACAACAAATTCACGGTGGAGCCTGAGTTGGCCCGGGAGTAAGACTCAACACTGGAACAGGTGCAGGAGACGCAGGCGGAGCAAAGTTGCTAGGATGCCCAAATGAAACAGGAGCAGCCATATCATAGGAAACAAATGCTTGGCAGAGTCTACACTTTGAAATCAGAGAGGTGAAACCAATAGGAGCGGGGCTTCATTTAGATAAAGGCAGGACTCAGGAAGGGAGAGCCCTGAGGTGAGGTGGAGCTGAGGTTGTGTGGTAAGTGCAAGTGCGAGTGGGTTGCCATGCCCGTCTCCAGGGGATCTTCCCCACCCAGGAATCGAACCCACATCTCTTATGTCTTCTGCGTTGGCAGGCGGGTTCTTTACCGCTAGCGCCACCTGGTTAGGGCCCAGGGTGGGGCAGGGCAAAAAGGCGGGTCTACTCAGGCCGGGACGTGAAGGGGCGTGGTCTGGGCCTCGCGTAGGCGAGCGTGACGTCATCAGAGGGCCCGGGCAGGATTTTCCCCAGCCTCAGGCAGCTCCCGCCCCGGGGTACCTGCATCACCACGTGGCCCCCGCGGTGGGTCGTGCTGTTGTTGACCATGGAGACGATGGCCACGCCCAGGTTGCAGCGGATGCCAAAGCTAATGCAGAAGCCCAGACCGCTCATGATGGCGATAATGTAGCGGCGAGGGAGGCCAAAGCAGGTGCAATCCACGACCGGCGGGTCCCGGGTCTGCGTCGTGACCGGGCGCCCATCTGCACTCAGCTCCAGAGTCTCGGCACCTTCTTGCCGCTTCTCCAGAAGACTGCGGCGAGGCAGCAAGGATCAGATTCGGATGTCCGGGCCCCCAGCCCCCTCCTCCCCAGGACACGAGTTGGGGCAAAACTTCTTGCTTTTCAAGACCAGGGATTCTAAGCCCGCAACCCCTCTTTCCCCAAGAGTCCAGCCCCTAACTTCCTTCTCCCTCCAGGGTCCAGGAATCTGGACCCCTGGTCTCCATCTCCCTCAGACCAGGAATTCCCACGCGCCCCCAGCCCCTTCCTTCCTCAGAGTCGAGTATGGAACTCCCCAGTTCCCTTCTCCACTAGCCTTGTCACCTCTCAACTCAGTTGTTTTAGACCCAGGCTCCCCTTGCAAGCCAAAACCCTGTGCCCCCAGCCCCCACCCCCAAGGCCCAGAGACTCTCTCCAGCCCCGTCTTCCAGATATGAGTCTATTTGAGGAAGCAAAAGGCGCTAAGGAGATGCCTCAGCAAAGGTGTCAAAAGAACAGATGCTTCTCAGCCACATCTGCTATATATACCGCACCCCCTCCCCTGCCCCGGGGCATGCCCTGCCCGGCTTCCAGGCCCAGGTGTGGGGCTGACATCCAGCTGACTCCATTCAGACACTGAAGCCCACTCCCAGGGATGGGGGGTGGGGGGAGTGAGGTCCAGGGCACTGGAATCCAGCAGCCCAGCTGGATATATCTGGGGAAACTTGAGTTCAGGCTGTCAGCCTAGGGGGTGGGGAGGAGGAGTGGAGGGTGGTGTCCTGGCAAGGGACAGATGGCCCTGGTAGGGGGATTGGCTCAGTCCCCAGCGTGACTCTCGCCCCCGCCTGTTCTGGATCCAGGATTGAATCTGTGATGACGGGTAGGGTACTTGGAGGGCCACCTCCATTCCAGAGAGAGGCTGCTGGGAGAAAGAGGTGCCCTGAGACAGACGTGGAAAAATTCAAAAGGAGGATGTCAGAAATGGTCGGGGGGGGGGGGGCATGGAGAACAGAGACTGAGAGAAAGAGGGTCAGAGACACAGGAGGGAGAGAGACTCGGAGAGAAGGGAACAGATACCCAGAGAGGGAGAAACAGACAACCAGTCTGAAAGAGACTGGGGCAGAGACCCTGAGAAAAGACGGGGGTGGGGGTTGTGCAGGGGGTAGGACAGAGACCCTGAGAAGGAAAGGGACTGAAACCTAGTGAGGGACCCAAAGACAAGTGGGGACAGAAACCCAGGAGAGAGAATGCAGAGACAGAGACACAGAATGCTGAGAGAAAGATGGAGCGACAAGGAGCCTGAGGAGAGACAGGCTGGGGATATGATTTGTGAGGTGTGGCTCCTCTCCGAGGCCGGTAGGCAGCCAGGGGATCGGGCTGGATCCCAGGAAGGGGCTAGAACAGATGGAGGCGAGGGAGACTGGGACGGGGGAGGAAAGAACAGCCAGACGGTCTGGGAGGAGGCGGGTGGAAGAGATGGGAACACAGCAACCCTCCCCATCCTGGAACTTAAGGAAGTGGGGGAGGGGGTTAAGAAAGTGGGGAGACTGGGGGAACGGACAGAAACTAGAGGGATGAGAGAGAAATAAGACCCTGGGCAGGGGACAATGAGCCAGAGAGTGGGGAACAGAAGCCCCCCAGAATGAATAGTGCATGGTTGTAGGGACTGGCCCTCCCATCAGAACAGGTCGGGCAATGAGATTAAACTTTGACCCAGGTTGCCCTAGCATGCTGTTTGACCCTGAAACTCAAGATGGGATTGCAGCCCCTGAAATTTGATATTCATTGTTAATATGAGGACATAGATCTCAGATCAAGGTTTTCTAAACTAAGGAACGCAGTCTCAGTATTCTGTATCTGTAAAATGGGGGCATGAGTAGAATGTGAGGTGACAAAGAGGAAACTTCAAGGTGACATTATCATTTCAAGAGAACTAGAGATGCAGAGGTGAAGGTGGCCCCAATGCTTCATGCTGTGTAAGAATAGATTACTTTGCTCTCTCAGGATGCCTGGAACTCAGGATTAGGGACTTGGTGATGAGGAAAGGCAGCTATTAGGGAGCAGGTAGGGCACTTTCCTGGTGGTTCAGACAGTAAAGAATCTGCCTGTAATGTGGGAGACCTGGGTTAGCTCCCTGGGTCAGGAAAATCCCCTGGGGAAAGTAAGGGCTACCCACTCCAGTATTCTCGCCTGGAGAATTCCATGGACAGAGGAGCCTGATGGGCTACAACCCATGGGGTTGCAGAGTCGGACACGACTGAGCAACTAATCCTTCCAATTTCTTTCAACTAAAATGAAGACGGTGTCTCAACCTCCATCTCTGGGTCTCTGCCTCTGCTTCTCGGAGACTCTCTGCCCCCCTACTCTCCCCTCCCCAATCTCTGTCCTCTTTTGTCCCTTTGGTTCTCCCTTACCCTCCCATTGTACAACCGAGAAAACTGAGGCTCAGGAAACAGAAGCAGCATGTCCAAGGTCACACACAAGCAGCAGAGGGGCCTGATCACTTCCTGGCCCTCCACATCACCCCGCCCCAGGCCTGGCTCTCAAAAAGGAGGCATATTGGCTCCTGTCTCCTGCTGTATTCCCTTTCCCCTCTTGTCCTTGTCCCAAGTCTCCCTGGGTTGCTGTGTGTTTCCTGATTTGATGGAGTTCTCCACCCACTCCAGCAGCACTCATCTCGAGGAAATCTGCAGCCCCCACCCCAGACTTGGGCGGGAGACTGACCTGGGTTCAAAAGATGCCATGTGTACTCAGCTACTGACTCCCCCCCCCCTTTTCCCAACGGTGCCTCAGTTTCCCCAGCTTCGTCTAGAGGATTAAAAGGAGTCCGCTGTGGGCACTTCCCCCTCTCAGCAGTCACCAAAGCGGACCCCAGGATTCAGATGCGATTGTTCTGGACTCAAACTCCAGACTTAGTGACTGTCCTGGTGGGAACCCTGAACTCTGGGGTCTCTAGGGGCTCCCAAGGGAGCTGAGAGAGGTGACGATCAGGCAGAGTCAGAGAGAAACCCAGACACAGGAGAAGCGGAGACTGAGATAGAAAGAGAGCCTGAGAAACACATTCCTCCTGCCTCCATCCCCCTTCCCAACCCCCTCCTCCAGCACGTCTCTCTCCCTCTCCTGACTTCACGCTGATGTATTTTGAGAAACTCGTGAAAGGAGGTGAGAAAAAGGGTGGGGAGGGGCTGGAAGATTGGGAAAAAGAAAGGGTGAGGTTATCTCAGCTCCTCCACCCCCTCCCCAACACTGCGCCATCCTCCTGCCTCCTCCCTTCTGTCCAGCTTTATTCCTATCTCTCAGGATACTAAAGGGTGGGGTAAGTTTGGAGCGCAGAGGTAATCTGCAGCAAGCAGGATGAGTGTTAGACTTAGAGAAGGACTTGCGTGGTCTAGTGAGCTGCACTGAAGATCAGTTAAAGATAGGGTCAGGGCTGTGGGCCATGGGGACCCCAGGGTCTGAGGGAATGGCAGCAGGGACATGGTGCTGATGAGGCCCCAACTCCTCCCCACACTGTGGGCAGATATTTTTAGGCTTCTCCGCAGCTGAGTAATTTCTCTGACTTGGAGCCAGGGCTGGGGTTGGGGGTGAGAGACTCAGGAGAGGTGTAGCAGACTGCTCTGGGGACACCCAGGTCATTGGGGTCATCTCCTTGACTGGGAGGAAGTCCCTCTCAGCCCTAGTCTATACCCTTTGGAAAGTTCATCCTACCCCAGGAACCTAATGTTTGGCCTGCAACTCCCTTCTCCCTCAGAGACCCAGGATACCCTGACTTCTTCCTCCCAGCTTAGCTCTCCTCAAGGACAAGGACCAATGGACCTCAATCCGATTTAGCTTCAGATTAAACTCTCTGAGAGATGGCAAGTAACAAACACACAAAGATGGAGAGATCTGGGATAAGGTAGTAAAAAAAACCAGAGAGAGGGCCAGAGTTCCTAAAGGAGAGTGTCAGAAACCCTAGGGCGGGGAGTTGGGGGACAGAGACTCAGAGAAAGAGACAAAGACCCAGAGAGAAGGTTGTTGAGATCTAGTGAGAGCAAGAGAGCGGGACGGGGACTCAGAGATAAAAGGAAATAAAGACTTAGAGAGAGTGGACAGAGATCTGGAGAGAGGAGGCAAAGAGCGTACAGGTGAAGGGAGACCCAGAAGCCGGCGAGGGAATCAGAGATCCAAAAGAGGGGGATATATATTTATAATCCCAGAGAAAAGGGCAGAGAGCCTAGGGATGGGGTGGTGCGCAGAAAAATGATGGATGAGACCGGACCGTCGGAGACCGAGGGAGAAAACTGGACAGATGGGTGGCCCCCCCCACGCATGGGTACCGCCTGTCCAGCTGTCCATCTGCGCCCAGGTGGGAATGAGCGTTCTCCTCGGACCCTCGCGTTCTTCCACGCCCAGGACCCCCACCACGCTCACCGGTGTAGCTTCCCAAGGGCGCGACCCGCTAGCTTCCGAAACTCCTCCTGGCGGAACTCCATCGTGGCCGCCCCTGCTGCCGGACCCCCCCGCCGATTCCCCCCGCCCGCGGGCCCGGGCGGCCGCGTCCGGGTACCCGGGGTCCGCCCCGGCCCGGCCGGCCCCGCAGCTCCGCTCGGGGGGAAGGAGGCTGCGAGTGCGGGCTTTCTGGGGGCTGTCAGCGGACTCAGCGTCGGGGGCGGGGTGGGGCGGGACGAGGCCCCGCCCACCTTCTCTACCCCGCCCCCTTGTTATTCTAGTCCCGCCCACCTTCCCTTGCCATTCATCCAGGTTCTTGCCTCGCCCAAGACCATGCCTCTGGCTTTTTGAACTCACTTGTCTGGGTTGCATCGCTCCCAAATCGGTCCCTTCCCGGGGTTACTTCTCCCTCACCCATTCCCCACCAGCTCCTTCTATCCCAGATTTTCTCTCCTCCAGAGTTCTTTCCTGAGATTTGCTCCCGCCACTTGTTTCCCCTAATTTCGCGTTCGCATTTTCATCTTCCTCTAAATATCCTCCTGCGTTTTGTCCTCCCAGTCCTACTTCTCCGAATTTCTGTGCCCTCCAGATCCTCATCCTGCCCAGGCACGCCATCCCCAACCTGCCACATCCTCAGTTCCAACTTTCTCATTCAGAAGGTTCTTTTCTCATTCAGGGAATTCCTTCTCCCTTCATAGATTCCAACCCCCATTTCGATCCACCATTGTCCCCTCTAGTTCTTCCCTAGCCACCTGTTTCCATCTTTCCCCTTTCGGATTTCATGTCCCTCCAATTCTGTTTCCCCTCTTGGCCCACCACCCCTTCCAGTTCATTTCCGATTTCCTTCCCTCTGGATTCATCTCTCCAGAGTTATACTCCCCCTACCCTCGTTGCTGGTCATTATTCCCTCCCTAGCCTCGGATCTATCCCTGCCCTTTTAGTTCTCTCATCCTGAGTTCTGTCCCCACCCCTTGAGTGTGTCCCCTAGCATATTTCTTTACCCCTGAGTTCTGTCCCCTCCCCTGGGATCTATTCCTGCTTTGAATTTTGCCCACACCCTCTGGAACCCGATCCAGGTATACATCCGTGAGTACTTTCCCGGCCCATGAGTTCTATCCCCTCCCTCTGGGAGGGATCTGTCTCCGCCCCCTGGGATTTGTCCCCGCCCTCTGAATTCTTATTGCACCCCTGAGTTCCAGCCCTGCCCCTCTGGGGTTGAACCTCTACTGTCCTCGGCCATCTCCAGCCCGCAGGCAGGTCCTGCTCCGCTCCTTTCGTCGCCAGCCCCTTTACCCGACGCCGAGTCCACCTCCATATCCAGCCCCCAGGAAGGTGCTCCTTTCCCCATCGCCTCCCTGCGTAGGGCCAAAAATGCATTTGGGATTAAAATTTCACGATATGGCACAGGTCCGCGAGGGAGTGGGAGGGAGCAGCCAGCGCGATGGGTGGGCGCGAAGGACGGGACGCAGCCTCTCGCCTCTAGCTTTGTCTCGCTGGGTCTTTGGGTGTCACAGTTTTGCCTGTGTTTGAGAAAACCTCGAATTCTTAGGGAGGAGAGGCTGGGGGCTGGGACTCCTGGGTTCGAGGGAGGAGGGAGCCGGGAGCTCGGACTCCAGAGTCTGGGGGAGGAAAAGCCCGCGGAGCCTTCCGCACGCGCCACTCTGCGGCGGCAGAATCCCCGGTCTGGGTGTGGAGGCGGCGGCAGCGGCTCTGAGCCAGGTGTGAAGGTGGAGCAGATGGTGAAGAGGAGGGAGTGGGAGGGGAGCCCGCCGCTGCCAGATCCCGAGACTTCGCCGGAACCATCACCATGGAGACCGCGGAAGGCAGAGAAGACCCAGCCCCACATTTTCGGGACCCGGGAATGAGTTCTTCACCCTCCCACGGAGGGTTCCTGTGCAAACTACAAGTCCCAGCGGCCGCTGGACTTCACCGTTTGCTTCTGAATGACCGCATACTCAGAGGGCTGCTGGGAGTTGTAGTTCTTTGAGACAATGGACTGAAGTTGCGTTGCGCCCTCTGTTGGACATGGAGCCCAAATTAGCTCCTTCTGAGGACCAAGGGATCCTACTGAACGTCATCCCCAAACCCATTTCACTTTCTTACCACCCAGTTCATTCATTTCCAGCCACACTGGCCACCTGGCTGTTCTTTCAACATCTACCACCGAGGCTCCTGCATTTATCTATCCTCCTACGATTCACTATGGAAGAAGAGGATGTTGGCAATCTTTCATTAACTGAACAAATAGTTCCTACTAATGCTGAAGCTGAAGCTCCAATATTTTAGCCACTTGTTGTGACCATCCCACTCATTGGAAAAGACCCTGATGCTGGGAAAGACTGAGGCAGAATGAGAAGGGGGCAGCAGAGGATGAGATGGTTAGAGAGCATCACCAACTCAATGGACATGAATGTGAGCAAACTCCAGGAGATAGTGGAGGACAGAGGAGCCTGGCAGCCCATGGGGTCAAAAACAGTTGGACAGACTCAGAGAGCGAACAACTGGGGGTCAGGCATTGTCACACTACAGGGTACATCACACTACTGAGAGTAACACTATCGGGGACCACCAGAGGAGGAAACCAGGGAATATCAGAGAAAACCTGAAGGATTGAAAGGCTTTCCAGGGAAATCGCACTAAAAAGGAAAACTGGGAGGGTGGGGCCAAGGTGTGGGTGGAAAGTCAGATGAGCCCTGTGAGGGCAAACAATGAGATGTACTGGCGTAGACCTGGGTAGGGGTACTAGAGAAAAGGATCCTACCAAGGGGAACTACAGAAAGGTGCAAAAAACCAGTGTAGTTCACCGTGGTTAGCCTGAGTGACTGAAGAGAAAAAATGGAGTGTGAAGGGGACCAGATAGCACAGAGCCTTGAGTGCTCGGCGGAGGGGCTTGGACCTTCTCCCAGGGGTGCTGGAAAGCCAAGGAGGGGCCATGAACAGGAGCTGGGCAAGGTCAGCTCTGAGACCTTGTTGGGGACAAACAAGGGGTGAGACGAGAAGTTAGGAGGCCAGGGAGAACATCCGGGGAAGAGGACAAGGCCTGAGCTGGGGCAGTGACCTCTACGGGACTCCAGTCCAATGTCCATCTTCCCTCCCATTCCCATGTACTCCTAGCCAGACACAAGACAAAGGCAAACATCTTTTATTTCAGTTTTAGAGAAGCCACCAGCCTCTCCCCTCAACATAGAAGCACAGGAAGACATCCGGTCAAGAAGGCACTGACAGAAGGGGCATCGCCACCATCAATTGCTGGGGAGAGAAAACAGAGAGAGGATTCAGAGCCCAGGGGTCCAGCCCCCTGCCCCCTCCACCCTCAGATCCAGGAGTCTAGGCCTCCCAGGGTTCCTGGCTTCCACAAGCGCCAGCCCCCCAGGTACCTTTCTCTTCTGATGGAAGGCTGCCTTGCTCTCATCACAGTTGATCCGCAGGGGGATGTAGGTATCCAGATGGTACAGCTGCTGGGGGCCCCCCATCACCAGGCGATTCTCCCCGACTTCCAGCGACAGCCCCAGAGCACCATCCTGGAGGTGCAGGAGAAATCAGTCCACCCTTCCCTTCCCAGCGGCAGGATGATCAGAACATGACCAGAGAGAGAAGCCTCACATGTTGGGATGCCATATTTAAAGAGTCTAATCTCCCAGAAAAAAGGTGAAACTCAAAAGTGTTAGTCACTCAGTCGTGCCCCACTCTTCGAGACACCAGACTGTAGCCTGCCAGTCTCCTCAGTCCATGGAATTTTCCAGGCAAAAATACTGGAGTGGCTTGCCATTTCCTTCTCCAGATCTTCCCAACCCCAGGATTTAACCTGGGTCTCCCGCATTGCAGGCAGGCTCTTTACCATCTAAGCCACCAGGGATGCCCGGGGAAAAGGTGGGACATATTAATACAGGTCTGGGCACTGTAAGGACAGCACCGGAAGCCGGCCTGCAGCCCGCAGGGGACAGAGCAGGCAGCTGGGCTCACAGGGCAGCACTAGCCAGGCTCACACTGTTCTAGCAGCATTCTTTGGAATCTCCCATCACTCCCTCTCCAAGACCCCAGACATCACGGGGATGTGCTCACCAGCTTGGGGAGGTCGATTTCGGCCAAGAGGAGGTCAGGGGCCTCCAGCCAAAGGCTCAGGTGAGGCTTCTCAGGGCTGGGGAGGAACAAGACCCAGAACTCAGGAGAGCCGCCAGGACTTGGCGAGGACTATCGCCTCTCTTCCTCCCTCCCAGCCCTGAGGCCTCAGGACACCTTCCCAGGGGAAATTCCGCTTCTCTTCCCTCTGTGTTCCCAGAGCCCCAGGACCCCGTCCCGAAGTATGGAGGCAGATATTACAAAGAATGTCGGGGAAACAGGAGATAGGGGCCCCGTCGAATGCCTACCATGCCTCAGGTCTCGGGGAGCTGGGCGTGTACAGGTTCCCCAGCTCCTGGATCCGAGGACGCTGCTGGGAGCGGATATTTTGCTGGGAGATGGAGCCCAGGAAAGGTCTGTTCTTCAGTATGCGCCACTCTGAGGGGAAGGAGCACAGCGCCACAGGGCACATGGGTCCAGGTTTCCTTCTGCTCCTTCTCTTCGGGGGAAGAGGCTCCGCCCTCTGCCTAGGAGGCCAGGGGTCTGACCACACCCCCACGCTAGACTTCAGAAAGCCTGCCTGCGCTAGCCCCGCCCCTTCTGGGCTCTCCAGACCCCGCCCCTTATCTGAAATCCCGGGCCTCTTTCCCTCTCCTCGAACTCTCTTCGAAGCTGTCTCTTCAGTCATGGCCAACTCTCTGTGACCCCGTGGGCTGTAATGTGCCAAGTTCCTCTGTCCACGGCATTTTCCAGGTAAGAATACTGGGGCGGGTTGTCATGCCCTCCTCCAGGGGATCTCCCTGAGCCCAGGATCGAACCCGTGTCTCCTGAGTCTCCTGCAGTGTAGGTAGATTCTTAACCGCTGAGCCACCAGGGGAGCCCCCTACAGCCCAGAGGCTAGTATAATCCCTGTCCACACTAGTCCCACTTCTCGCAGGAGCTGCCCCCCTAAAATCCACCGGGTTAGGCTCCTCCCGGTGGCACTGGCCCCACCCCCTCACCTGGATTCAGCTGCAGGCCATATTTGTCCTCAAGGCCCTCCCTGGCGATGGTGATCACGAGCTCTCGCAAGAAATCGCTGTTCTAGGGGTGAAAGAGAAGAGATGCGGGAGGGCTGAAGAGGTGGAGGGAGAGGCCCCGGCCCAGGCCTCCCCCGCAGCCCCGCCCCCAACCTGCATCCTCCGGAAGAAGTCGCTGTTGACAGCTACGTCGTAGGCGGTACAACCCTGGCCTTCTGCGGGGAGAGAAAGGGGGTGAGATCCCCCAGCCCTCGGTGGGAACCCCATGGCCCAGACACAGTCAAGGAAAACACAATCAAGGACAGCAGCCACAGACCCAGACAGACCCAGAGACAATTAGGAAGTCAAAGATACTGAACTTGCCAGTCTGGACTCATACCCACGACTTCGTCTCTAGTCTTTTCCCCTCTGGCCCTTGCCCACCAAGTCCCAGAGCTCACCCTGACCCTCCCCAGTTCACAGTCCTCCCAGGGCTCCCCAGCGCCACTGGGGGAAGGCTGAGTTCTCCAGCCTGGCGCTGGAGGCCCTGCGTGGTTAGCCCCCTTCCAGCTGCAGAGAATTTCAGTTCTCTGGCACTTCATCCCTGTAAATCTCCTCCCATCACTACTGATCACTGACCAACTGAATCATTTCTCCAGCCTCTGGACCCCTCTCTCCTCTCTGCCTAGAACCCTCTTCTCTATCTTGGCCTGATGAACTGATCTGATTCCTTCCAATCTTATATCCAATGTGCCCTCCTCCAGGAAGCCTTCCCTAATCCTTTAGTGGGAGTGAAGAACCCCCTCCAACCCAGCACAGAATCACACCATATTGAAATTGCATCTGCTTCCTCTGCCCTCATCCAAGACTGAGAGTTTCTCAAGGGCAGATTCTGGGTTTTGATAAGTGCCTACTCCCCAAGGCACTGGCCAAGGCATCATCCCAAGAGGCTTAGGGGACATATGTGAATTGAAAAAACAAGGATATAGAGACAGAAACTCAACAGAAAAGAGATTAGACAAGCAGTGACATAGAGACAGGGGAAAAGGGTGCAGGAGAAAACAGGGGTGAATGAGAGCTGGCCAAGGACTAGAGTCAGATCAGCTAATGAGCACCTGCCTAGCCCCACTCTCTCCTGGGGTGAGGCAGGGAGAAGTGCCAGCCTGACCAGGTGAGTAGAACCAGGACTGCCCAGTGAGGTTGTGGATACCCAGGAGGTTAGAGATATGCCTTGGGGAAAAGGATCAGATAGGGGCTTGGGGGTGCAGGAGAACGAGTTTCTAGGTTCTGAGGGAGGGTGGTCAAGGGCACTGGAATCTTTGGTCCTAGGGAAGAAAGGACCATGGGGATGGGGGTGGGGGGTAGATTCCTGGGTCTTCTCAAGGCACTGACTTGCATCCACTTCCGCATGTGGCTCTCCCAAACTCATGGGAATGCGAAACCCAGCCTGGTCTTCCTCCAGCATTTGAAGCAGCTCATCCTCAGTCAAGTCAGCCGGCGGAGGGATGGAGGGAGAGTGACAGATGTTGATGAAAACCTTCCCTTCAGCTGAGTTGGTCTTGATGCAGAAACCTGGTGGGAATGGGTTTGTCCTTGACCATCTGTCTGTGCATGGGTCTCAGTGTCCATCCTTCTTTTGATCTGTTCCCCCTCCTTGAGTATTAGTCTTCCACTTTCTGGGTCTCTTCCTTGCGATTTCTCATTCTCTTTGAATCTCTGGCTCCCAAGTCACCCATTCTCTCTATCTCTTTCTAAAATTTTTATTGGAGTAGAGTTGTGTTACTTTCTGCTACACAGCAAAGCAATTCAGTTCTACATACACGTATATTCACTCTTTTTTAGATTCACTTCCCATACAGGTCATTACAGAGTACTGAGTAGAGTTCCCTGTGTTACACAGTAGGTCCTATTAGGTTGTTTTTGTTTTGTTTTGTTTGACTTTTTGGCCACTCTTAGGAGCATGTGGGGTCTTGGTTCCCTAACTAGGGATTGAACCTGAGCCCTCTGCAGTGGAAGCTTGGAATCTTAACCACTGGACCACCAGGGAAGCCCCTAATTATCTATTTTATATATGTGTGTGTTAGTCACTCAGTCATGTCTGACTCTTTGCAACCCCATGGACTTGTAGCCTGCCTGGCTCTTCCTGTCCATGGAACTCTCCAGGCAAGAATACTGGAGTGGGTTGCCATTCCCTTCTCCAGGGGATCTTCCCAAGCCAGGGATCAAATCCAGGTCTCCTGTATTGCAGGCGGATTCTTTACAGGCTGAGTCACCATATAATAATAATAATATATATATATGTCCATCTCAATCTCCTAATTTAGCCCTCCCCGCTCTTTGGATCTCAGTAACCTCCCTGCTTTCTCTGGGTCTCTGTTCACTCTCCAAGGCCTCTATACCCTGCTACTGTGTCTCCCTCCTCCCTCCTCTCCCCCCAGTCTGTGTCCACCTCTCTCTGGGACTCTATCCCTCTCTCCTTGGGTTTCTGTCTTTCTCACCAGGTTGAGGCTGTATCTGTGTGGATTCTGGTCTGCTTGTCTGGGCTTGCTGGAGCTCCTTGGAGGCCTGTGTGAAGAAAAACAATTTCCAGGCTTGGCATTTGTGCTCTCAGAAGCCCCTCGTTGGTTCCTCAAGTGTTCAGTGAGCACTGTTTACCTATATGAGCTAGGCAGGGCATAAGACATACTATGCCCCCTTCCAACTTTGAGGAACCTGAGGAACAACTCCAATCCTACTCCTATTTCATCCAGAGTAACAAATTTAAACAACTACAACTCCCATAGGACCTGTTGCCTCCCCAGTGCATGCTGGGAACTGTCGTCCCCTTTCTGAGCGCGCGCTCACACGTTCACAAACACACCCCAGAAAAAAAAAAAAGAAAGAAAGAAATCCCCCGAATCCCCTGGGACCCAGGAGTTCATTCAGTCTGCACCTGAAGCAGCAGCTCCTCGAAACGCGACGTCTCAGCGCCCATCGTCTCTGCATCGTTCAGCTCCGGCACCAGCAGCTTCGAGTCGGCCATGGCCCTGCAACAGACTGGGCGTCCTCAGCAACCCCGACGTCAGGGACCTTCAGCGGGAACCGAACTCTGAGGCCTGCTTCCCGGCCCTCAACCGACTCCCGACACCCACAATTCTGTACGAAAATCTGCGAACCTAGCCTGAGACTATACTTTCACTCAGACCAGTCACTGCGTCAAATCTCTCGGGAGCCAGTATCTCTAGACTAAGTGCCAAATATGTAAATAACAGCCACTCTTCCGGTCTCTGCGCAACCAGGAACTCGAGTAAGCCACACTTCCTACTATCGGAAAGCTCATTCACCAATCCTGCAACCGCATTCCTAATCACAAACCAATCCAGTCTAAGTCTGAAGCCACACAACTCTCTCAACCAATCAAAACTAAATCTTGGTAGTCACTAAATGACACACTTCCTGTGTAGTTTAAAGCCACACTTCCGCCCCTTCCCGCCCGCCACAAAAGCCACACTTCCGCCCCTTCCAGCCAGCTACATCTGGCTAGATTACTGGGCAAAATTAGCATACTTTTAAAGCCTTAACCTCAGTGAAGTGAAAGTCACTCAGTCGTGTCCGACTCTGTGTGATCCCATGGATTGTAACCCGCTAGGCTCCTCTGTCCATGGAATTTTCCAGGCAAGAACACTGGAGTGGGTTGCCATTCACTTCTCCAGGGGATCTTCCTGACCCAGGGATCGAACACGTGTCTCCTGCATTACAGGTGGATTCTTTACCGTCTGAGCCACCAGGGAAGCCCCTTAACCTCAGTGTCCATCCTAAAGACTCCTGTCTGATCTCAATCACCTCGTCCTCAAGAGGTAGATTCGATTCTCAAATAAAGGTATTTCGGAGTAAAATCACACTTTAGATCAGGATGATGGGAAGACACCAATTCGGCCACTCTTCTAAATCTGAAGGGTTCGTAACTATTTGAAGGCACCCATATTTTCGTTCTGGGATTCCCCGTTGGCTCAGCGGTAAAGAATCAGTCTGCAAAAATAAAAAGAATCAGTCTGCAATGCAGGAGCCGCAGGAGACAGGGGTTCGATCCCTGGGTTAGAAAGATCCCCTAGAGGAGGGCATGGCAACCCTCTCTGGTATTCTTGCCAGGAGAATCCCATAGACAGAGGAGCCTAGCGGGCTACAGTCCATGTAATCGCAAAGAGTCGGACACGACTAAGCGACTTAGCACACACATTTTCATTCCCCCGCCTTTGAGGACTGCGCATGCTCCAAACTGCACTTCCCCCGCGCAGACCTATAAGCGGAGTAACCGGGTGCTAAAGTGGAGTTACGCCCTATCTCCTGTAGCTCCGCCCTTTGGGCTAGAGGGGGCGGCGCTGCCCTTCGGACCTCCAGGTTCCTTCGGGCAGAGAGCCCCGCAGTCCGTGGAAAACGGTCTGAGAGTGATGGCTGCGACACGCACAGCATCGCGCGCCTGTGAGATCTTCACGACGCTGGAATACGGACCGGCGCCGGAGAGCCACGCATGCGCACTGGTGAGGGCTTGCCTGGATCCGCGCTGCCTATACCCCTTCGCGGTCGTCAGGGCCCAGTTTTGCGCGCGGACTCCCGTGATCCACCGCGGCAGCTCAGCAGCTCCGCCCTCTCGGCTCCCGCTGCTCCTTAGGATCCAGGCTGGAGGGCGTTCCCTTGGCCCTTGACAGTTGCTGTCTCTTTGCCCTTTAGTCTGTTCTCGCGAGTCTTAGTGCCTGTGCGGTTCCACGCTGCAAGACTCACTGTACCGCTTCCCCGACTCTTCAGAATGTGTCCAGTGGGTCCTGTGGTTCTTCAGCGTCTCCTCAGAACCTCTTGTGATCCCCGCGGACTCAGAATTCCTGTGGGGCTCAGAATTCTTCTGAGGGCCCTCAGAACCTGCGTCCATTTCCCGTGATTCCTCAGAACATCCTATGGCTCCCGGGGTCCTAGAATTCCAGGAGGAGGTCGCCTTTGACCATCTGGAGACCTCGAAGGAGCCCCCGGGATTCCTCAGGCATCACTTCAATACTTGTGAAGTTCCTATAGTCTCAGGAACTCTCAGAACCCCAGGATGTATCAGAACTTCCTATAATTACCTTCGACCCCGCAGAATTATCTCGTGGGGCTCCAGCGATCCCTCAGAGTCCCCCAGAACGCTCTTGGGGTTCCCTGTATAAGCAGTGAAAGTCGCTCAGTCATGTCCGACTCTGCGACCCCTACAGCCCATGAAATTCTCCAGGCCAGAATACTGGAGTGGGTAGCCTTTCCGTTCTCCAGGGGATTCTTCCCAGCGCAGGGATCGAACCCAGGTCTCTCTCCTGCATTGCAGGCTGATTCTTTACCACCTGAGCCACAACAGAAGCCCAAGAATACTGGAGTGGGTAGCCTATCCCTTCTGTATAAGTTGAGTGCCTCGAATTTTCTATACAGGTCCCTCAGAATCCCCCATGGAGCCATCCTGATCTCACAGGGCCCTCTGGCACCCACATGTGAGAAGCTTGGGCTTCTCTGGAGGGAAAGAGGAAGAGGTTTAGAACAGTGGTTCACATGCGTGAAAGAAGATAAGACCAGAGCCTGGTGTGGGCTGTAGAGATGGGGAGGAGGGGATGAGGCAGAGATGCAGGAGGAACAGGGTTTGAGATACTGAGAGGGCAAGGACAGTGGCTCGTGTCTGGCCCTGTCCTTGTCCTCCCACCTCACCCAGGAGGAGTAGGGTCGCAGGAAGGTTGGGCTTGGTTATCACATGGCTATGATGAGAGGGACCTGGGGACAGCCTTGGGTCATGTGCAGGATTCAGATACTGCCTGTGCCTGGGCCTCAGGTCTGGAGACAGGGAGCTCACAGAAGAAAGAGAATTGAACAGTGGGAATGATAAGATTATTTAGAAATGTGTAGGGCTTCCCCCGTGGCTCAGCGGTTAAGAATCTGCATGCAGTGCAGATGTGGGTTTGATCCCTGGATCAGGAAGATTTCTGGAGGAGGAAATGGCAACACACTCCAGTATTCTTGCCTGGAAAATCCCATGGACAGAGGAGCCTGGGCTACAATGCATAGAGTTGCAAAGAGGTGGACACGACTTAAGTGACTGAGCACGCACACAGTGTAGACTCAGATAAGTGGATCTGGGATGGAACAGAGAATTCCCACACCATTCCCAGGTTAGAGATGGACTATCCTGAAATAGCAATAATGGCATAATACTCAATAAATGGCTTATATTTGTTGGGTGCTTTCTATGTGCCAGCCTCTGTGCTTAGCAAGTGCTTAGTCACTCAGTTGTGTTCGACTCGGCAACCCCGTGGACTGCAGCCCACCAGGCTCCTCTGTCCATGGGATTCTCCAGGCAAGAATACTGGAGTGGGTTGCCATGCCTCCTCTAGGGGGTCTTCCCAACCCAGGGATCGAACCCAGGTCTCCCGCATTGCAGGCCGATTCTTTACCGACTGAGCCACCAGGGAAACCCCTGTGCTCAGCATGATATCATTTAATCCCCAAAACAGTTGTGAAAGGGGATTATTGTCATTTAGTGACAGCACACAGAGGCTTAAAGAGGTAAGTAATTGGCTGATGGTCAACACAGCTTAAAAAAATGTTAAACTGAGATCTGAACCTGAACCCTGGATTCCAGAGCCCATGGGCCCCCACAACTCTTACCACCACCACCCTGCCGCCCTGCAGTTCAACCTTACAATCTGTGGACCAGATTCAACCAGCTAACATCTTTTCTTTGGCCTGAACTTTATTTTTAAAAATGTGCATTAGTGGACAACTAATTTCAAGTAAACATCCGGGATTCCAGCTTCTCTTGAAAACAAAATTCCAAAGTTTGGCAACCTTTGGCTCACATTCCCTGACAAATATCATCTGGATCCAATAGCTAACTGTCTTTTTAGACAAGTCCTGAGTTCTTAGTCTCTACCAGTGGCCTCTTCTCACCCCAGCATGGCCTGCCAGGACCCTGTGGAACATTCTTTCCAGGTTTTGTTTTTCTTTGGGGGGGAAATTTTGCAAACTTTCACAGAGTACTTAAATTATGAACTCTAATTCACCCATCACTCAATGTCAACAGTCATCAACATTTCATCCAGTGTTGTATTTCTTTGTTTTCTCTTTTTTTTCCTGGAGTGATTTAAAACCCATTGGCCTGTTAACTTCTCATAAATATTTGAATCTTCATTTATAACAGATAAGGACTCATTTTGCAACATAACCACCAGGCCATTTTCACATTAGCAACATGAACAGTCATTCTTTAATATTGTCTAGTGTCCAACTCATGTTCATACATCCCCAACTTTTTCCAAAATGTGACTTTCCATGGGGGCCTTTGAATTTGGAACTTCTGAATTTTTACTTTACTTAAAAATTGTTTAAAGAGAAATGAGGGCATTTCCCTGATGGTCCCATGGTTAAGACTTTGCATTTCCACCAAAGGGGCTGCGGGTGCAATCCCTGGTCAGGGAACTAAGCCCGGCATGCTGTATGGGATGACCAAAAATAAATAAGAATAATAAATTTTTCTTTCTTTTTTAGAGAGGAAAACGAGGACTTTCCTCGTGGTCCAGTGGCTAAGACTCCATGCTCCCAATGCAGGGGGCCTGGTTCAATCCTTGGTCAGGGAACTAGACCCCATATGCTACAACTAAAGATCCCACATGCCACAACTGAGACCCAGTGAGGCCAAGTAAATAAATAATTTTTTTTAAAAATCTTACTAATTATAAAAAAGAAAAAAAAATGAGAAGGCCTACCTGGCAGAGTAAGAGATAAATCAGGAAGCTGAGGCATTGGGGATGCAAAGAGAAAACAGTCTACAGAAAGAAAAAAGGAGGAAGGATATCTTAGATTTAGCAAGGATTTAGGGAAGACAGGATCAGGGAGACAAAGAAACAGGAGGCAGACAGAGAGGATGAAATGAAGTAAAATTAATAGAAAGTCTTAAGTAAGTGTCCTTCTGAGCATATGATACATAGTGAGCCATTTAATTCTCACCACTGACCTGTGACATAGGGAGGGACTGTGATT